ACAAAATGCATAATGTTTGGAGGAATGTAATTCACATCCTGTTATGGTGTTTAATTTATACAGTTTTCTTTGATAGTTCTATATGTTAGTTTTATAGCAATTGCTTATTTAGATACTGATGCATTGAAGCTTCCTAAAGGGAATGCAGTTATTTAAAAAATTGTTATGCCTTGTCTGACAAATTTTACATCATTTGTTTCCACCATATTTTTATTCAGAGCTCTGAAATGTTCCTTTCTTTTTTTCTTTTTCAGCATTGAGGGGGAATATGTCCCAGTAGAAGGAGATGTGGTCACATATAAAATCTGTCCCATCCCACCAAAGAATCAGAAGTTCCAGGCTGTGGAGGTGGTGCTCACTCATTTAGCACCACATACAAAGCATGAAACATGGTCAGGCCAAATAATTGGCTCATAAACTACTTCTTGAGCCTGCAGGAAGTGGAGTTGAATGATATGGTGGGTGGTGGAACTACTGGAGCAATGAAAGAGCCAGGCTGGCAATTTTTGTTTGCTGTGTGACATGTTTGCAACTTTATCTTGTCTTTTCTAAGATCTAATCTTAGTTTGTAAATGTGCTTTTTTGTTATAGAAGGGCAAGCAAGGAGTGGAAAAGTGTTGCTGGGTAGATTTACACTTAAATCATGAATTCCTGACTATACCCAATAGGATGAAAGAAATCTACTATCAAAGTAGTATATGTTGGCCACAATGATGTTTATCTGGTTCTATTCTAAACAAATTAGCAATGAAATTGTCTATTATCCTATCCCTTTAACAAAAATTCCCCTTCCATCTTCCGCAGAGGCTGTTGCATTGTTATTATGCACCCTTCTCGGCCAGAACAGGCATTCAGTGAAATAGTATTTTTCAGGGCACAGTTCTGTATGGTCCAAATATGGTGAAGCTGTCATTCTTTCAGAGTTTTCTAAATCACCTGCTTGAAGTTTGTTTTTTGTTGTTTGGGGTGTTGTGTGTATTTCTTACATGTATAATCATATGCAAAGAAAGAGCCTATAGGCTTGCTCCTGCATAGGGATCACACTTCTCTAAATTTCTATTTATCTTTGGCTGAGTTTGAGATCAATGGCTTGGTTACCACTTGTGTATATAATTATTGCTATAGCTTCAAGTCTTCTTTCAAAAACACTTCATGCACAGGGTCTGAAATAATTATGCAGTAATCCAATAGAATATAACACTAAGGAAGGAGCATTTCTAAAGACAAATTAATAACTCACTGTGAAGTTTTGTTCAGATATATCTAAAATGGGTGGAGGGATTTTTTTTGATCTTATAAAAGATGATATCACCAAAATCAGGATCTTCTGCTTGTTGCCACGCAAAGGAGTCAGTAAATTTTGCAAATAATTCTTTGCTGGAAGTAGCTGAAGAAGGAACTTTTTAAAATGTATTAATCTCAAATTGACTTTAATTTTTTCCATGCGCACCACAGTGGTTTGTCCCAGGTAGCCTGAACTGTAGCAGTATCTTGCTTCCAGACTGTTGTGATATACATTCAGATTATACCTAAAAAATAACTTTTCCTATTTTCTCTTAATTGTAAACTAAGTTGCATCTGTTTTTTAAAAGGGTAGCAAAATATAATACAGGAATTAATTGCAATTAAAAGTATGTGTCCAAGGGTATTCTAGAATTCAGCCTCTACTGAAATGTGTTATTTTGCTGACATTGTACTTTTCATATAAAGTGTTAAGTATTGCCCATGATTGCATTTGTATCTACTGAAAGTAATACATAATAATAAAATCCCCTGCAGATGAAGCTTTCTTTGTTAGAAGATTATATTATTATTAACATTAAAAGGGGCTAGAATGGTCTTCTTAACATAGCGTCTCCAGATGTTACTGGGAGGTGCAGTTCCAACTCATTTGGTCTGTATTATGCTAGGAAAATCTGAAATAAAATCACCAGGAAGCATCTGTTTCATCCTCTTATATTATGAATGATAGTTTCTGGCCCTGAAGATCTGCTTGAAAAATAGCACCTTTGTTTATTACGCTTTCACAGATGTAGGTTTCAGTATTATCTGCATGTAATTGCACTTCTGAATACTTTTCACAACACATTTCCTCAGAATGGATGTTTAGGCTAATTCTCCCATTCTCCCTCCTGTTGTACAAACTTCAACATTTTAACAATTATCCTCTATGTGACTGGAGAATGAGGATTATGTGTAGAAAAGATGAAGAAATGTTCAGCAGAGGTAAGATTAATGAGTAGTATTATATAAATGGTATCTAGTAGTACTGTCCTTCAGTTGTTCCAATTCTATCCAGTCTTTTCCCCAACATCTTAATTCCCCAGGATATACAGGGTCTTGTTTAAAAGCACAATATTGATTTAGATGCATTAAGAAGAGTTTCCCATGATACCATGTACATTCTCAGAACTTGCATGGAATTGTCAGACAGTCTAAACTGTATGGTCTGCCAAGTTGAAAGCATATGGGCAGTGCCACACTGAAGTTGCATGATCTTGGAAAGAAAAGATGTACATGGATAGTAAGTTTTTTAATTAATGCATGGAAGCAAGTACTATACTTCTAGGAATTAGTGGGTGTGTTTAAGTAAATGAAGTAAGAATGTGAGAGATGAAGATTTAGTAAGGCTCTCTTGAATGAGATGAGGAAGTCTGAAAATAGAGCCTATAGCATAACAGTACTGCAGTATGCTGGAATAAAACTGGTGTCTATAAAAGATATGCTTTCTGTATTTGGGATGTATTTCCAGTGTCCTTAATGAGTGTGTGTGTGTGTGTGTGTGTGTGTGTGTGTGTGTGTGTGTGTGTGTGAATGTCTGTCCAACATACTTTTACTGTTCCTGTTTGTGGGATTTCAGCCCCTTTGATCTTTTACAAACTTGCACTTAGGTGTGAGGTGAGACGGGGAGGGTTCAGGATAGGCTGTTGCTCTGAAGAAATAAACATTTGAAAACAGCCTAATGTTCATATTTAGTTTTCAAGGAGGACACCCCACACAGATAGTTTAGTTCTACAGTATACTGCCAACCTAGATTTATGGCAAATTTCATGCAAGGTAGCCACAGGGTGTTGAGTTCCGCTCTATTTATATTTCAGCCCAAAAGATTAAAGAGAAAGCCCTCATAGCTATAAGGATTTGGGGACTTCCAAATGATATCAGAACTAGCTGTAAGGATGCCAGTCTAATGCAGCATTTTTCAAACTTGCCAACTCTAATGTGTAATTCATATCCCAAATTTTCATAGCCAGTCTGGGGAATTCTGGGACCTGAAGTCCATATGTTAAAGTTGCCAAGTTTGAAGAACATTGGTATAACACAACCTTTTCCAACTTAGTTCCCTTCTGATTTGCTAGGGCTACAACTCCTGGAAAGCCATATTGTGTGGAAATTCTGGGAACTGCCATTTCAATACACTTGGAGGGTGCCAAGGTAAAGAAGGCTTTCATACAATTCTTTCTTGGATGGATGTTACACTACAGCCAAGTTTTAAAAATATTCTCCCATAAACACAATATGGGTAGAAATGGAGTGCAAATTTAAGAAAAGTTTTAGCCTAGTTTTTCCTGAATTTGTTTCTTCATATGGGGAACCTAAAATAAAACAGTACCCTAACATTCCCCCTCTGTTCGCAATATGCTGTTAATTAACATATTCCAAGAAGTCTCTTTGTGGATTTATTACAACTATGTTTGTGATAAGAAATGAGTTCTTTTCAAGCAAAGCTACAAAAAGTTGGTTAAGGTCATTCTGTGGGACATTATTGTTCCCTTGTTCCTGAAATGTCCTCATTATACCAGTGACTAATGATATGAATATTCTGCCTCCTTCCATTAAAAACCCAAATAAAACATTCCCAATGGTCTATTTTGAAAGAAAACTCCATACAGTTTCCATGCAGGAGAAAATGAAGTACAGTGATTTTGAAAGGAATTATCATTCATCTGTATGTAGATATAGAGGGAGAATTTTTCTGGACTTTTCCTTGCGATGCAGCAGCTGCTCTTAAGTCCAATGAAGTGAGGATCTGAAGGCCACTTTCCTTTTGCTGTATGAGACATCCTTCCTGTGACAGTTGGAGGAACTTCCTGCACACACGTACCACCAGCAGCTTCTAGCCTATCCCCCTCCTTGATGGTGCAATACCAGTGGGAGTGCCACAAAACTGTGACTTCTTTCTGAGAATGCTTTTAATTCTTTCTGAAATAACCTTGTTATCTATAATGTGTCTGTGTTCTAACAACTTTTTGTGTTGTTCTTGCCTCTTTAATCCCATGTTGATCTTTGTAACACTGGCAATAAATCATTAAAGTGACTTTCCAAGAGTCTTCCGTTCTGAAATTTTTTCATTTCACAATGGTCTTTTGAGATGAGAATCTAAGGTTATTGGGTAAAGGGAACAGGGTAGCTGTTCCTAGAATTTGTAATGCAGAGATGAAGTATACTAGTCTACTGGAAACAGCTATTTGATTAGCAGCAAAATGCATGCAGTCCATTTAGGGTGAGCAGTATTTGCACGCAGATTCACTGCAGCTCCTATCACTGTATGCTTTTGGCTGTGCTGTTTAAAAGTAATGAGTTGGCACTGAACAACTTCTGGAATGTTGCAGTTTTACTTAGCAATGAATTCAGATTACTTTGTAATGAAGTCAGATCACTGAACCATCTAGCCCAGTATTAGTAGTAGCTTTCCTAGGTTTAAATGAGGCATTTTCTCTACTGCTACTTCTAAGTTTGTACATGTTCCTGTTAATGGATTTTACCAGTGATTTTTATGAATCTTATGATTTTTATCTGGAAGTATCTATCATTTCTAAGCTGAGGATAGTAAATCATATATGCTTTAACATATTGCAAACCATTCAGTTCCAAAGATAGAATTTTTAGTTTAAATTTTAATGAACCAGTGTGAAGTCATATTGTTTATTGATTTCTAACTATGTCTTGACTTTTAATTTTATATCAAGTTACAAATGTGAATTACAAAACAGACATTTGACCATATTTTAATTCAATTTTATTAATGTCATACTTTTATAATGATATAAAAGCTGCCTGTCAACAAAGCCCCACAAATCTGTAGCTACAGCAAAATAGTTGGGTTTCTTTAACATACATGGCATCAAAATAAACATTCCTGCTTAATAAAGTTGGGTTCTGTTTTTTGATCCATCTGAGAAATAGACCACCTTGTGGCTTTCACAGTAATAAGTAGGTCCCTGTATTAAGTACTTCATAACCTTCCTGGAAAAGGAATGGAAACTAACCTAAGAAGAGCTGGCAATATTTATCTTAAAGCAAAAGCCTCAGCATCTCAGAAAAGAATGGGTTAATTTCATTTCATTAATAATACCAGCTTCTCATCATCCTTTTCTATCTTTAGATGCCTCTAATTGTATCATAGCACTATTTATGAAGAAGGAAGCAAGTAATGAAATACCTGCTTTCAACTCTGAATTAGTGCCATGGTTATATGAAAGTAGTATAGCTGAAGGCATCCATTTCATATCTTTATTGCATGATCACAACAAATGAAAAAAATGACTTAACACCTTCTCCAAAATTTGGAATAATTTTGATATATTCAGTATGAGCCAGCCTAACAGGAGTAAAGTACCAACAATGGTATGTTTTGTTTCATTTATTTATCAGCCAATCAATCAAATTCACATGTCACCTATCTCATGGAAAATGACTCTGGGCATTGTACAACAATCCAATTATCTTCCATTGCATTCTTAAATTGAAGCCAAAGCTCTTTCCAGAACTTCTGCCAATTGTCTCCTGTACAGGATTACTAAAATCAGTATTCCAAGCTTCCTTTAAAATACATAACGGATCTTCTATTTCTGATTGCAATCACAACCGATAAATTTTTAAAATTGTTTTTGGTTGTTTTAAATGATAAAGTATTAAATTCTCAAAATGGATATCAGATCATGTTGCTGAATCTCTAATATTTCTATTACCCAAAAGAAATTTAAGTTGATATCAGATGGTAATTTGTCACCTATTTGTTGCTCAATCTGATTTATATTGAAAGGTTCTTTATTACTATAAAAATATATAAATATTTTTTTCTCAAAGATTTCATTTTAGCCAAACCATAATAATCATCCTGATCAATTTATGTTGACAGAAAAAGGAGGAATAAGCTTTATCAAAACTGCATATCTATTCTTTCAAATTTGAAGCATTGTTTTAGTAAAAATATTTTCAATCTGTTTTATTCTAGAAAAACATTTTGGATTAAAAGCCATTGATTTATAAATTTATCTGGTTCTAACATAGCTTAAAAATGAATTTTTTAGATGAGTCTCCCAGAATACATGGAATCATATGCCCTAGCTGCAATCCTCGATAATGTATTAACAAATTGGGCATGACCCAACCTCCCTGTTTTTGAGATCTATCGGTATGTAAATAATTTTATTTACTCTTAGTTTTTGTAGATTAAAATAGAAGCTTTTTTTTTTTGCCAATGTCTTAAAGCCTATTTAGAAGTTACCACTAGGAGGCACTGAAATAAAAAATTCAACTGTGCAAGCATTTTCATTTTAACCGCTGTAATTCATCCTATAATATTGAAATGTTTTGAAGCCTAGTTTTTCATTTATTTATTTATTTTATTTGTCAGATTTATATGCCGCCCTTCTCCCGTAGGACTCGGGGCGGCTCACAACAATAAAACAACCCGACAATAGATACAAATTAAATAATATTAAAAACCAATTAATATCCCCAAATCCCCAAGTTAAAATCCATGGCAGATCAGGGAAGTTGCTGAAAGAGCCATGTCTTTAGGTCTTTATTTAATTTATTTCAAGTTGGTAAATAATTATATGTAAAGATTTTATTAATATTTTTAATTATAATGCATATATATATGTATGTATATATGTATAATTTATGAAAATTAACTGATAGTCCTGACATTTCTGCAAATTTCTTTCACTCCTTAATATACCTAGCTGAATAAAAAGCATTTGAGAGAGTCAAAATAATATGTAAATAGATTTAAAAGATGTATTTACCTCCCATTTTTATTCCATTAATCTAATTATTAGATCTAAATGCTATTGCCAGCACTTCTATAGTTAGGTTGGATAATTAAGGTGATAAAGTACAATCCTGCTTGAAGAGTTAGAGTGTGCAATGGGAAGAAAGTGTAAGTAGACAATATTCTAATAACTGAAGCTAAAGCAAAGGCTGCTCCCCAGACCTAGTTGTGGGAAGGCGCAGTTGCAATATTCAAGGCTACTAAGATGTGTGGACCTCAACACACAAACTGTACTTTTATTGGACTAAAAATATATTATCTATGATAAAATAAACCTGAGCACCAAAGTCATATTTTAAACAGATGGTTTCACATATTAGATCAGAAGCCACATAATATTTTAATGGATACTGAAAGCTGAGTAGAATGGTAATGTTTATGACTAATCATTTTCAATAGGATCTATGTTTCAAAGTTTACTTTCTACCTCTCTCCGCATTCTGCATGGCTAATAATAGATTAGGGGTGTTTTCCCTATTCATTATTAGCTTGAAAAAAGACCTGCTTCTAATTTTTTAAAAATGGCAGGCCATCTTAAGGGTTTCAAGAATATGAAAATACTTTGAAAGATCAGATTGTTTTCCCTTTAACCTATTAATACTATTTTAATCACAGAAATTGATTTGGGTGAATATAAAGAGATTACCAGCTTTCTATTTCTCTCCTTCTCTCTCAAAGTTTTAGAAAAAGGACACAGCTCCCTTTAAAATGAAACTTTTTGTTTTAGGGGCTGGGAGGATGAAATATGGCAGTCATCGTTCTGTAGATTCTTACTACTACAAACTGGTGATGGCACTTCAACTCTCTTTCTCTTTTCATACTTCACCTCCATTTCCAAAGTGCATTTCAACCTTGGGCTTCAGCAAGCCTTGATTATAATTCAAAAGGTGCTTTTATGAAGTGAACAAGAAGAATAGCAGCAGAAGATCTGTGGGTCAAGATTTGTTCACTGTCTCTGGAAAAAATATCTGTCGACATCGCCGAACTGTGTCCTGGGGAGAATGGATACTGTGTCCTACTGTCCGAGGATCATCATAGATTTCATAATCATTCCCACCCTAAGGACATAAAGAAGATTATTCCTTCTGCTTTATGATTTTTAAATTCATGAGGCTGGAAGTGCTGTGACAGCAATTATGAAAAAAACATGCATCCAATCCTCCTGCCTCCACTGAGATAGGGTACCTGGCTCCACTTAAGATTAGCTCAAGACAATCTGGATGTGCCAATTCCCAGGGAAATTATAGTCCCTCTAAAAATTCATAATTGAGAAAGAATACAAAGGGCCTTATGAACTGGTTTAAGCAAGAATAAAATTTGCAACAAGGAAGTCTTCATAGATGAAAAAAGGGCCTTACTCGCCTCTCAGAGTTAATGATTCTTTTTAAAAATGCATACAGACAGTTCTCACTATGTGACTGGTCATGTAACATCTATTGGAACTTACGACAGATCCCTTCCCCCCAAAAGCTACATACAACCCTGTTTTTAAGTTATGGCAGCTGCAACATCCCCATGTCATTCGCTCTCAGATCGACCACATGTACACTATAACACCTTCCCATCTCTCTACCCCTCCCCCCGTGCCGCCCCACTGGGACCCTGCAGTGCTTGGCCTTGCTCCCCATGCATCCTGGAAGAGCTGCTACTTTCAGCACACCAATTCCTCGCAGAAATTACAGCTGCTTTCAGAACTTTCTGCCCAATCAGCTGGCCATTAGGAGACTGCAAACCTCTCTTGGCTCTTGCTAGGCTTCTGGGAAACCTGCTGCCTACATGCAAAGACAGCAGCTTCAGAACAAACCTCCTGCCTCAGTCAGAAGACTGCAAGCCTCCCTTGGTTCCTGCTTGGCTTTTGGGAAGCCAACTGCCTGTGCATGGCTGGCTTCCTCAAAACCTAGCAAGAGCCAGGAAAAGTTTGCTGTCTCCTATTGGGCAGCTCTTCTGTCTTCATTTTATGCAAGCCTATGAAAGAGCTAACAAAAATGGGGAGGGGGGGAGAACTACTGAAGAAACCTTTTTACAGCAACTCTAATCTCTCCTCCAAAAAAAGCAGGTTAGTCTCAAAGTACTCCCTCTTTCATGTGTGGATGAAACAGTCCATGGAAAAGAATGACTTGGCTGCCAGAACATATCTTGGGCTGTGGGTCTGCACGACTTGCAAGATCTTGATGCAAGCTGGCTTTGTTGTACAAATACGGCCTTGCCCACTGAAAATTCTGATCAGAGAAGCATTTGTAGGACCCTTCAATTGTAAACAGGCAATATCTGAGGCTCCCAAATATGCCTACTGATATTTTCAAACATTGAAATTACTGTTTGAAGATCACAAAGAAGATGTCTTTGACCCATAGTGGTAACTGGGCTCTGAGAAGAGCTCATTCTGAGAAGAACATGGGAAGCTTTCTCCTCAGTCCTCAAAAGTGCTGACCTGACAGGGATTACGGAGACCTGGTTAGGCCAGGAGGGAGGAGTTCCCCTTGTGGAAATGTGCCCGCCAGGTTTCCGTGCATTCCATCAGCCAAGGGCTCAGGGAAGGGGTGGGGGAGTGGCAGCAATCATTAGAGAAAGTCTTTGCCCGAGGGAGGCCACTGTTCCTCAGATAGCCGGATGTGAGTCCCTCCTTGTGAAGTGGGGTCAGGGGATTCAGATGGGCCTACTGATTGCGTACCTGGCTCCCTGCCACGTAACAGCGGTCCTGCCTGAGCTGCTCGACATTATAGCCGGGGTGGCGGTGGAAACCCCCAGACTTATTGTTATGGGGGATTTTAACCTGCCATCTGCTGGTGAGATGTTGGAGACGGCTCGGGAGTTCATGGCTTCCATGACGGCCATGGGCCTGACCCAGGTAGTTCAAGGCCCCACCCACTTGGGGAATCACACTCTGGACTTGATTTTTGTCTCTGATCAGTGGCTGAATGATCTAAGAATAGGGGATATAGACATCAAGCCCTTGTCATGGTCTGATCATTCTCTCCTTCACATGGACTTTCAAGTCACTTCCACCCACCGCAGGGAGATGGAACCAGCCAAATGGTTCCGTCCCAGGCGCCTGATGGACCCCGAAAGGTTCCTGATGGAGCTTGGGCCATTTCCTGAGACTCTGGCTCACGACTCGACTGAGGACCTGGTGGTCGCCTGGGACAGGGCGGCTACTGGGGCCTTGGACCGCGTCGTGCCTTTGCGGCCTCTGACCCGATGCCGATCTCATCTAGCTCCTTGGTTTTCCGAGGAGCTGAGAGAGATGAAGCGTCAGAAAAGACGCCTGGAGAGTGATTGGAGGACAAGCCGATCTGAATCTGACCGAACACAGGTGAGATCTTATATTAAGACCTACCTAGTGGCGATAAGAGTGGCGAAGTCTAGCTACTTCTCCGCTCTTATTGCATCTGCAGAGAACCGCCCAGCTGCGCTGTTTAGGGTGACCCGCTCCCTACTTCAGGTGGGGGTACGGGAAGATCCCTTAAAGGGTCGAGCTGAGGATTTTGTACAATTCCTGCATGATAAAGTCGCTCAGATTCGGGAAGGCCTGGACTCCGATTGGGTAGATCCAGGGGAGGAGACGGGGGCAGGTCTTGAGAGCGTTATCTGGGAAGAGTTTGACTCTGTGGCTCCTGAGGACGTGGACAGGATTCTGGGCAAGCTTAACGCTGCCACATGTTTATTGGACCCATGTCCCTCCTGGTTGGTACTGGCCTCCCGGGAGGTTACACGAGGCTGGCTCCAGGGGATTATAAATGCTTCTCTGAGTGAGGGTGTCTTTCCCGCCGCCTTGAAAGAGGCGGTTGTGAAGCCCCTCCTCAAGAAGCCTTCCCTGGACCCGGCTATATTATCAAATTATCGTCCAGTCTCCAATCTTCGCTTTGTTGCGAAGGTTGTTGAGAGTGTGGTGGCGCGACAACTACCCTGATACCTGGATGAAGTTGTCTATCTGGATCCGTTCCAGTCGGGCTTCAGGTCACGATACAGCACAGAAACGGCATTGGTCGCATTGGTGGATGATCTCTGGAGGGCTTGGGACAGAGGTTGCTCCTCTATCCTGGTCCTATTGGATCTCTCAGCGGCTTTTGATACCATCAACCATGGTATCTTACTGCACCGGTTGGAGAGGTTAGGAATAGGGGGCACCGTGCTTCGGTGGTTCTCCTCCTTCCTCTCTGACCGTTCGCAGTTTGTGTTGGCAGGGGGGCAGAGGTCGACCTCGAGGCACCTTATTTGTGGGGTGCCGCAAGGGTCAGTCCTCTCACCCCTTCTGTTCAACATTTATGTAAAACCGCTAGGTGAGATCATCCGTGGTTTTGGGGTGAGTGTTCATCAGTATGCTGATGACACACAGCTATACATCTCCACCCCAGACCACCCCAATGATGCCCTTGCTGTGATGTCCCGTTGCCTGGAGGCCGTGCGGATCTGGATGGGGAGAAACAAGCTCAGACTCAACCCCTCCAAGACCGAGTGGCTGTGGCTTCCGGCGTCCCGGTATAGTCAGCTGGTACCATCACTGACAATAGGGGATGAGATCTTGCTCCCCACAGAGAGGGCCCGCAACTTGGGTGTCCTCCTGGATTCACGGTTATCTTTAGAAGATCATTTGACGGCCGTGGCCAGGGGTGCCTTTTATCAGGTTCGCCTGATCCGCCAGTTGCGTCCCTTTCTGGATCGGGACGCCTTGCGCACGGTCACTCATGCCCTAGTTACCTCCCGTATGGACTACTGTAATGCTCTCTACATGGGGCTCCCCTTGAAAAGCACCCGGAGGCTCCAACTGGTCCAGAACGTAGCCGCGTGGGTGATTATGGGCGCAGCTCGTTACGCCCATGTAACACCTCTCCTACGCGAGCTGCACTGGCTCCCGGTGGTCTTCCGGGTGCGATTCAAGGTGTTAGTTATCACCTTTAAAGCGCTCCATGGCTTAGGACCTGGGTACCTACGAGACCGTCTTTTGCCACCAATAGCCTCCCACCGACCAGTTCGTTCTCACAGGGAGGGACTACTCAGGGTACCGTCAGTCAAATTATGTCGACTGGCGACTCCCAGGGGGAGGGCCTTCTCTGTGGGGGCTCCAACCCTTTGGAATGAACTGCCCCCGGAGATACGGAATATCCCTGATCTCCGTGCTTTCCGCCGTGCCCTCAAGACCCTGATGTTCCAACAGGCAGGGCTAAACATACAAACGTGCGAATGATTTTTTAAATGTTATCTAATTCTGGGTTTTATTTAATTGACCAAACTAAGTAACAATTTTAATTAGCAATTTTATGATGTTTATGTGTCTATATTTTTCTTGACTGTACACCGCCTTGAGTCCTACGGGAGAAAGGCGGTATAGAAATATAATAAATAAATAAATAAATAAATAAAATGGTTTCTTATCATATACTTACAGGGGTTGTCTCATTTCCAAAGAAATGTATGACATCAAATTTCTCATCCTCAAGGATGTTGAGGCAATAGCGTTTGTCCCAGCCCTCCGGAAAAACATCAAAACTAATCATACCACCTGTCAGGTTTAGAGAAAATTTAGTGAAAATGAGATGCGAGTTTTTGGGAGAAAAATCTTTCCTTTGCTATCTCTGGCATAAGACACTGTGTCTTTGTGCAAACATTTTTTTTAACATGACTCATGGATCTGCGCTACTGTGCCGGCCTGATTCCCAGACACATTATAATATTACGGTTGATGTTTCCATAGCAATGAGATTAATTGGCATTAGTGGTGGGCTCTCAGTTGAAGATACAAACAAGAAACAGTTGATTTGAGTACACATGATGTGCAGAGTTCAAACACATTTCAGAAAAATATGTGAAAATGTGCTTAATAATATGGCTAACGGGGGAAAGGATTCTTTTATCATGTTCTTGTGTAACTGGACTACAAGAAACACTCATGTTTATCATAAACCCAATGTTTATCATTTATTTGTAAAATTTATTCGCCACATGATAACTCTGGGTGGCTTGAAGTTAATTAACATGGATGGACCTAGCAGGTGCCTCATGTAATTCAGTTTAACCCTAACATTACAGGGACCTTCTTCATGAGTGCTTTGAATATCATCTCTGACAGATTGGTAGCCTAATACTTTTTCCTAAATAAGTCTGGCATGTTGGTGGCAGAAATGCCAGGAGCCGCCATCATCACCATAAGGAATAGTGGGTCCTGCTAGAACCACGGGAAGAAATTTGGCCAACCGAAAAAATGATATTCAGAAGTTCAAGCTGTGAAAAGCTCCACTTATATGAGAAATCTACCTGAGTATAACCCTTCCTTCATTCCAAGAATGTCTTGGCATTCTTTGTGATATTCTTTCAGCTTTTTGAAGAATGCTGTTGTATTTCCTCGGAGTCTTTCCTGCTCAAGGCTATATATGTCCTGCTATTTCAATCTCTCTTCATAGGACTCTATGTCCATCATCTCCATTTATCAATTATCTCCACTGGCCTTCAACATCTCCACTGGCCTTCTCCAGTGTTTTTAAAGTGTTTTTAAAATGTGGTGCCAAAGCAATACAGGAATGGAGTCTGAACAAAATATAGGCATTATTTCCTGTGATTTGGAAACTTCAATTGATACAAACTAAAATTGTACCTAACTTCCTTGCAGTCACATATCACTTTATATTCCCCACATGCCTGCTTTAAATAGAATTTGATTTTTATTTGCCAAATCCCACTCAAAATAAAATGCACTAAAAAGCATCCAAAATGACTGTGAGAAATTTCTTATACTTACCTCGGGAAAATCGCAGTCCCTTGCCTGCAAACTCCCTCTGCAGAGCTGCTACAAATTTCTCTCGTATCTTTTCTTTCTATAGTGGAGGCAACCAGAAGTGTGAAAAGAGACACTTCAGTTATTTTTATTTATCAGAGTCCACTTTTTCCTCCAAAGAAACCAGTGCAAAGAGAACTTCCGCAAACTGTTAGGTTAATCTTCTTGTATAATTTCAGCTTCCTCACATAGTACGTCCTGTTCATAAAAACTAAATAAAAGATTTACATATACCCTTACCTAAAATATCACTGGAATCCTAAAGTAATTATATATCATAATAAAAACATCCCCACTGATAATGCATTGGGCAGCCTAATGCTTGTATTTACCTTGTCCAGTTCAGAAAATTCTATTCGTTCTTCCAAACTGCAGCTTCGGCCAATGGGAGAGATGTTCAACATTCCATTGCGAAATTCTATGAATGTTCCCCTTTGTATATTTGGAGAAGAAAGAAGAATATAAGGTAGGAAGGTAGTACTGTACTGTTACAAACACTCAAAATCCTTGGGATTGAAACAAAGGTATGCAACTTCTATCTTAAAGAGGGCATGTAGCCTCTACCAGCACCCTATTTGAAGATCTCCAGTATTTCAATTTGGGTTGCTAAAATTCAGTGTTAAAATAGTTCCATTTCAATGATACTGACTTTTTAATTGAGTGATTTTATTTCAGTGATACTGAATTTTTAAAATATAAATTAAGCATAGGAATAGGAGCACGAAATTTCTGGAAAGCCAACTACTCCTATTTCTATTCTCATTCTGTCATCCTCCCACTACTTCAAATTTATTCTTAATCCCAATCCCCAATCTCAAACACAGTTCAAAATTGCCTAAAAAAATAGACTTTCGACTGTTTTTTTAGGACCCAAGCAGATTGAAGGTTCTTCTGTTCCTATTCCCATACTTAAAAAGCAATTGCCTATGAATGCAAGCTGAACTATCTCAACACCTACCTTTAAAATAATGCCTTAGTGTCTCTCAGCAGCCTCCTGTAGAAGGCTGAATATGACACATACATCCCAAACAATTAACTGAAATGGCTTAATTTTGAGAAAATATTCTGACTATTTTCAAATTAGGGTGGAAGATTAAGGACTCTCTTCTCAATATATCATCTAATTAGTTAAAAATTCTAACAAAATGGTTAAATAATAAGAAAATGGGGAAAACTTTATACTTGGACAAAATTGTTCCTTGCTTAGGAAAAGAAAGATGGGTAATTTCTTTGTTTATCTGTGATCCAAATTCCAAACATTATATGGTAAAATATCCTCATATATCGATATAAGGAAAGTACATTACCGTTTCTTGGGCAACTTTAGAAGTGCCATGTAATTAAGGCAAAAGTTGATCAGCTCTTGCAAAAGTTCCTCTCCAAGATGGTTCTGGATAGCCTATTGAACAAAGGATACAATTGATAAAAATGATTCTTGCAGAAGACAGCAGATGCTTTCACCACACAGTATGTTAATTAGAAACAAAGGAGGCCTTTGCCAACAGGAGTAGAAATCAAGGTAGGTGAAATCTTAAAATGTTGCTTAACAAATTTTACTTTATGATGTAAGATGCAAGAAACAATTTTACCTTCTGCAGTAGTACTAAAATCAACGACATTTCTAGATTGTCATATCTGGATGAAGAGGACTGAAAGGAAAATAATAATCTTAAAACAGCCTCGTTTGACTTGGTCTCCTCAAAATCCAATTAGGGCCGTAATTTTCAGCAATCCCAGCCATTTCTAAGAATTACAACACATTTAGCGGATGTTGGATCAGAAAATGTTGTTTTATTAAATATAAATTTTAATGTCTCTTATTATCTTGTATTTTGTGTCAAAAAGAAAATAACTTATAATGTTCAACCATGTATCTGGTATGTTACATTATGAAATAATGTTTTTCAGGCATCACTCTTTGAGATTTTGCTTTCTCTTTGGAGGTTTATTAAAAGGTTATGCAATCAGTGGTCCTCCAGAGTTAATTGAGTTTCAATTCCTGGCAAACTAAGTCACTATAAACACCAGTGAGGGTTGGTGCAAACAATAGTTAGGCAACAAAAATTATCCATTCTCTTTTTTTAAAATAAGGTTATTCTTTATTTCAATTCCTATGTGAAGCCAGATGAGTTGAATGGGTTTTGAATATAACCTTCTCCCTATGAGTGATTTCAGGTGAAAAGCAATGGCAGGAAAATATTTGTAATGTCAATGGAGAAACACAAAGAGGCTACCCCTACCTGCTTTGAGACTAGTTGCCCATTCTTGTATTGCACAGTGCCATTTTCTGCAAAGACGTAATCAAACTTGTTTATGACTGTTGGAAATGGTTGTTGGAAGAGTAGAGAAATTGAGAAAAAAAAATCAATGGAAGAGAAATCAGTCAAATATTAATGCAACTCTTTTCATCATTCAGATGGCTAGGGGCCAAGATGGATGAATTAGTTGAATTCTATTTGCGCTGCTTCTCTAAAAAAGCTGTGTAAACAGTGATGCTCATTTATAATTTTAGGAGCGCTAAACATGAGTTCTCACCTTTCCTTGGAAGGAAGGATTCAGAATATGATATTGTACTGTTTTTGTTACTGACAAAACATGATGACTAACACAGAGAACACAGGGATACATAATAACTGTTCCATTTTTTTACTGCACTGGATCTAGCTTAAACTGAAAGCATACAGTGAAATTCCATTAACTTAATGGTGTATCTGGAAATTGGACTGGAAAGCAATTTGCCTTTTTCATGCAAATTTATGTAAGCATGGAATATTAACATTTTTCAACCTCACTTAGATTGTTGCAGGCTACAGGTGGGGGATTGATTGTTACAAAAATAAAAGTCATGATTTCTTTCTCTGTTCTGAAAGCTACTTTAGTCTCTAAAAATTTACATTGCAAATTTCTGTTGTTTCCTATATTCCCTGCATTCTGGAGGATTTCTATCCTTGATTTTTTTCACCTGAGTTTCTTGGTTATGTATGTAGAACTGTACATTTAAACTTAGAGCTTGCCACATAAGTTCAAGGAAAGAGTATAGGAATACCTCTTGCAAGGCTGCTCCTGTGCCCGATAGTCTTAAAACTCGATGTTCCTATTCTGTTCTATGACTTTAAAGCATTTGTATAGGAAAGAATGGCCAGTGTCTTGGCTGAAACTCTTAAATAATCTTTACATTAAAAGTAATAACTTGTCCAGGATACTTAGAGCAGCCTTGCTATAGGAGAATTTGCCAAAAGTTTCCATTTTGTTTGAATTATGGTTCACTAACATGATCTGACACTAATATACAGCCATTCAACAATGTCCAAACAATAATAAAAATTCTGTAATATAAAAATTAAGTGAGACAAAAGAAAAGACACCTTACTTACCTTCATCCCCTTCTCCAAGCTGTTCTGCTATTTTGGAGTAGTCTGAGCCTCCAACCACCCCAATCATCACTCTTTTACGCAGCTCTTGAAGAAATTTTGCTATTTCAGGCTCAATTTTCTGAAGGAAACAGAAAACGAGATTCTTATGGAAAAGCTATAGATAGCACCATGCTGATATTATGCAACAGACACATACACATGGATCCTGTGTGTGTTAAAATCGAATCAATCCATCATGACAGAATAAGCATTCATAAACCAGGGCAACTGATGTTTAAAATCACCAGATAAATTGTAATCAGTAGATAAAAACCCAACCCAAACCGTTAGAAAACCCTTGTCTAGAAATGGTGGAGAGCAATAAAATCTAAGAGCTTTGGACAGTCCAGGGAAGGGAAATTGGAAATGTATGGACAATTTTTCCTTCTGCTCATATCTCTTCTATCTCATTCTTAACCAGTCAGAACTACTTGGTCTTTCATTTATAAACAATAACAGACATTGCTGGCTTACCTATGTCTCATTTACTAATCTATCATGGTTTTTGTTGCTTCAGGGCAATGATGTTGGCTTTTCAGACTTTAGAGAGATTAGGGAATAATAAATTTAGTGGTGAGCATTATTTTTTTTCTAAATGATGCTTGGTGTAGTGATGTGCTGATCACCTTGATAAAGGGCAAGATACTACTTTATTTGTCCAAGTGTTTTGTTTTTCAGAATTTGACCTAATTGGAAAATTACATTTAGACTGAATGCAACAAAATGACCTTCTTGGTATTTTAATCAGGATATCAGTCCAGCAAAGAAATGGATGAAGAATCATGCACTGAATAAAGCTTGATAGTCCCTTCCAGCTTTCAATCATCATACTAAAATTGGTTACAGGTACTGCTAGCTCTGCTGTACAGATGAATGGATTAAAGTTTTAACTATCATATATTTGAAGAAAAAAGTCACTGGAGGAATGGTATTTGCAATAGCTTCAAAATGGACAGAGAATTAAGTTTTCATGAAATGCAGATTTATATGAAACTCATTAACTGGTCCAGCTACCAGTTAATGGAATACAAATCTAGAATGGAGCCACTTATATATTACAAAAACTCCCCTGTCTGTAACCTTTATCTGGGCAAAACAGTGCATCACAGGGAAAAATATTTTCAACTAAGGTACCTGAAATGGGCTCATTTATAGAATGACTCCTATGGGCATATGACTTCCAAATGAATGAAATTTGGGGGGGTTGTGTCTGCTTCAGAATTGTTTGGCTGTTGCTGCATCAGTGCTGCCATGGTCAGCGATGGCCTCCTGGTCTTCATTTTCAACATTCCCTGGCAGCTTCCCATAAATCCTTCTGCACTTGCACTGCACTCCTTGTTCCCTACCCCACCTGGCAGCAGCCACTTATCTGCCTGCTGGAAAGGAGAGGGAGGGAGGGAGGGAGGAACAGAGAGAAAGGAAGGAATGCAAGAGGAGGAAAGGGAATAAAGGAAGGGAGAAAGGGGGAAGGAAGTAAGGAACAGAGAGAGAGGGAGAAGGAAGGAACAGTTCCAATGCTCACTGCAAGCTTCCCACAGGAAACTCAATAGGGAGGCTGACAGAAAATTGCAAGCTGTTCCCCCATGCAATACTTGCAATGAATGAACCTAAACGGACAGCCCATTGTAGTACCACCAAATGTGTTGCACTTGCACTACAGGTAGTCGACTTACATTTTTTTGTTTAGTGACTGTATGAAATTACAACAGCACAGAAAAAAATGACTTATGACTGTTTTCACACAGCCGTTGCAGCATCCCAGGTCACTTGATCAAAATTTGGATGCTTGGCAACTGCTTCATATTTATGACTATTGCAGTGTTCTAAGGTCATGTGATCACCTTTTGTGACCTTCTGATAAGCAAAGTCAATGGGGAAGACAGATTCACTAAACAACCGGGTTACTAATTTAACAACTGCACTGATTCACTTAACAACTGTAGCAAGAAAGGTCGTAAAGTGGGACAAAACTCACTTAACTGTCTTCCTTAGCAAAAGAAATGTTGGGCTCAATTGCACTGGTAAGTTTGAGGACCGCCATTATATCCTAGGTTACATAGTTTCTAGATAACACTGGTTTGATAGGGGCACTTCTGGATATATTTGGCTGATCAATTTTGGAAGACAACAGCGCCATTGATCGTATATATGCCAATCCTGTGGTAAGCGCTCCCTAGGCTCAGTGGGGGGTTGAGTTCGCTTCAAGTTAAAGTTACTCTCTAGTCCTGCAAAACATTCCAAATTTAATCTCCCCAACCAACCCGAGTCGCTTGTCCCCTTCACATTTCTTACATAATCGGTGCCGAATGGAAACGTTTTGAAAAGCCCACTCTGGGCAACCCCCCCCCCCCCCCCCGCCCCGGTGTATGAGGGCAACTGAACTCCCACACCGCGTCTGTCGCAACCGCCTCTCATCCAGAGCTTCAAAGGGCGGGAACGAGGCAGAAGAGGAGAAGACAGGAGAAGCGTCGCTTTTTTTCCCCGCTGGGCTCGCCCGGCGTTCCTGGGTTCAGGCGCCACTGCTCTGCGGCACGCTCCAGGGTCCCCCCCGCCCGCCCGCCTAGGCTCCCGGGACCCCCCCCCCCGGTCCCCATTCATTCCGCAAAGGCGTTGAAGGACGAGCTGAGGACGATGGCGAATGCGGGAGGGGTGAAGGCGAAGGTTCCCGATCGCGTTACCTGCCGGGGCGGGGTGAGGGTCCCATCCACGTCAAAGAGGCAGAGAATGCGCGGCGGACTCCCGGAGGTATCGGCCATTGCGCGTCGACCCCGCTTTACTCGGCGGCCGTAACTCCTCAGCGGCGACAAGGCTGCGATCCGCCGGAGGCGTCGGCCCACGAAGGAACCAATTAGGAAGATAAGAGCTGCTCATGTGATCCTTGGAAACCGGGCTGGCAACCCGTCCGGGCCTGGCGGAGGGCTGCGGAGGATTCCCCGGACTCTTAGGAAATCTCAGGCCGGAGTCTCAAAACCGGAGAGGAATGAGTGGCGTAAGCCAAGATTCTTCCGGTCTTCGCAGGCGTAAGAAAGGGGCTGGCCACTCTCTCCATACGTCCTCTCCTTTAACGTCTTCTTGAAATGAGTGACCACGTATCTGTCTATATATGCGTGGGATAGTCACGTGCGAGTTTACATTGACCGTTGTTTACAAATATGTACGCACTCGTGCCTATAAATGAATGAAAGGCTATGCGTGAGAGTTCTTAGGTGCGGTGGGGGGGAGGGACAGCTTGACCACGCCTATTGCGATCTACAGGTCCTGCCCAGTTTCGGCTCCAGCCAAGTCTATTACCGATGCCCCGCAGCGACGTGCAGTTACTAATTCCATGTGATCTAATACAAATAAATAATAAGCAACATAAAAATTGGAATGCGTAGAGCTTTCAGGGTTGTGTATTGTTTACAAGAATAATCCATTTATGCTGATTTAATTAGTGAACTCCTTAGAGCATTTCATTTTCGGTTACTAATCAGATCATCAATACTAGTAAGCTGTAATACAACATCATTGTAGATCGAAGCCCTGAAATTGGTCAGTCAGCAATATTTGGCACAAATGCTGTCCTTGCAGAACCATTGGGTATACATCTGTATCTTTCAATATACAAAATAAAATTATAACATTGTTGATCCATGGAAGAAAAATCCAAACTATACAGTGGGATAATATCTGTTAGGATCCAAAAAAAGATGACAAACTAGTGTTACATTCTTATTGGTCCCACTATATATGTTTGGATTTTTTTCTTCCAATATGTGAATCCTTTTTGGCAAAATGTTGCACTGTAGAACAGCAGTCACCAACTGGTGGTCAACGAGAAAATTTTGGTGGTCCTCAGAAAAATTGCTTGCATTTTTTATATTGCACTAAATCAGGGGTCCTCAAACTACGGCCAGATATATGCAAGTGCCGCTGGTGGCGAAGAGCCGGAGGGCCTTGTTCCAATGGGACTGCCTCATGGCCTGGAACTGGCCTTGCACTCCTGCAGGTCTTCCCTCTGCTTGGAAAGCCTATGCTCGTAGTCCTCAGTGAGGTGCTTCTGCTGAGCCTCCTTCTCGGCCAGATCCAATTTGAACTGAGTCAGCTGTTTTGCCAACTCTTTCTTGTGGTGGCTGCTTAGCTCCAGCAACTGCTTCCTGTTGGGGCCCTAAGGAGCCTGGGCAGGCAGGTGAGGAGTGGCTGGGAGGGGAGGGGCGAGTAGTGGTCGGCGAGGTGCCCCTCGACACGAATGACATCGAGTTGGCCAGGCCCACCCAGTCACATGAACACCTAGCCACACCCACCCAGCCAGTCATTAGGCAGATCATATTAGTGGTCTGCGAGACTTAAAATTATGATTTGGTGGTCCCTGAGGTCCGAAAGGTTGGTGACCCCTGCTTTGGAACATAGAAGACAATAGTGGTGCCTTAGAATTAAAATTCCAATTTTAAAAAGCATTTGTGAAGGAAGTTCGCTACATTAATATTCCACATTACTGGATGCTGTTATTTAAGAATTTTCTCTTCATTTTGTCTTGAGAAATGGTGAACTGCAGGATTTTTTTTTTAAATGAAGCAAATTCACAGATGGCATTGTAGAAAGTTAGCACCCTTGTCCTAGAAAAATGAAATATTCTAGGAAATATTAAAAAGGCTGAATATTATATATCTCCTTGGATGAGAAAAGAAGAAACATGCTCTTGAAAAGCAGCCCCCACCTTTGTTAATAGCCCCAAAAAGACTGGTGCCAACCTATCTACAAGACAAAAAACTGGGCCAGTCTATCTATAAAACAAAGGGCCTCAGCTCCAGGATGATGGGATTATCCTTCAGGGCAAAGCCATTGAGCCACAATAGGAAATTGCCCTTCATTGAATCACTCAGCAAGATTCAACCAAGCCTGAGACACAGACAGCCTCATCTATGACTGCATAGCCCCATGGGAGTCTGACTGCAACCAATAGAATAAGATGAAATTCAAAGCCCAAGAGAGGGTATAAATCCCTCTCTCTCACCCATATGCTCAATTGCCCAGGACCTCAAACCATATGGTCCTGTCCACCATTAAACCATCTTTCCAAACAGCTTCCATGTTTCCAGTGTCTTTCTCCCCACTTGGAACTGAACCCAGATGGACATTTCTTCCAACAGCTTACAGATAAAGCTAAAGATTCCAACAGATAAAGTTAAAGATACAGAGTTGAACTCAGATCTTGGTAAATGGATTGTTGATCAATGCAGTTGCTTTGCTTTCAATATTAGGCAAGATCTGTCATCTGGAGCATAGCAAGTCTTTATACTAAATTTCCTGTTTAATCATTTCTTTGAGCAAAGGCAGAAAATTGGCATAATATTATTTTCTTTGATGAAAATAATATTAGGAAGTTCTAACATAAAAAATGCAAGTAGAAAAATAGGCACCACCTTTGGTGGGAAGGTAACAGCATTCCGTGCTCCTTTGGCATTGAGTCATGCCGGCCACATGACCATGGAGACATCTTTGGTCAGCGCTGGCTCTTCGGCTTTGAAACAGAGATGAGCACCGTCCCCTAGAGTCAGCAACAACTAGCACGTATGTGTGAGGGGAACCTTTACCTTTACCTAACTTTTTATTTAAAAGACCAGTTCATCTAACCTGCAAACATCTTAAAATCTGGAGCTTTAAATCTTTTTGGCTGACCCCTAAAAAAACAAGTATAAACTTTATCTATAGCAAGGCTGCTTTATGACTATTTTAAACCTAACAGTGAATATTTATCCATCTTTAATTAAGGTATGTGTTTGACAGATAGGCAAAACAGTCCCCATGAATCTGAATGTGTGTGGTAACCAGCAACTTAAAGACACGCCCTGGTCCCTTTGCTCCTCTGTAACCTAGGAGAAACAAACAACAAACTAGTTTTATGACTTTAATGTGGAAGACCCAAGATTATATAAAGATCTATTTCCTAACTTTACTCCCAGCTATCATATCTTGGGCAACAGCTATCATTTCGTGATACAAAAGACAGAACAGAATCTGAAAGGTAAGTTTAATATGTATTCACCAGCTGTGAAAGCAGAAGATGGGGTGAAATTATTACAAGGAAGAATAGTAGATTTGAAAGATCAGAGAAGATGCAAGAGTCTGTGGTTTCTGAAACAAATCTTTATTTTCTAGATACAATTCTATAGTTTCTGCTCGTTTTGATATGGAAATTCCCCTTATGTAAGATGGGAAAAACTGACTTGTATTGATTTTTTCTGAGACAAGTGACTGCAATGTTCTAAGCACAACCTCACATTTATTGCTCAGGTCTAGACTGAGCAGGGAGATGAGATGAACTTAATTTATTGCTATGCATTAGGGTTCTTGATTAGTCCCTGTGGGCTGTAAAAGCAGAATTATAATTTTATTCATTTATTGCATGTATATCCTACCGCAACTGAATAGGGAAAAATAATGGGTTACAAAGCCAGCCATACTAGCATCTCTTTACTTGAGCTTACAGGTTTGACTGGTTTCCACAATAAACTCTATCCCCCTTAAATGAGATATCATCATTTGAGTTCACAATCACAAATGAGTTGTGATAGGCAAGAAAAATATGATCCTTTGCAGGATGAACTGGTTCTATTCATTGGGATTTATCAGTGCTGTTTTACCTTATACATAGAGCTCATGTAAGGTGACTGCATAGCTGCAACGGTTCACCTACTAACTGCTAGACTGTGTATGCAACTGCATGTAGGTATGCATGTTTGTAAGTTTACACACATGTGAGCCTCTGCCTACCGAATAGCTCTGGTAATGAATGGCTTCAGGAATGGAAAGGTTTTTTCTGAGGCATTTCTGTTAGAATGATCCAACTCCAGAAATTGAGAAATAAAAATAGATCACAAGTTACCTTGCTTGAAGTTTTGGCCTATGTCCAAATGGGCAGTCAACTAGAAAGTAGACAAATTCATTGCTCCCAAACATTTTCCTGGAAAACGTAGCTGCTGCAGCAACCCAGATTTTAAGTCAGTTGAGTGGATGAATGGGCAAGGGTATTATCTCAGATATTGGCAAAAGAAAGCTTAACTTGACTGAACACATTAGATTTTTAAACACTGCTTTTATTGTTTTTATAAATAATTTAAGGTGAAAAACATACAAATGCTTTCTCATTTTCCCCACAACTCTGTTGAGCTGAGAATGACAGGCCCAAAATCACCCAGGTTTCATGCCTAAAGTGGGACTAGAATTTATAGTTTCCTGGCCATAAAATACTTTCCAGCTGAGTTATTCCAAATTAGAAGTACGTTTGATATTCTGGTCTTAAAGAAAATGGATTTAATTGACCATGGGAATTATATAGGTATATACAGGTATATAGGGATTCAATTCTGAGCATTAGATAAGTTATAGAAGTCTGGGTGACTCTGCAGCTTCCATTTGTTGTACAGAATCATGAAAATATTTTCACCCACTGAATGTAGCACATATATTCTGAAACTGCTCTAAATAGTTTGGGCCACTACTGTATTCTTTGCTGACACATGTACTAATGTAAATAATGCAAACCATATTTATCATTCAGTAGTGAAGCATGACCCCAAGGCTTATGTGAAGAGGTACATCTTGAGAATTTAAAAATTTGTACTGAAAATGCCAAGTACGCTTTCAGAGGCAGGAAAATCCAGAGCCAGAGCCATTCACCTGACCTTGGTTTAAGTCATAACCATCTCACTAATGCATCAGGGGCATTTCCCCACCCAACCCCTGCAAAATACTTTAAAGATGGACTAGTAGTGTAATACAAATTAAAGCCATACATAGAAAAAGAAATGCCAGATGTTCAAGTTTGCTTTGAAAAAGGCTGAGGAACATGAGACATTATTATTGATGCATGTTGGAAAATTGAGAAAGCCAAGAACTATCAAAAGAAGCACTATGTGCTTCATTGATTATAGAAAGGCCTTTGATTGTATCAATATAATCTAAAATATCATAGGATCATATTTTTGATTATAATATCAAGATAAATAGGGAGGCAAATATGCCAAAATAAAACAAGCAAACTCAAGTGGGTTCCGACAAAGGCTTTATTTTAATTATAAAACAAAAACAATATGGAATTCCTGGAAATGACAGACCTGTTAATTAAGCCAGATCTTTGCTGTCATGTACAGGCTGCTCAGCTTTCCATGCCCATTGACAGGTTAAAAGTATATCAATTTAAATACATGCACATTTCATACTTTATATAGACTTATAAATATAAGGATGGGAAAAATGTTAAGATATGAATGTAACTACCAGTATATTTTTCCACAAGTATAAAGCAGGTCTGCTGTCTCTGAACTGACCTTAGTCACTAGTGTCAACTGATGTGGAACATAACATATAAATAATCATTCAGATCCTAGAATTGAGACCCCAATTTGAAATGCAGCCTCTTTTAGGTCTCTGTTCAGTGAAGTTCTAAATATTATTGCACATCACTGAAAATAGAGCCTACAGTGTATTCCAGAAAGCAAAAGAATCCTTTCTTTACTGGAAGCAGTAGAGAGGACATGATCATAATGCAAAAAGTAGAATATTCTTTTTACTCTTAGTGAAGAAAACTACCTAGGGTTGCAAATTTACTTGGGAATAAATCCTGTAGGAAAAAGTGGTACCTGTTTCTGAGTAAACATGAGTTTACTTTGCATTTTCTAAAGTTATAGGAAGGAAAGTTCCAAAAATATGATTAAATAAGTACCAGGAATTTCTTCATTTCTCCATATGCTCGTATGCACTAGTTAAATGGAGAAATGTACATTAAATTTGACAGAAGGAATGATGAAAAGTTACACATGAAAAAGCAATCAATTACATTATTAAAACTACAATTCAAAACAGGTTTACTAGAAAGCATTACCTTTTGGAGTATAGAAGAAAGTATGTGTGTTTTGGATGTAGCTTTTAAGAAATCAAGATATTTTAATCAACCAATGCTTCCAATATGTTATGGAATAAATTTTAGAAAGGTTATATCAGCAGTTCTTCTCCTCTATTATAAATCCACAATGATTGTGATGGAGAAGAGATGTCTAAAAGTAGGTACAGTATGTCATATAGAAAGAACACTCAGAACTATATTCACTGTCACTCCAATTCTTTCTGTGTTGCAATAATCAATAGAGGTATAAAATACTTATGTAATAGAAAAATACTTTATCAGATTGCAATCTGAAAATTCAGCACAAAAGTTCTGAGGCATTTCAAAAGCATGCATTAATGAAGCATTCTTTCTCATTTCTCTACTGTTCTATTCATTCAGAATTTTCTATTTTTCCTAAGGAAGGAAAACTTGTTTTCCCTACCAAGAATTTTTCTGAGCCTCAGACTTAAAACAGCCTTTCTCATCTGGCATCACCAATACTGTATCTTTGGCCAACAAATTCCAGCAAGCAATCCTGTAATGTTTATAGATAATGAGGTTTGTGGCCCATCACATAAATTTTTCAGAAGTTAACCTTTTAAAAAGGGGACAAAAACATCTGTACTGCAATCTAGTTACTTTATTAGATTTGTATTTTATAGTCAATACATTGTACAAGTGAATATTATCTCTGAGTAAAGCAGATTTTCTAATGTTCTTCCCAAGTATTAGGAGAAAATGGAGACAAATAAATAGCCTCTCAAAGGAAAATCTTCTAGTTTCTGAAAAAAATCCAATTTAATTAATAAAAAATTGATATAATGAAATAGCCTGATATTGAGGGAAATGTAGGTGTATGTGTGTTTTCTCAGAGAGTAGTTGTCATTGCCATATAATGCTTTCTTAATCATGCTCAGTAGAGAAGAAAGAAAGGCATATTATATCTGTTTGCTCCTCAAACTGATTCTAGTGTTCTGTTACAATTATTTACAGGAAAAAATGAAGTAGGCCCCAAACCTGGTTAAATAGATATTTTTTGTTGATTTAAAAAGAAACAGCTACAAGATTCTCCTGATTCAAACTGGATGTTAGCATGTGGAGAAGAGGGTGTTTATAGGGATGGATATAACCAATGTAACCATATTTATATATTTAAAACTCAGACTTAAATAATAGGTCTTAAAATTGATTTTGGATATGTTTCCAGAATTGAAACTTATTAGTCTACACTCTTATCTGAAAGTTGTACATTGCATAAGTTTTGTGAAAATTATGTTATTTATTGTATTAGTCAAATTCATTTAGCCTTCCTTAAAATATGGTGTTACTGCTTACAGTAAGACATTCATTTCTACCCAGTGTACATTTTTTTAACATACAAAAGATTAACATAGCACATGGGTTAGGGCTATTCTTTCTGGTATTGAAAAGGTCAGATTTTCAATATAAGTGATAGAGGGTTTTTTTTGGCATCAACAATCCACACTTAAAAATCTATTACTGTATATATTTATTTCTACTGCAGACTGGCTTATATTTTCTGTATTTTCTGTATTTCTCAAAATAATTTCACAGTGAATGTTTTTAGTTTTTTTCTTCTATAAAAATTAAAAGCATATTCAAGCGTATTGTATAATATCGTTAAATTTACAACTTTGAGGTTACAAAATACTGCAACAATGGTAATGAAATTAGTATATTTGGGAAGAGATGGCTAAGGATATCCCTGTTATTTTAGACTGTGCAGGTGGATATCCTAATTTCCACTTTCTTAGTAGGGAATAGTAAAAAAGTGAACCAAGACAAAAAACAGCTTTAATAAGTAAATACATTATTTGATTTTATGACCATATTTCTTCTGATATCACCACATGACATGCAATTCAATAAATATTCTTCCTATCAAGTCCGAAATGCCACTTTTGAACCATGGCATAAACTTATAAGACAGGTATCTAATACAGTGGAGTTTTAAAAGGAAATGCCCTTATGAATTGAGATATTTTTCACTGTGTTTGCTAGCTCTGTCCATTATGTCTGCTAAAAGTATTTCCTCCAGGTGGCTGGATCTGGATGGAGTCAAGAAGTGGTCGTAATGCTTGTCCAAATGGTCTGTGACAGTAAGAAGCATGGGAGAAGAGTATGTTTAAGCTTTCAAAATACTTTGTAACTAAAAATATTAAACTTAAAAACAAGACACCTAAGAACCTTGGGGAGAAATTGGCTATTCACAGTCAATACAATCCTTAAGAGACATATGGAGAAATGAACCTATGATAATATCTAATCAGGATGAAGAAAAGGGAAGCCAATCCAAAACCTTGTCTATAATAGCAAAGAACCTAGACATGGAATTTATTTTCATTTTTGTCTTCTTCTTTTTTGAGGGCTTTGTGTTTCTTTGCTTCATAGCTCCATAGCATTAGATACTGAATTGTTCTGCAATTAACGTCATACTTTGACAGTGAACTGCTAAGCACATTGAAGAGGTGTGCCCTTAGAATATATTAAATGTATTAGGGAAGGTATAAGCTGTCCATTGAGTTCTTTTTTTTCTTTTTGCATACAGGTGGTCCTTGGTTAACAATAATAATTGGGACTAGAATTTGTGTTCCTAAGCAATATGGCTGTAAAGCATGACATGACATGAGCACATTATTTAGCGATGGAAATTCTGGCAAACCTTAGTGCCATCATGAACTGAGAAGGCACGGTTGTTAAAGTTAGCATGCAATGTGGCAGTGTAAACATGGTATACTATATAAAAAAAGATTGTACTTACGTTGCAAGGACTTCAGATGGAAGATCTGTAATGTAGGAAGGGATCTTTCTCCCTGTCAAAAATTGTGCCACTTCATTGCTGAATGTATTACAATTATGATCAAAAAGATTATAGGAATCTCCTCTGTTATCCACCAAAAAATCAAGAAGAATGAACATGATTAAGATGTAAAGCAGAAAAAGTCTCAAGGGTTCAAGCATATAAAGACAATTCATAATTACAGCATCCAGATCAAAAGCTAACTGGATTTTATCCGATCTATTGATACAGTGAGGACACCAGGATCATGTTTCTTGATTGTTCTTTCTCCAGCACACCTAGGTCTGCTACTTTCTAAATGATATGAAATGGATTGTTGCCTTTATATGTACAGGTAGTCCTCGACTTACAACAGTTCATTTAGTGACCATTCAAAGTTAAATCGCTGAAAAAATGACTTATCACCATTTTTCACACTTATGACCATTGCAGCATCCCTATGGTCATATGCTCAAACTTTGGATGCTTGGCAACTGATTCATATTTATGACAGTTGCAGCCTCCCAGGGTCACATGATTACTTTTGCAACCTGACAAGCAAAGGCAACTGGGAAGCCAGATTCATTTAGCAACCGTGTTATTAACTTCACAACTGCAGTGATTCATTTAACAACTGTGGCAAGAAAGGTTGTAAAATGGAGCAAAATTAACAACTATTTTGCTAGCAACAGAAATTTTGGGCTCTATTGTGGTCATAAGTCAAGGACTACGTGTATAGGCTCCCTCTGCAGCTCAAGAAACTATGTGACCAAAGTTTAAATCATATAGTGAGCCTATATAAGCACAGCTTGACACATTTCCCCCCCCCCCAATGCATAACATTGCAAAGTGATGATATGAATGCAACAAACAGCAAATTTGATGCCATTTCCTTTCACATGCAATTGAAAACATCGAGAAAGAATGCATAGGAAGAATTGCTATATTGTACTTACTATGTCTATGGGTACAGAGTACAGTCAGTACTGTTTCAAAAAGCCAGTGTTCAGACAGAAATTTCAAATACAAAAGCTAGAATGGAATTATTAACTCTTTTCTGCCTATAATTTCTCTTAGTCAGCCTTACCTTCTACTGATTTTATTCAAACTATATTGAAGAAAATACATATTTTATTGGCATTTAAAATAAAGAAACTAAGGGCAAGAAATGGATTAATCACCCTCACTCTGTTGGTGTCCCACTTAAATATAACAAGTATGCAGCTTCCATACATGCCTGATGTGCTTTTTTTGTATGTTGGAAGACAGAAACAACATATCACAGTTAATGTAGCAAATCTATGCTAAATTGATTAGTTTGCAACTGTTCTACAATATACACTATAATACTGTATAACATTGGGTGAAATACTGAGAGATAATAGAAGTGCCACTACAGATTTTATTTCTAAAAAAACAAATTATATTATTTTGAAAAGCAATTGTTATAAAAATGTGGACATTCATGTTCTAACTTAATCCCAACAGACCACAATAGTCCTCATTTAGCAACTAAAATTGTGACACACAACTCGGACATTAAGTGAAACAGTCACTAAGTAAAATTGTACTTATGATTTTACTTAAACTTTACTTTGGTTTTGTGAAGGTCATAAATATGAGCATTGATCGTAAAGTTACTTTTTCATCACCATTGTAACTGCAAATAGTTGCTAAACAAGACAATAAGTAAAAAAGGACCACCTGTAGTTGGTCAATCTCAATTTCCCTTCTCTGCTGCCTACATGGTAGTATTTTTATTGTGTTAATAATCATATATCAGTAATCCTTTGTACACTTTACTGCTCAATAAAGCATGAGATTGAAATATGTGAAGGAAAATGATCGAAGACATTCTATTTCTCATCAAAAAGGCAATTAAATACTTCAGTGTTTTGATATGAGGTAATCAATGACTGAATAAGCAGTCTTCTGAAGGGAGACAAGAACGTTAATTATATTTTATTTTATACAGTAAATCAATGCAGAAGTGACATCATTATAGCAATCAGCAGCGGTATACAAATTCAAAAATAATAATAAAAAATAATAAATAAAAAAATAAATGTAAGCAGCATAGTAATACTGACTCTTCCTAGTTTATCCTTATATTCTAATATTTTAGGTGATTTCAGCCTAAGTGTGCATATAATTTCAGCCTAAGTGTGCATATAATTTCAGAATTTTACATAAAATTTACATAAAATTTTAAAAGAATTCTAATACATTATTCCCTTCACAGAATATTAAAATGGAAACTAAACAGCAGAGTCTCACCGGAATATAGATTCCCCCAACGAGGACAAATATTCTAAGAAGAGGTCTTCTGAAACTTCAGTATATCCCAGATCTACAATAGAATCTGGAGGCCCAAGCAGTGTTCCACCCTACAAAATTTGCATTCATTAGGTTACTAAGTCACCACGAAAATTTCTCAGTATCTTTTATAGAATAATTTAAGACGAAAACTTTCTGCAAACTTTCACAATTTGTTCACATCAATTGGAAACTTCCAGAATTTACTCACATCTGCTATCACTAGTAAATATTTCATAGGATTGTCATATAACCTCTTAATCTGGAGACTTGGAATAGCAGGAAAACTTGTTTGCTTTTGACAGAGATGTGGATCCCCCACATCTTGCTTTACAGAAGAGTGGCTTTAGAGGAAGGACCAAGACTTCAGTTTGCCAGTCAAGATAACTCAGATAAGTGTGTTAAATAAAAACCCATTGTATATGGCTAAATTAAAGACGATCTTAACTGGTGCTTATTTTTGGGGTAGGGCTTATATTACAAGCATCCTGAAAAATCATGCTAGGGCTTATTTTCCAGTTGGGTCTTATATTCAGGGAAACATGGTACTAATTTCAAGAAATACAAAATAAATTGAAATCAACTGAGCAAAAGAGAAAAAAAACAGAATAGCTTCTCAGATGTCTGTAAACTTACAGGTGGACAACTTGAAATTCCCCCACTACCATAGAAGAATTCATCCCTGTGGGCAACTATGGAGGTGTGCCTGAGAATAAATAAAAAGCAGGTTAAAAGAAAGAGTAAATCTCCACCCAGTATGTTGCCTAACAGTTTATCAAGGGTAATGCAAATGCAAACAGATTAGTCTCATCTGTCTTTAGACATATTTTGTCTTGTATAACACTGTAGAATATTCAGATTTTCAGACATTCCCAATTCATTCTTCTTCCCTTAGCTTTTACCTCTTATCTCCAGCAGTCAATCAGCATTTTATGACAAATACTTGCTCCTAGTAATGTGTTTCGTGTGTGTGTGTGTGTGTGTGTGTGTGTATTTATTTATTTATTTTGCCATTCATCTCATTTCAAATTGATTCTGAGCAGCTTACAAAATTAAAACCAATTAAAATAATAAAAGATAAATATTTCTAAAATAATAAATGTGGAAATGACAATAAAATATTTGTAGTTAAAATTATAGTTAAAAGTTAGGGAGGGAGGGAACAGGATGCACCAAGAGAAGGAGGCGGGATTGCCTCTTAATTCATCAAACACCTTCAGTGTGATGCTTCCCTTTGGGGCTCCAAGCTATCTGGCAGAGCCAGGTCTTAGGCCCTTATGGAAGGTCAGAGGGGTGGGAGCCGATCTCACCTCAGGGGTAAGATGTTCCAAAGGGCAGGAGCCATGGCACAGAAGGCCCTTCTCCTGGACCCCGCCAGCTTTAGAATTCCTTGATTGTTGAGTCTGGTGGGCCAGACCTAGGGAGTGAGACAGTTTCTCAAGTAACATGGACCCATACTATGCAGGGCTTTAAACGTGATAACACCATGTACTGCACCCAGAAGCAAACTGGCAACCAGTTCAACTCATGGAGTAGTGGTGTAACATGGACCATCCTAGAGGCCCCAAGAACTGTTTGTGCCTCCGCACTCTGCACCAGTTGATGATTCTGAATGCTCTTCAAGGCTAGATCCATGAGAAGTGCATTACAGTAGTCCAGATGTGAGAAGACCAGGGCTTGAATGACTGAGCACAGGGACTTTTTTTTGTTCCCCCACTGGCCCTACTTCATTTTGAATTATTATTATTTTTTGCACTGACTTTAGCTACATCAAAATAATTAGATTTCTCTGTTAATTTTTAATCCCTTGACAACACTATCTAAATTATGTAGGCATAGCAGTAGGGAGCTTCCATAGTACAAACATTCCAATTAATTTTAAGACTAGTTACTTACCAGATACCCTCTAGTTGCTTACCTGTATACAAAAGAAGAAGAAGCAATAAGTATCATCTTCATATAACTTTCTAAATTAGTTTCTCTTAGAAAGAGCTCAGAAGGTCAGACTTAACTACCTCATTTTCTCAAAAACCTGTGAAACACCTTTTTTCTTTTTCTTGATGATTCTTAAAGTATGGCAGGCTGATAAAGGATATGTGATGTAATATGTAAAGTTGATTCATAATATCTATATTAATAATATGTTAATATAATTCAGAATAATTTTTCTCTTAGATCAAATAAAACGTATTGAATTTCTTTTTATTTACATCTGACCTAATATGTTAGAAATTATGTATCATCAGTGCAACATATTACATCAAGTAAATATTGCCCCTGTGCTCAAGTCTCAGTATACTATGAACATTTCAATACTATCTCTACACAACTGGAAGCAGATTTTATTGAATATATTGATATTTGCTTTTGATGAATCATATATGAAATTTGATTTTACAGATTCTTCATAAATCTAAGTGGTATTTGAATTTTCTGTTTAGTTGCTTTTAAGTGGGAAGATGATTTTTAAAACTCTCTCTCCTTTCATCTCCATTTGGAAATTAAAGCTTTTAGGATAAACTTTCCAAAGCATGCCCAATAAAAGCAAAACCTAGCTTTAACTAGTACTGTGGAGTCCTTGGTGCACTCTGAACTTGGATGTTTTCTTGCAGACATTTCACTACCAAACTAGGTAACATCATCAGTGCTACTAGGGAATGGGGTTTTCATGTTCTGACCTAGAAATTAAAAAGCACAAACTTAGTCCCGGCAAACCTCTTTAATTCATATGGCTGTAAATTACTTTCATTTACAGTCCGCAAGCTTGATAAACAGTCTTTCAGAGGAAGGTTATCAACACCCACCTATTTCATGTGGAACGCTGCCAAAGAGCTAATTTCCAGATGCAGGGCAAGGCCAAACTTGGCAGAGTCACAAACAGAAGTTTCAAATCTTGAATCGGCCAGATGAACGAATTGCTTCCTGCAAAATCTCACATCCCGTTCGCTTCTCTTTTATGTCTTATGGGAGGCGCCAATCATCTCCAAGCCTTACTCCCAAGTCGACCCTGTTTCCTTAATTGTTCCTGTCTCCTGGCAGCTCTGCACATGTCCACACTGGGAACAGGCTCACACTGTTCTTCTGCCTTGTTAATGTCAGACTCTGGAGACTCTGGAGGCAGCAAAGAACTACCAGATGGCCTTGGCCCCCTCTCTGCCTCCGATTCAGAGTCATTGTCTTCCCCAGACTCCAGGACTTGCCCATGTTTCTCCCCAACCTCCTCACTGTCCGAATCTGCTGCCAGCTCTGCTGGCCGCTGGTCGGCCACAACACTTCTCTCATTTTATATATAAAGGCTTGCCCTATCTGTATTGGTGGGAATGGTCTTGGTGGTTCCTTGATTAGACTGTTATTAGCTTGTTTGGCAGTTCCTTGATTGGGGTATCATTTGTTTCTTGATTCTTAGCCTAAAGTTAATCTTGGTGTTAATCTCTGCCCATCTGGATGCTGATTGCTAGTGAGATGTTTTTTGTTTCCTTTTTGGCTTTTTGATTGTCTCTTTTGAATTGTATGCAGATTTTGTTTATGTCTATCTGCCTGCTGATGGCGAATTTGTCTGAGTGTCAGGTTTCCAGGAATTCTCTAGCATTTTTGGCTTGGTTTAGGACAGTGGTCGGCAAACTCATTAGTCAAAAGAGCCAAATATCAACAGTACAATGATTGAAATTTCTTTTGAGAGCCAAATTTTTTAAACTTAAACTATATAGGTAGGTACATTATTAACTTAGTTTTTTTTAATTACAATTAAAAAGTAGGGGGAGGGGGATGCAGCACGCGGAGGACCAAGTCCGCTCCCGTTCACCACCCCACACTTGTTTACCCGTCCCAGAGAGCTCAGGCTACGCCTCCCTCCGACCCAGCTGCCTTCCTTGCTGGCGTCGCTCCTGAGCGAACTCTTCTGTCCTCGGCTGTTGCACAGAAGCGGCAGCTCTGGGTGCGCCACATCCGCTTCGTTCTCTTTGAGAGCTGCTTTGCACCTTGTTTGCAAAGCGGCTCTCAAAGAGAAAGAAGCGGGCATGGCTCACCCAGAGCTGCCGCTTCTTTGCAACAGCTGAGGACTTCTTCCGCTTGGAGCTCCAAGCTGCGGGGGGCGGGGCGGCTGCAATGCCGGCAGCTTCAGTGGGCTCCTTCCCTCAGTGGTTTGTTTTCCTTTACCAAATTAAAGGCTGCTCCGCGCCTTTTGATCTTTCTACCCAGCCACTGGCGTACAGCACCGAAAAGACCTCCTGTCACTGCCGCCATCTTCGCGCACAGCTTTCTTCTCACCGGCTGAAGGACTTTTTGGCACTTTGTGGACTTTTTGGTATTTTGTGGAAGACACTCAAGGGGCCAAAGAGCCGCATGTGGCTCGCGAGCCGTGGTTTGCGGACCACTGGTTTAGGATACTCAGAGTTTCCCAGTTGAAACTATGGTTAAGCCTATCCATGTGTTGTAAAACTAAGCAGTTTTCATCATGTTTTCTGACTGTTGTTAATTAATACAGAGTACCATGTGGGAGGTACTTGCAATTCTGTTGAAACTCAAATGACTTGCTTATGATTAACTTTTCTTCATCACGATGACAGTGCAAGTTCAGAAATGAAAGTAAGAAAATGAACATTAAAAAATTATGAAATGGTTTAAGGTTTATGCCTTGTTCTTTACTAAAAGTATTCAAAAGTAGTAAGCAGCACACAATACATCATTGATTGAATCTTGCTTTCAAAACCAAATACAGCACTTTGATAAACAGTAAATGATTCTGTAGCATTTTAAAGAAAAATTATCCTTTTTGGACTTCAGTATTGTGGAATCCCTCAACTGCTAAACATTTACTTTGCAAATACACATCTATATGTTGAGGATACATAAAAACTCAACATGAATAAGTTCAGTGCTGCTTTGCAGATATAGGGAATGGATATATATTATGGATTAAAATAATATTCCATAAATAGTGTGGAAATAGTAATAAGATGACTTAGTTTGCTTCTTCTCAGTTTCATGATTTTATTATGACAGTGATATAAAGTAATTTTATATGATCATATAAAATCATATGCTGTTCTGGTTGTCACTTTTACTGATCAGAAATTAATTTTAAGAATAAAAGTTCTACTATGCTACATCAAAAACAAAGTTACTGATTATAGGCCAGTAGTTAAAGTATCTAGTTTGATTAAATCTTATGTATTTAAAATACATATATGAAATTAAATTATTTAACCCTTCAAGAATCATCACTTTGTAGCAGTAAACAAAGTTGTACATTCCCATTATGTCATGAACTATTGCTATTCAGTTGGGAGCGCATACTCCCAAAAGGGCACTTGTAACAGTCAGTAAATCACAGCCGAGTGATCAGATTAAGCACAATCCACTGGAGAAAGAAATGGCAACTCACTCCACTATTCTACCAAGAAAACAAAGTAAAATTCACAGCTACCGGTAGGACAATAACAGTAGAGGACAATTATGTGTAGCACTGATGATAATCATGTGGCTGGACTAAGGCTGATAGAATGTTCAGCTGCTTGTATGCCCAGAGACAAAGGACAAGTTTTATCCTGCAAAGATACATCTGTGTGTGTCTGTGTGTATGTATACACACATATATACACACAAACAAGTTGATACAAAAAATGTTAGAATCATGAACCAAAGCAACTGGATGTTATCAGAGCAGAAGTATCAAGTCTATACGCAAACATTTTGGGACTTATAAAACTGTAAAGTTGGAATAAGTCACTTCACATAAAAATATTCCACAGATATTCTACAGTGAACAAGAACATCAGACAAGAAATAAAGCAGTTATAATTATCGTGTTTCCCCGAAAATAAGACCCTGTCTTATATTTTTTGGAACCCTGAAATAAGCGCTTGGCCTTATTGCCATGCGCTCAAAAGCCGGATTGGTCTTATTATCAAGAGATGTCTTATTTTGGGGGAAACAAGGTATTAGCAAAAAAAAGTGTTAAACCCAGTGCAAACAAAATTCAAGATACAACTCAAAAAATGACTGGAGGATTTTAGTTCCAATTAAGAAGTTCAATGTTAAGGTGATCCCTGCATCCCACGGATGAAGAAGAGACTGATAATGAATAGTTGTATCCTGATATGCAATAACTTGTCAATACAACAAAAAAGATGTGATCTCTTCAAAGGCTACTGGAATACAAAAGCCTACTCATGAGGAAAATTAGGCCTTGGTATATAAAATGAGGCAGATGACAGACTAACATAATTCTACCATGATAATTTGATGTTCACAAGAAATACAGTACTTTTTTCACCAATCTAAACAACTTGTACAACAATCTAACAACTGAATGTTACCAGATGGAATAAAATTGGCCACATATTTTGCAAGTACAGATGAAGAAGTTCTGTTCAGCCAGTAAAAAGAAGACATGATGCTGACTGTGGCTCAGATCATGAACTTCCAACTTCAACTAAGAAAGGAAACAAACTGATCAAGCCAAGAAGATGAATCTCAGCAATATGCCATTGGAATGGGCTGTGATGATCAGAGAAGAGATTCATATCAGAGTCTGTGTATTTTTGGACTAAGGTGTTGAATTAGAAAGAGGAACCCAGGTTTTAGTATTGAAGCACACTGAGTGACTTTAGGCCACTCACTTTTTCTTAGCCCAATCTATCTCACAAGGTTGTTATAGAGAAAAGTTGGGTAAGGATACACTTTGGAAAAGGTGGGATATAAATTGAGTACATAAATATATTTGAATGAACTAAATTCAACAGAGTCCCTAATAGAAATCTGCCATATTGTTGTACTATATGTCAAATTCATACAGATGAAGCAATTAAAATATTTCATGCTGTCAGAAACAAAAGAAGATGACTGAAAATTGGTGAAAACTGGCAAAAAGAAAAGGTGACAGCAACAGGGAAAAAAAACCCTACCTAAACACAAATTCCTGAGAAGGGCAAGAAGTTATATCTAAATAAGTGAAGCAAACAAATGAAGGATAATAATCAAATGGGAAAACAAGAGAAATCAGAGCTTTTACACAAAGATGGTCATAATAAAAAATAAAAAGACAAACATCTAGTGAAAAAGCAAGAGATAAAGGTAAGTGTAGTTACAGAAAAGAACCCCAAATAATCGATATTTATTTATTTATGTAATTTGTGGACATGATCAATGAACAAGAGCCACATTTTGGAAAATTTAAATAGTTCAATGAAAAATTTTAACAGGAGTTGATGAAATAGTAGCTTGATTATTCATAACGAGCACACATGTTACTTTTTATGTTTTTAATCTGCTTTATATTGGATGTTTTATTTATTGTTATTTATTGTGTAAGTCCTCTTTGGGAAGAGATGGGCAGCTATATAAATTTGATTAATAAAATAATAAATCACAAGTGTCTTATTCAATTGTCACTTTCAATGCTTAGGGGTATCATAATACAATAGTGACTATTCTGTTTACCTGGAGGATATTTTTTTTTAGTCGTCTCTGTAAGTCGCCTATAAAAGTTAAAGTTTTTCTTTTTAGAGGTTCCATTATCAACCTCCCCCGCCCCCAAAAGATGCCTTGTGTCTCTGGCTTTTTGAACTCCCATCTAACCACCTTAAGCACCTTAAACGACCCTGAGAAACAGCTGGTTTCCAGCGTCGACCTTAGCCTTTCCTCCTCTCCCTTTGTGTCGGCGGGATAAGTTGTGACTCTAAGCTCTTAAAGTCGCCCCCTTAATACGGTACATAGCCGGCTCAGGGAAGAGGCCGGGCAGGTTAAAGATCCGCGCATCGCCTGGATCAGGCGGATGAAGGGAAGGGAAGGGAAATACAACCCCGCATCTTCTCACCGTTTCTCTCTAAGGTCCTAGGAGTCTAGGAGTCTGGAGAGAGGCGGAAGAGCCCGTTCGCTCCCGCAGACCTGCATACCTGGAGCAGGCGCTTCTTCCCCCGTTAAAGGCAGCATTGACCGGATAGCCATCCCAGTCCGCTTTCCTCCTCAGCCTATCACACAGATTGAGGAGGCGGCGGGTTTCCCTGTCTTACTCGCCGCTCTTACCGAGCATGATAGGACTGAGGCGGCGAGCCATGCCCTTGGACAGGTCGTACACGTAGAGCTTCACCGAGTGCAGCATCGGAGGCGAGTCCATGACATTGGCCGAGGAAGGGGAGCTTGCAGGAAAAAAAAAAAAAGAAACTTCCAGACCAATTTCGCCCTTCTCTGGCGAGGCCGCTGGAGAAGAGAGAAGCCCAAGGGGAGCACAGCTGGCCTAGTCGGTGCGGCTCCGGGCAGCGACCGCTATTGCGGGACTAACCGACTGACAGAAGGTGACTGAAAAGGGGCGGAGGGAGGGCGGCGAGGGGAAGGCTCGTTTCACGCACGCGTCGCCCCATAAGGTGAGAGAAACCGCTTGTCACTGGGCCTCTTGTGAGGGAGCGGCGCTGAACAGTAGAAAGGCGGGACCAAAGAGTTTACGCAATTGTTCCATGTGGACGGCATCATTGAGGACAATGCCAGCCTGTCTTTGTCGCGTGCTATTGGTTAGAACGTGCGGAAGGGGTGGGACATCGGGACGTTAACGGGGAGTAACAATTTAGGAAGTTGGCGGGTGATGCGAGTTGAGTTCGGTTTCTCCCCCGGGGGTTAGTGCGCCGTTGAAGGCTTCAGAATTGAAATCGCTATCGGGCTTCATTCCCTTTCAATAGAAATAGATAAGAGTGACGCGTTCTGTTTGCCAGGTGAGTTTTTAGACCTTGAATCCTCTTGCCCGCTAAAATGTGCCTGCGTTAAAACGGGTAAAATCCCTTCCAAGTCGAATTCGACTCTTGGTATCTTTATAGGCTCCGGAATGCATCGATAATATTGGGGAAAAGGAATGGATTGTTGTTGCCTCCTTCCAAGTTGTTCTTTCGATTTTCCAGTCTATTCTGTTAATAGGGATTTCCTGGCGGTCTATTTTCCATGTACTAATTGAGCGTGGTCTTACTCGGCTTTTCAGCTTAGGTGAGCCAGGTGCTATCTTTTGAAGCAGTAAATCGGCAAAAAAAAAAAAGGCTTTTAGGATAATTATGATTGGGTATGTTATTCTCCCAATTTCTCAATAAAGGTTGGCGCCAAAGATAATATATGCTCTTTTGATCAAATATCCACAAGAAAAATGTGTTTTTTTTTGTGTGCTTTGTGTTTTTAATTTCTCCGAATTTAAATACAAGCAGTTGTTTTCACCCTTGAACCGTCCATCTGAGACACTTTAAAGATTGCAGGGGGGGAAACAAAGGTAGGGAACTCTCACAGCTGCATCACATCATCTCCCCTCACCAACTTCTTTCAAGACGTCTCGGGCTTCTTTGATTTCTCTGCAGTCGCACCAAGACTAAAAAAAAAATGATTTTGCATTGCTGTACTACTAAATTACAGCAAGTAAGGCAAAAATAAGGATTCGGCTTAAACAGCGGAAGGGCAAATCCTCTACAGTCCAGGCAATCGGAATTTCGGACGCCTCTGCGATTCTTCGTTTTATATCTGCGGTTAATCGAAGTACACGATGTACTGTACTGAGGCTTTTGGAACTTGTTTGTGTATGGCCGTTCCTGCTTTTCCTTCGCCGCTTTAATTGTCTTTTTTTCCCCCCCTCGGGGCGGAGATTTGTTGTGACTGACAGGTTCCTATGCTGAAATCCATCGGGGGAGGAAACAATAACCTCTCTGCAAAAGGCCCGTTCGTGAACGCCGTCTTTTAATCGGCCGTAAGTCCGAATCGGGAGTGGGGGTGGGGTGGGGTTCGTGGGACCACAGTAAAGATTTTCCGTCGCAGGTTCTGTCCGCCTCGGCAGCAGACGAGGCAGGGCCTGAAACGACTGAAAGGGAGTTGTAAATAGTTGGAGCTCACGCTGTTTCTGTTTATTCCTTGATGCGGTGTTGTAATAGCGGTTTCTGGTTTGAAAATATTAAGGCAAAGCAATGCTACCAACATCGAAGTGAGTAAGTAAGAAAATAAAGGCCGGCCTTTTCAGGTAGAGAAGAAGAGTTTTCCAGAGCAGAGCATGGCTGCACCCGTCCCTCCCGCCTGTTTTCAGGCACACAAAGATGCACCCAGGAGTTGTTGAGGGCGTTTGGAAGATCGAGTTAGTCTCTCTCACATGGCCCTTCTTCAAAAAGAGAAAATTGGGGAGTTGAAGGATGGCAGAGCATCACACGCTTCTGGAAGTTATGTTTGTGTGCACAGTTTCTTAAGTGGATGGACATACTGAATTCAAATGTTCCTCTTCAGTAAAGATGTACAAAGCAGTCGGGCTCACAATCCTACACACACCCACACACCCACACCAAGCCTTACAAATTGTTTCAAAATATTCATACATCAGATTGAATCATACAGTTTGAATGTAGTTTCAAACAATGGCCTGGCCCACAATAGTGCTAAAATTATTGTGGCTAAGGCACCAGGATAGAAAGCAGGAAACTGCTTTAAACAGGAAAGCCAGCTGCACGACCTTGGGCCAGTTTCCCTCAGCGGAACTCGCCTCACAGGGTGGTTGTTGTGGGGAAAATAGGAGGAAGAAGTTGTGTTGGATATGTTTGTTGCCTTAAGTTATTTGTAAAAAATAATAAAGCTGGGATACAAATAAATAAAATAACTTGATATGATGGAGAAGGCTCAATAGTTTCAAGGACCTGAGAGCCTCTGACAGATTCAACCTTGCTGAACTAGTGAAAAAAGAATGGAAAAAGCTAAGAATAATCCATATTGTTTTGAAAGCAGGCATATAGTAAATGTACTTCATTAGGAGGAACTTCAAAATCAAATACCAAAACAATGTCAGATGAATTTTATACGGTTGTCAAGAAATGTGTGGTCATTTGCATGAGCTAGTATGCTGGGTGATGAGAATGCCGACAGAAGGCTCTCCTCTAGGGCAGGTTTTTTCATGTGGTCACATGTGGTTACTTTATTGCAAAAGTGTTACTACAGTATTCCTGTTCAAATGCTTAGGAAACAGCTGGATAAAAATGCATGCTGTATTATCTAGGTCTAGGATATAAACTATTGAAAATATTGATTTTTGTCAATGTCTTTATCCTTCAGGAGCTCAGTACATTTGAAATTAGATTCCAGTTTGTTAGTCTCTGCTTTCTTGTCTAATAGTTTTTGCTTTTGAAAGCTGTGTAATTTAATGTGAAAATAACAGCTAATCTTGATTGTAGATGAATGTAAAGCAAAATAGTTGTTTCTTCACAGGACATCTTACCCCCTAAGGTGAGATGGGCTCCCACTCCTCTGGCCTTCCAGAAGAGCCTTAAGATGTAGTTTTGCCAAATAATATCGGGGTGTGTGGGTGTGGGTATGTCTAAAATTGGCATCAAATCCTCTTAAGTAGCTGGTGGCTTGAAGAAGCTCTCTGTTTTTTTTTTAAACTTCACTGTTTTAATTCTGTTTTAACTATTTTAAACTGTCTTTTTTATATGATTATATGTTTATATGATTGTATATAAAGCACCCCGAGTCAGTTCAGATGGGTGATGTAGAAATTTGATAAAAATAAAAGTTGATAAAAATTAAAAATCCAATTTATTTTTCATGCTATCATAACATTTAACAGCAGTTTGCTGACTGGATAAGTATTTAAATTGCTTGCATTTCCTCTTGTATGATGAAGGTAGTTCTTATTACTAGGTACTATTAATATTTTGCAAACTTGGAATGAGCTATCTTAAAATAATCAGTATGGATGTTAGGAATTGTAATTATAACAATTTATTGATAGATTTATTATTGTCTTATTTCACTTATTGTTCCTCTAACAATATTCTATGGGATATTCTGTTTACAGTAATTTGGAGTTTGGCAAAGTTATTAATCTCTTTGGTGCAGGACACTGAGCATCTCTTTCCAAAAATGAAATGAGTAGAGAAATGAGTAAGATGTTGTCAGTCTGTGGCTATTTTATTATTGTTATTTATTTATTTTTAAAACTTTGTATTTCAGAGGCCTTGTACACAGTTATTATATCATCTATTTCTGCTGCCCATGTAATGTTTTAGCAAATTCTGCAATGTGTTGCTGTTTACTGAAAAAATAATGATCTGATGGATATATTTAAGAGCTGGGAGACCGAGTTGAAGCAAAAGTAGAATACATGAACATCTTCATAGTTGCATATGTGGACTTCTGTCTATGGAAACCAGTCTGAATATAGGAACAGTTTCCTTAAAAGTTATTTATATCACTCATTCTTTGTAGTAACACAGGAGAACCATGTCAAACTGGGTATCTTACTACAGAAATGAGGGAGAGGAAGAAGAGGAAGAAGAGGAAGAAGCAGGTGAAAACGTTGGTAAGGTTCATTTTTGGGGCATGCATATGCTGTTAATTTGCTGGATAGAAACGCTGCATTGAGGGAAATTTGCAACTAAATTACAATGGTATGGTGGAACCAGGCATCTTATCACATTAATGTGAAATGTGATAAGTGGCAAAAGTAATATTTTGCCTTTTTTATGTGAAGTGCCTCTTTTATGTTGGTGCAGAGTCCTGAAGAACTAAAACATATACTGGTGCATATTGGATAAAACAAAAGGCTTTTCTACAGTAGCCACCCTAATGCCTATAGGAAGCACACAATGTTAATTCAAAGAGAGTATGCTTTCCTAAGTAGAGGTGTAGTGTAATATGAGGATCCTTGGTAACTTTTTATCTACTATAATTATTGCTCAAAAATCAGAGCAAATAGAACAGGCTGCTTTAAATTGCTTTTAAATAACACTAATGCTGTTAGTCTTATGGTGTGTTGCAATGTGAGCAAACTGTTGAGTTAACCCCCCTCCCCCCAAAGCTACATCAAATTTCTGTGCTGTGTAGGAATGTATATCCTTTGTCCCAGAATAGAATACAATTTTTATTGGCCAAGTGTGATTGGACACACAAGGAATTTGTCTTGGTGCATATGCTCTCAGTGTACATAAAATAAAAGATACATTCATGAAGAATCATAAGGTACAACAATTAATGATAGTCATAGGATACAAATAAGCAATCAGGAAACAATATCAGTATAAATCATAAGGATCACTGTGATAGTTATAATTAAAGAATATAGAATAGTTGGATTGGATACATAGGATGATCCACATTAAATGCAACATTTTCTACCTCTAGGATTATATAAATATGGAGGTCGAGACACTTTGCTTTTCTTAGTGGATGGCTCAAGAACCATGTTTGAGTCTTTTGATGGTAGTAATTTGACACCTTTTGATATGACAATTCAGGTAAGATCACTGTTTTTCTACATCTGGAAATTTGAAAGATTCTGAAATGCATTGTAGTGATAGTACTGAAACATGGGGTAAGACAAAATTCTTTATTGAGAGGGTAGAAATTAAATTGCAATCCAGTATTTTCTTATTTTCTTGATTAGTATATTATTCAGAGACAGAGCATATGCTCTATATGCAAATGTCCTTGAAAGGTCTTCTAATAACTCCGAGGAGCATTCCTGTTTGAAACATTGGGAACCAAAGATGTGGAAACTTGTTCACCAATCTGAAGTAGATGACCAGTGGCTTCTGGTACAAGTTACCTCCCTGATAAGATTGTTTTCAGTTATAAATGTTCTAAAGATCAAGTGTTAGAAAATGTGGCCATACTTAGAAGTATTTATACTATAGAGTATTATAACCCCACATCTGTCAAAAGTATGATTAGATGTATTAATGTTATTTTCTCTCATCTCAGCTGTTTTGTATTTTCTTACCAGTGCATTCAGAATGTATACAGAAACAAAATCATCAGCCATGAGAGGGACTTTGTTGGTGTTGTGTTTTATGGAACAGAGCAGCATGATAATAAAATGAATTTTAAACACATATATGTTCTCCAGGATTTGAGCAATCCAGGTAAAGCAGGAACTATGTGGAATATATCTGTGATGAAAGAATTCAGGGATACATTATGCAGGAATCTTCAAATTGCGAGTGAGGATATCTGAGAAACCATTATAAACTCAGTTGCATTAAAAAAAAAATAATTGTAGTGGGAATGCTGTCAAAATTCATTCTAGGCTTTGCTCCTTATTTTGTCTGCAAAATCCTGCAGTGGGAGATTGGTGTGATATAATTCAGAGTGTGAGAAACTCTGTGACACATAAATTAAGAGTTGATTATTAAAAATAAATGGCATATTTATTATTTAGCCATACTATCAATGGAAGCTTTATGTTTATTCATGGGAGTGATTGGTTCACACAAATTCATTTATTATATAGGAGGGTATGGTAATACAAACTTTGAGAATCATTAACCTGGGAAAAGGAGAGATCATCTTCATTGGGTTTTTCACCAGAATGCCATAAGGTTTGGTTCTGGGTCCTCTATTCCTTAGCATTTTCTATTAATGATTTGCAAGCAAAAGTGAGAGGATGCTTATCAGATGACACAAAACTGAATATAATAGTTGGCAGAAATGCAATTCAAACATTCTTAATAGGTTAAAGAAGAAGGCTGACAAGTTATACAATTTAATGTCAAAATTAATTAAAACAATATTTAGGTAAACAGTGCAAATAACTAATTGGATTACCCAGTTAGATAATGCTATTTTCCCCCAAATTGCTGTTCTCTACTTAAAGCCTCCTACTTAGATTATTTTATTAATCTGTAAATATTACTTGCAGCCCTTTTCCTATTTTAAAATAAATGTATTTAGCAACTGAAAAAATAATTGATGATCTAACAATCTTGCCATATTGAACAACATTACTTTCCTGATTTGGAAATGAAATACAATGGACAAACTGTTGAATGGTTTGCAAATACTGGCCTATCATTTCTAGAGCCATAGCACTATCATTCATTGCTTTGGTTTTGTGAGAACTGAGAATATTTTTTTTCCTACCAGGGGCAAAAAAGGTATTAGAGCTGGCTAGCTATGAAGGAGAACAGGGAAGAGCTCTCTTCCAAAAGTCCTTTGGCCATAGTGACAACTACTCATTAGGCGAGGCACTCTGGGTTTGTAGTAGTCTCTTCAGTCATGTCTCTGTCAAGATGAGCCATAAGAGAATCATGCTGTTCACCAATGAAGATGATCCACATGGCCAAGATAATACTAAAATCAAATTTGCTAGGACTAAAGCTGCTGACCTACGAGAAACAGGTTAGTATTTCAAATTATAAGTGAAGCATAATCTTTCTATATAAATAAAAATGTAAATGTTTGTTTGTTCAAAATCGTAAATCTCCTAAAGTTCTTCACCGATTGCTTTGAAATTTTGACACAATGTTGCATTCGAATACGTGCGTGTTTTTATATACCTATATTATATAGATGTCACACCTGTGACAGGTAAAAACATGCTTTTTGAAAAACAGCGCCAACTGTTGGACATAAAAGCAACACACGCTATACTATCTTTTTGGACTTTAACATCGCAGCACCACAATGGCAGGTGCGAGCTGAGTGTTTTCCCCTCAGCGCCGCCGCCGCCAAACCCACAAGCAAAATGGCGGGAAATGTCAACCGCCGCCAAGCATCCTCCCGACTAACGGAGTATGTCATACCTTTGGCAGGGACCACGATGCCGCCTGTGGTGCGGAGAGCTGCGAAGGTGAAGGTGGTTATACTGGCAAGCCGGGAAACCACCTCGTACACCCGCAGCAAACTGGGACGGAGGCAAAGTAGGCGTGACCTGAGCTACAGAAGGACATCATTGGCACTCGGTCAAAAAATACTGTATACTCACAAGACTGGGCCACAGCTAGTTTAGAATAAAAGTGATATCTCATTTCAAAGAAGCAAACAACATTTCCTCTATTTGATCGCTACAAGGAGACATGTGAGGTACTTTAAAATGAGAGATTATCAGTGGTGCAAAGTAATTTAGGAAAACTTCTGTGGTTGAATGAAGAGTTGAATGCATGTTGTTTAAGTCCTAGGCTCACATCCACATGATTAGATCATCTTGCTGATGGACTAAATTTTGGTCACCAATTTGATTGAATGCTTCTGTTTTCTACAGTCCAGAAATGTGTATTTCAGCATGTCCTGGGTATTGCAGGAAAAGAAGGATAAACCAATTAAACCTGACTTTCTAAATGTATGGGAAACTACTAGGGAACACCAGTTCTGTACACTAAACTTGAGAAAGATTTCCATTTTATGTGTATGCTCATCTTGCATTTTATAGTTTCTGATGCCTCTCCTGCCCTCATTTAGGTGCTTTTAAAACAAAGCTTTTTTCCTTGTTTAATTCTTGGAGGTTTCTTTACCTAGTAAATATTATCTTGTGCATACCTGGAGATCACCATAAGAAATGAAGTAATGGTATCCATGTTCTCATATAAGAAACAACCTCTTTTCCCCCCACAATTCTGTGATTGCAGGAATTTACCTTGACTTAATGAACCTAAAGAAGCCTGGAGGGTTTGATATTTCCTTATTCTACAGAGACATCATTAATACAGCAGATGATGAGGACTTAGGAATCCAGTTTGAAGAGTCTTGCAAATTGGAGGATCTTATGAAGAAAGTACGAGCAAAAGAAACAAGGAAGCGAGCTTTAAGTCGGTGAGTATCATCTTCCTCTTGCAGGGTAATCTGGGAGACTTTGGAGGAATCATAATAACAGAGAGTTACATTAAATAGTACATAATATTAAATTGTGGAAAGTTTCTTTATTGTGTTTTTAGATGAGAAATTGTAATGTGCTTTTCATCTCTTTAAAATAGAAATTAAAATATTGTACAAGGTTTCAAAGACTTAAATTTGTTTTTATTCATTCTTTAGGCTGAATTTATATTTGGGAAAAGATGTAATTCTTACTGTAGGCATTTTCAACTTAGTCCAGAAGGCTGTCAAGCAGCCTCCAGTGAAACTTTACAGAGAAACTAATGAGCCACTGAAAACAAAAACACGAACCTTTAATCGAGAGACAGGTAGTTTGCTTCTTCCAAGTGACACCAAGAGAGCTCAGGTAATGTTTTCAACTTTCTGTTTTCCATGTTAAAAGAATTTTGAGCGGCAGTATGGTGTAGAAGGCATTATATCCTGATTTATGTATCTGAGCTTCCTTGCTGTGATGCTTTGCAAAAGGTGATGAATTCATGCCTTAGCATCTCTTGGGCCATACTGGAATTTGTATTACAGTATATATATTTTTTCTTCAAGCACAACTTTCATAAAACTGCTAGGAATCAGACACTTTCAGTCGCTAAGGCAAGTTTACATGTAGGAAGCTAAGCCTAGTATAGATCAGATCTTACTAAATATTTGGCAACCATTGATTTTAGTTTAACTGTAGTTTAAAGGGGATCATTTTTATGCATCACTTTCATGGCAATATTTATTTTTGTTTGAGTATGTCTTAGTTGAAAATTGAGTAAATATGATTTATTGTTTATCATTATTTCAATATTGAGGCTGTCCAACTTTAGATGACTCTGTGCAATTTACAAGTAAAAAAATGAAATACATCAAGAGGAAAAAGAAGACAGCTAATGAAACCATTACCCCAAAAGCCAAAAACCAGTTAACTGTTAAAGGGGCTTGAGCCCATTTTAGTTCTATATATTTTAAATATAATCATTCTTGTATGTGTGGTACTAAGGGCTGGGACAAAATAGGGATTGTTTAGTATACTTTTGTTGCAGTATCCACTAAGACTGTCCAGTGCTTCAGAAATAATTCAGAAATATGCTTTGGAGTATGCAAGAACATGAACATAGCACCTTTCTGCACTGCTTCAGAGTAGTTGCACCTCTTGTAACATTTGTTGGGCTTGTACCACTATGTGGTCTAAAAGCCTTTATTGGGGATGTAATCCCAATCATAGAAACTTTGACTGACTGAGAGTGTCCACACTCAGTCAGCTGCTTTATTTGTTTATTTTATTTATCACACATCATTTGTTCTCTCACAAATGTTGTAGATAAATTGAAAGTATTTTTAAATTGTTATGTAACTGACTATGTTCCCATGTTAGAATTTATTGAAAAAAAGATAGGATGTAAAGGAACTCAAGGAACATAGAAAAAATCTGATAACAATAAATGCATTTATTTTATTGAAAATGAGCCCCAATCCCACTCTGTCCTTAAAGCTAGGGAGAAATGGATGCTTTAGATCCGTGATGGCGAACCTATGGCATGTGTGCCACAGGTGGCACGCGGAGCCATATCAGTCAGCACGCGAGCTCAGTTCCGGCGCACATGTGTGTGCCGGTCAGCCAATTTTTGGATCTCCTGGGCCCACCAGAAGTAGGGAAACAGGCCGTTTCCGGCCTCCGGAGCGGGGTGGGGAAGGCCGTTTTCACCCTCCCCAGGCTCCTAGAAAGGCTCTGGAGCCTGGGGAGGGCGAAAAATGGGCCTACCGGACCCATTGTGCCATTGTGTGCCAAAAGTGGGGGAAGTGTAGGTGGATCACATGCACATGCAGGGGGGGCGGGGCGCAGAGAATTATGGGCGTGGGCACGTGCACAAGCAACCCCCCTGTGCTCCCCCCAGTTTTGGCATGCGATGGCAAAAAGGTTAGCTATCATTGCTTTAGATGAATTTGTAACCTTCAGGAGTAGAGTATGAACTCGGGAAATATTTCCTGCTCTTCTCTTTATTTCTTACACAGTCAGTATGGAATTTGATTTTTGTGGTACTTTCTTGTTATGAAGATTCTAATGGGCTTCTTTATTTACAACTATGATAATTTTTGCTGCATTTTTTCAGCAGCTGCTTTTTCCTGATTTTCTTCCTTAGATTTATGGGAATCGTCAGATTGTGCTAGAGAAGGAAGAGACAGAAGAAATAAAAAGATTTGATTCACCAGGCTTGTATCTGATTGGGTTTAAACCCTTGGTAATGCTGAAGCCATATCACTATATCAGGCCTGCACAGTTCATCTACCCTGATGAGTTCTTAATGAATGGTAATTATAACTGAAAATTATACTCTACCATTTATCTTTAGGGTTACTCAGTTCCAGAACATATTAGCAGGAACAAAACAACAGCAGTGGAATTCTTGAATGAGATAAATTTTATTGGCATAATCAGAAAGGATTAATTTCTAGGCTTCAGAAATAAATCCAAAAAAATGTCATTAGCAAAACAAGTTTTTAATTTTATTTTTTCCATCATTATCTGTTGCTAACTTATTTAACCCAAGTCATCTTATAAAATTAACATACAATGTAATAAAAACTGAAGAAACATCCATGTTATTAACTGTAAACATAAGCACAAGCAGTCAAATAACAGTGACGATTAAGCAACATGCAACACAAACATCTGGTTTAGCAGAATAACCAATCTCAATACCATCTGAAAAATAAAATAGGACCATCTTAATGCTGGGGTGTAACTTGTTCCATAATACTGGTATTGGATTGATGCAAGGATGGAAAAATGTTACTCCTAAGGCAGTCCAACCCTCTCCTCCCTATCTTCCAGTTGTGGACCTTCTCCTTTGGAGTGGGTGCTATCCGGTCCCAGCCAGCAAGAAGGCACCAACCATCATGCAATTGCTGAACAAATAGCCACTTAGTTTTGCTAGATTCATACTGAACTGTGTTGTCAGGATCTTATAGCCTTTTGATATTGGGTAAGGTCCTCTAGGACATTTCATCTTAGGCCCTGAATACAGAGGTATAACTCTGTATCATCACCTTATTGATCATAAATTACTCAGAATCCATGTATGAGTTCCCCCACTAGATTCATGTAAATATTGAATAGAATGGGGGAGAGTGTTGAGTGCTGTGGGACTTCATATAAAAAGCATTTGACCTTTTATCTCTACAACTGTTGACTGATTCTGTCTATAGCAGATATGGTACTACTTCAGTGCAGTGTCCCACCTAGACCAGAAGGATAACATGATTGATAGTATTAAATGCAGCTGAGAGATCTAACAGAATGAAAAGAACTGTACTCCCACCATCCAGATTCTGATATAATTCATCAGAAGTCTGGTTTAATATTGGTGATGAAATTCTATATGATGGAGATTTGTAAAAGGAAATGTGGGAAAAGACTATTGACATCTTCATTTTAAAAAGGTCCCAGGTCAAATAAAAAACAAAAATAACCTTCACATGTACTGTATTTTGGGAAAATGTGCTATAACTTCTTGATTATTTTGAAGAGTTCCAAAGCATTAGAATAATTTAACCAAATATCGGGGAGCCTATTGGCAAATTGATGTTCTTCTAAAAGAGAGGAACATGTTGTGGCTGAAAAAACACCCAATTGCAAAAATTAGGCGGCATATCTCTTGGGAGTTAAAGAAAGATTATAAGATTACCCACACGTGCTCCATAAAACTGCTTTTTTTGGGGGGGGAGAACAGACAGTAGGAACTGTTTTTGTGGTCAGTTTTCAATCAGTTGGGAGTCATGAGATTCCATCCTGCTCATAGCTGCTAATCTCACCTATATGGATTCTAAATTTGACTAGGTCATCTCTTGATCAGTTTGGATTTTATGCATTTATTTATTTGGTTTACTTTAAAAATTAAGAACCTTCAGACTAGCAAGTTTTATTGAAATCAGTGGACGTCCTTTGATCCTTTTTTAAAACAAAAAAAATTAATTATAAGATTAAGTATTTGTATTATTTGGAATATATAGCAAGAGGATGATTATTTTTTGGTTTTGGAAAGTTTCACATGGATCAGTTTAAATAGGGAGGGGTGAGGTTTTAGAGATGGGTTTCTAGAAAGTGAGGGAAGATGTGGAATGAAGATACGTTTTATTTTAAGTGACACATTCTTGATATTGGTTATACTTGCTTGGGATAAAGGGGGAAGTTTCTTTTGTCATTTTTTTGACATTTCTATTTTTATCTTTTTCTTCTCTACATCTTTCATTTGTTATTTTCTTTAATGTATTACTTTCTTTTGTAGTTTTGTATGCTTTATTTGTATTATATAACCCCTAATAAAATTATAGGGGAAAATAATAATTCAACAAAAAATGGCCATTTGTTTACAGGAAGTACTACTTTGTTCAATGCCTTGTTAACAAAGTGTTTGGAGAAAGGAGTGATGGCCATATGTAGATACATACCACGTCAAAACAATCCTCCCAGGTTTATAGCTCTGGTCCCACAAGAAGAACGACTAGATGAGCAGAATGTACAGATAGTCCCTGCAGGTAATTTAAATGCCATATTTTAGTTTTGTGGTTGGCTTAAAGGTGTTGCTCTATTTGCTATTTTTTTTCAAAACAGTATCAAAATAAGATAGTTTGCTTATGCCATTATAAGCAGCATGGAACAAGTATAACTTGAAAGAAACTTATTCTTTAATAATACTAGAAAAAAGATATCTGATATATCCAACAATAATAAGACAGTGTGGTAAAATAATTTATGTGCAGGTATTTCTCCTCCTGAATTTTATTCCTTTCCTGTTTTTGTATTAACTGATAAAAACATTTGTAAAACTTCCAGAACAATTAGGATCTTCAAATTCCATATTTGGCATTATTTCTAATCATAACCAATGAATGTGGCTTATAAATAATTTAATAAAAATATTATGTAATAAAGTGTATCTGTATGTGTGTATAGGCATCTGTATACAAATGCATGTGTGTGTGTAATATCAAATTAAAATTGTTTAAATGCTGCCTCCAACTAAATGTTTTTTTATTTCTTAAAAATAAAACCTAGTATTTTATGTACATTAATTGAATGTGGACATACTTAGGCCATTTCTGATTATAATAAATTGCATATTTCATTAACAAGAAAATTGTTCCTTGATTGCCTGTGAGATTATTTTTTCTGTCAATCCTTCACTACCTATTTCTGAGCTTATTGCTCCAACTATAGAGGGTGTTTACATATATGTCCCCTTCTGAATTATATATAATAAAATTAATGTAAACATGAATAAATTATTTCTACTCTGCCTTTTTAATGACTTTTCTACATTGATTATCTCTTTAAAAGTGATCACTCTTATTGGCACTTAAACAATTTCAATGAATCAATATTTTAATAATCAATTTAATATTTGAAGGAGTTTAAAATAATTGAAGCATTCAGGCAAAGTTTGTGATAATGCCAACTTAGTTTAGTAGATTATTTATCAAAATACTGCATATGTTGACGGAATAAATGTCAAATTGTGCTTTCAAATCACTTGGCTTTCTATTGTCTGTTCTTCCTTTCCTTCTGCTTAGGTTTTCATCTCATTTTTCTACCTTATGCTGATGACAAACGAAATATTGACTTTACTGAGAAGGTACCAGCTAATCAACAACAAGTGAACAAAATGAAGGAAATAATACAGAAGCTTCGATTCAAGTACAGGTGAATATAGAGATAAAAATTAAGATACCGTATTTTCCGGTGTATAAGACGACTTTTTAACACATGAAAATCTTCTCAAAAGTCGGGGGTCGTCTTATACGCCGGGTGTCATTCTCCTGTAACCAGGCAGACCAGCCCGAAAGGCTCTGACAAGCCTTAAATGGCTCTGGCGATCCAAGCTCTGATGATCCCAGCTTTGCCTGCTAATCAGGAAACGCAGCTGGGATCGCCAGAGCCAGAACCACGATCCCAACTTTGCCTGCTAATCAGGAAACGCAGCTGGGATCGCCAGAGCCATGTAAAAGTTTTGTAAAAAAAGTTTTCCCCCTCCAGCTTGCTTACCTTAGCTGCTAGTTGCAACGCCTGCCTTGCTTCGCTTGCCTGAATCCATTCCATCAGCAAGCCTCTCCCTGCCTGCAATCAAGCAGGCAGGGAGTTGTGGACTTCAACTCCCAGAATTCCTCAGCCAGCAAAACAAAGCTGGCTGAGGAATTCTGGGAGTTGAAGTCTACAAGTCTTAAAGTTGCCAAGGTTGGAGACCCCTGTTCTATTGGGTAAGTTTTTTCCCCCTTTGGGAGCTTTAAAAAAAATAGTTAATTGGGGTTTTTTTTAAGTTGCTCTTTTTTAGACCTAGCCATTTAAAGTTTAGGAAGTTTTAAACTTAGTTTTCATATAAAAAATTAAAATAAAATAAAATAAAATAATATTTGTGCAGCTTTCTGAGGTTTAGTGTGTTTCTGTAGTGTTTCACTCTAACTACACAAACACAAAAAATCTCACAAAGCTGTATGTGGAATTTTGTGTGTGTAAAGTGTGAAAGTTGGGGTTTTTTTTTGGCTTTTTGTGGCTGTGTGAGGTTCCTGCTTGTTGCAGGGGCCATTTTGGGTCTAGCACAGCTGCTTTTACATTGTGGGTGAGCCAGTTGTGTTGTATGTGTGTAAAGTGTGAAAGTTGTTTTTTTGGGCTTTTTGTGGCTCTGTGAGGTTTCTGCTTGTTGCAGGGGCCATTTTGGGTCTAGCACAGCTGCTTTTACATTGTGGGTAAGCCAGTTGATGTTTATTAATTTTTATTTGGTGTGCGTTGGAAGAGGGGTAGTCTTATACAGCGAGTATAGCCCGAACCCTATATTTTAACAGGAAAATTCGGGGGTCGTCTTATACGCCCAGTCGTCTTATACGCCGGAAAATACGGTATATACATAGCAAATAGTAACTAGACAAACCTTCAAACTTCAATATCTTTTGCAATTCTCTATTTTGCCTGTGTATTGTGGTAGAAGTTAACTGTACTGTTCATGGGGTGACTTTGAACCAGTCAGTCTCCCTTATCTCATCCTATCTGCATCTGTCATTGCTTGCTCAATGCAGGATGCAGAATGCAGAAATTAATTTGCACTGAGACTAGCTTCCCAAACAAGGCAACTTTTTAATGAATTAAATTTTAATTTGGTATCCAATATATCTAAGATGTATATGTGCAACAAATAGTTTCTGCTATTACAACGACCTACTTTTGAATAGAAAACCAAATTGCTTCTGTAGAGAAGGGACAAATTTAAGCTTACAGTATAATACTTAAGCATTCATCCTAGAGAGGGAAAATATGAATTCAAAATATCTATAAATAGGAACTGCATCAATTTTGACAACATTATAACCTAGAAAGCAGTTTGTTAACTTCATTAGAGATATGTCTTGCTATAGATTTCAAATGCATATACTATAGGTAATTGTACATTTTTTTATATTTAAAGTAACCTTCGGGTTTTCATTAAACAACATCTCTTTTGGCAATGTTAACTGATATGTGCTGCTTCATAATGCAAGGAAAAACCAAAGATTTCTCTTAAAGAGCACCAAAGTGATAATAGGAAAACATTCTGCCATTTCTCTTTTTTGAGATCTATATAGCAAAGTTACTCCATTTTATGACAGACACACTTGCATTCAAAACTGGATAATCTCCCACAGAAAGATACTATTATTTTTTAGTATAATAAGTCTGCCAATGTGTGTTTGAATTTTCATTTCTATATCATGATGACATTATTTGCACTTTTTGCTGGATTTTGTCAGAAGTGAGAGCTTTGAAAATCCAGTACTACAACAACATTATATGAATTTGGAAGCACTGGCACTGGATTTGATGGAGCCTGAAAAAGCTGAAGATCTGACAGGCAAGAATAATTTAGTATAATATAATTTTCCTTTAATATGGTCTTTGGTATGTCATAAACATTTAAGAATGCAGCAACCAATTGTTATAGAACTGTATATTTTTACAGAAGTAGTAAAAATATTTGATAGAGTTGTACATTATTTGTAATGCTTAAATGTTTACCAGGCACTTGAAAGTCAACCCTGAATGTAGGGATTGTTTTTAAAATGAATAAAGTATAAAATATAAAAGTAGAATTCATTTTTCAGTGAGTTTTTTAAAAAAGAGCCTAGATTACAATTTCCAATCTGTACTACGGGTTTTGAGACATAGTGGGAGCTTTATAGCAGTTTTCCTTCATCAGTTGATGTATTTAAGTTAGCTAAATATTCTTACCTTCTGTTTTCTGCCTAGTATCTATATTATCTTGTCATTTCTGTTAGTTAATGAAGGCTGAGGAAAAAAAATAACCCTGTTGAGTTATAGTGTATTAGTTACTTTCTAATTCTTTAAAGCAGTTATTTACTTTGTTTTTGATATGTTATTTTACAAAGCAAAATATTTCAGTAATTAACATTAATACTGTATTTTTCGGACTATAAGATGCATCGGACTATAAGACACACCTTAATTTTTGGGGAGGAAAACAAGAAAAAAAGAATTCTGCCTCTGCCTACCAGCATCAGGATCAGCGGTGTCCTCACTTCCATTCAGATTTTGATAACAAGCAGCACAGATCTTTTTATCCATTTAAAACAAACCCTATCACCCTACGCGCATTTAATTGGAGGGGGTGGGGTGGGGTATGATTTTCATGGGGGCAGAAGAGGGACTTGGCACCAAAGACTCCACTCTCGAGATGCCCCTGTCTTCCTACCTATAGCTGTAGGTGTTGAAAGCCTGGCTTTCTCGCAGCAAGGCCCAATAGACACGCAGCACTTCAGTCCTCCTGGACGTCGCCATCTCATAAACATGGTGCCGGGCTTCCTGGCAAGCCCCCTGCACCTTTGCTGCCTCAGTCGGAGCCTGATTCTGGAAGCAGCCCGGGGAAGCACGGAGGTCGGGGCTCGGTTGGCAAAGCGGGCGCTGCGCAGGGGGCATAAGGCAAGGTGCTGCCACCCGAAAACACTGTTGTTGGCGATCTCCGCCGCCTGGAATTGCCTGAAAACGTGATGATTCTTTTTTGCCTCCACACGCCCCGTTTTTGGAATCGGGGAGCAAAAGAGCATTGTGCTTTCGGGCGCTTCGCAGGCAATGTAAGGCAAGGTGCTGCCACCCGAAAACACTGTTGCCACAATCTCCACTGCCTGGAACTGCCCAAAAATGTGATGCTCTTTTTTTGCTTCTTCATGCCCTGTTTTTGCAATCGGGGAGGAAAGTGTTTTCAGGCAGCAGCGCCTTGACTTACGCTCCCTGCACTGTTGCCCAAAAACACTTTCCTCCCCAATTCCAAAAACGGGGCATGTGGCAGACCTTCCTGCCTGAAAACACTTATGAAGTGTGTCTTAAACTCTGAAAAATACGGTAATTGGTACTTGTTCCTATTCAGTCAGATTTTATTGGTCTGTTCATGGTCCCTGTTGCTTTAAAGTTCAAAAATATATTGTGCATATTAAATATCCATTATTTCTGTATTTTTAAGTACCAGTTCTAAGGTCGTCTTCCTTCTTTTTCAGTGCCCAAGGTTGAGATAATGGATGGCCGACTGGGTAGTCTTGCAGAAGAGTTTAAACAACTTGTTTATCCACCAGGCTATGATCCTGATGGGAAAACTGTAAAACGAAAACAAGGTGGGATGAAAGAATACAGAGAGAAGACAATTGTGTCCTTCAATGCATATGCCCTTTTTAAGTTTGCCAACATTGTAATATAGGATCTAAGTATACCTTTTTCTCAGAATATAAGTAGGATCTTGACCCAAGGTTCTTGATTTTCTGAGGACATTTGCAGATGGCAATGACATATTAATGCAGTCTTGGCAACTAGTCATATTAATGCAGTCTTGGCAACTAGTCGTAAGTGCAAATGGGTTGTCAAATGCCTAGATTGTGATCCTGTGGGGATGCTAAATGACTACAACTTTGGGGATCGGGGTCGTATGTCCCTTTGTTCAATACATAGTAACTTCAAAATGCTGCTGAACAATTGTCATAAATCGATACCATCTGTATCCTGGAGTGAGGTAATGGCAAACCATCTTAATATTGCTAAGAAAGCTACCTGGACATCTCTATGAAATCACTAACAGTTGAGCTTGATCTGAAGGAGACTCAAAATCTTTTAAAGAGATCAGAATGTGAAGCTTTGTAGGATTTTCTACCATGATGGATATATACATGAAACATTTCAATTATTTCAAATGAGTGACAAATAACTACACCCAATTTTTTCTCCAGCAGGTAGTGGTACTGAACAATCAGAAAAGAAAGCAAGAATGGAACTCTCTGAAAAGGAAGTGAGGAATCATGTTGATAAAGGCACTTTGGGTAAACTTACTGTGCCAATTCTAAAGGATATATGCAGGATTTATAAGCTAACAGGTGGTGGAAAGAAGCAAGAACTTTTAGATGTGATAACTGCGCATTTCAATAAGCACTGAGTTTACACCCCCACTGCTTCAAACATTTTAATGTTGAAAATTTCCTAAATGTTGAGATTTTGACAAGACATCTTAGATATTTGATAAAAGGGAGTGGGAATCAGGGTTTTATTTTTGTGAAATTAATAGAAAAATCCCCACCTCCTTTCCACTTCTGGTTCTAGATTTGATTGTACAGTTTTCATCTGTCCTTAATAAATGAGCTTGGTTTGGCGGTGTCAGCTTTTTCATTTCACATATAACATAATGCACAAAGTACCATAGTATTATTTAGGAAAATAGCTTATTATTGAAAGAATAGTATTGTACAAATTTGGTTTGTATGCATGCCTCAAGCATATAGCAAACGTGCCCTAGCAATCTTTTTTTTTCCAACCATGTTTCTTCTTTCCAGTCCATGATAGAAACAAGTTAGCTATTCAGATTTTACAGAGGTTTTTCTCTTCAGGAGGCACCCTGTACTTTAACAAAAATATTTAAAGCTGAACGCAATTTGCCTATTTTGTGATAGACAGTGATCCAAAGGGGGTCCACAATGACCCACAGGCCAGCATTCATTACTAGGCTGGAGTTCTCTCTTGTGAATTAGAACATTCTTAGCTGCCATTTTCTTTCCATTTGATGGAACAGCTAATTGGCAGCTGGATGAGTTGCAGTGTAAAGTGGGAAAGTAGGTTTTTTGGGTAAGAGAGAAACCTTACTGTACTTTAGGACACAGCTCATCCAGTTGACAGTTATTCACTGAACTGGTTGAAAAAGTGCTATCCATGTGCAGAAAAGTTGGAATCCTGCAGAAAAGTATGGTTTTAAAGGGGCTTTTTTTTTTTTTTTTTACTAAACCATGTTCTTCTATGGTTATTCTATTTCAAGTGGCTGAAGTTTTACTAAGTTTACTTCCAATGTAGCTGGGGCAATCTGATCTAAATTGTGAAGAAAAAGGTTTTCTACATCTGTTACCATTTAGTGTCACTAGGATTTTTGCAGCCCAAGCCTGATAGCCTAAGTATGGTGGCACGGGCTGGGATTCGATAATCTCTGGTAGTCAGCTGAGTTTGCTTTACTGTGATTTAGTAGCAATACTGAACATATGGCTGAATCTAGCTAGAGATTAAAATATTGGAAAGCTCTGACTCAAATCTTATCTTCGATAATGAAAACTCACTACTTTTGACTTCATACTTTTCCAGTTTATTACCTCAATTATTACTATCGGGTAATTATGGGAAAAGGATTCCTATACATGCCATTGTTAGCTCCTGGAACAAATTTGAGAGACACACAAATTAATTATAAAAATAAAATGCAGAAAATAGACATCATTTTATTAACAACACCCAGTCAACCTATTGAGTATGACAGACATTCTTGCATAGTTGAGCACATTTAATATGCGCAACCTACATACAACTAAAACTTCTATGTATGTTTGTAATCTTCGTTTGGGCAAAATGCTGCATCAGACAGCAACAACTTTGGAATCTGCATACCTCAAATGGGTTACTTACAGAATACACCCAAATCTGGCATCTATGATTCCTATAAGAATGAAATTTGGTAAAGTTAGATTCTTCAATGCTGCTGCACTGCTGCAGAAAGGTTATAGTTTTCAAAAGGTAATTAAGAAAACTGGCAGGCAAGCTTACAAGTTTGGGGAGGGAAAGGGTTTTTCCCCCAATGCGCTCTGTCAGCTTCCCAGAAGGAAACTCATTAGTGAAGCTGTCACTCTGGTCTCACTCATTTTTTGCTGCCCAAGGTTATTCTGTTTGTTTACATAGGGAATTATCTCTGAAATGATGACTCATCTGGTCATGAGTTGTATTGTTCCTTTGTATAATCCCATTTATGTATCTTCAAACTTTATATCATGCAAAATATATTTGTTGTGTTCTTTTTCATCCAGAAAAGACAAATGTTTAAAGGTTTTGCTAATAAAATAGTGCCAACAGTTTGCTGTTATCTCATTCTTGTGCGCTGCAGTGGTAGGCTAGAGGCCAGCATCCTGACACATCTAACTTTCTAGAAAGCAGCATTGACTAGGTAAAATTTGGAAGATTATGCCTATCAGAATCAGTGCTGCACCTCAGTTTCAGAGAAGACACTGGGCATGGTACTTATTTATTGTAATTTATTTCTCAAAAAAAAAAAAAAAAAAAAAGGCTACAGCAACAAAAATCAAATGAAAAAAAAAATCTTACATTTCTATCCTATCAAACTGCATCAGATTGGGGAGGAAACTTTGATTTCTTTTTAGGGTAGTTCCATAAACCAGATAATCTTCAACAGCTCATTGGTTATTATATGTTTTGTATTATTGTATTAAACATTAACTTATATACAAACTCATCTTCAAATGAAGCTAGTTATTATCAAATAATTCCTTAAATCTCATTGAAGAATTTTTGCATCAGAGATTTAAAGCAGGGATACACAATCTAAATACACTGTCAAGTAGAGGTGAACAATGTGCAGTCCCCATTTGGTCCCCAAACATCCTGAGCTCATGCCACTGAAATACACTGGTAAACTTGCTGAATTCTAACAGCAAGCTGCCCATTTTCTGAACATTAGGATGCTTTTAGGATACAATTTCAGGCAGGTTCTCTAGAAAGCCTCCAATTCCCACCCTCAAAATCCATAAAAAAGCAAGTTGAAAACATTTGAGCATGCAGCAGTATTTCCACTCCTTAAAATCAGAAAGCTGCTCACCAACTTCAGCAATTTGGGTTAGGGTTATGGTTAGCATCATTACTGCAAATTATTGTCCTAAATATTATGAGAGTATGAATTTATCTCTACTTAAAAGAACAAGCAATCTCTAATTATAGGCCTAAACAACCCATGACTGAAGAAAGTAATTACTAGATTCAAAAACCTAATAAACATTTATTAATCAATCATTTATATGGCCATCCATCTTATAAGAGCATGACTTACATTGTAAAACAATAGCTGTTAAACAAAATATTCATATAAAGTCTTGGTTTTTTGGAGTTACTTCTGTCAGAATTAGACCAACAGTCTTTCAATAGATAGTTGGACAGAATTAATTTGAGGCTTGAGTTGTGAGCCTTCTTTGATAGTAATGGAACAGGCAATAACGGGCCGAGAAACACCACATGCCCGTCCTAAGGCTTGCTTGGAACGCACAAACACATAGGGCACATTCTTGTCTTCACAAAGTAGTGGGAGATGAAGGATAATTTCAAGAGGTTCAGCATCTGCAGCCATCACAATGAATTCCGCAATCCCTCTATTCAAGGTTTTAGTGGCTGTGGAAAAGGAAATCATTATTATTACAACCAGGCACTCATTAAATTCAAGAGCTAGCTTCTTTTGCTGGAGCTGCAAGATGATAAAGAGCACCTTGCCACGTGCAATAGTATTCTATGTCCTTCATCAAATTCTTGCTTCAAGATTTGTGTTCATCTTAATCAAATATACTTTCAACTATCTTTTCACATTGGTGGGATTTGTCTGGTGGACACTAAAGTTATAACACTGAAGAAATAAGCTTACCACTTGCAAATCAATGAATTGGATATCTGACTGCATCTCTTTCTGAAGGCTTCAGTGTATGAGTACACATTCTCACCCAGATACATGGCAAGTTAAATGCCTTTTGCGAATTAACTTACCTTAGAAATAAAAATCAATATATTATGCAGCATTCCAAATATTTCCCATCTGGGAAATATTCTTTAACAATGAAAGCAAACACGGATATTATTGTAAAAGCTCTTTGTCTTCAAATCTGATTTATTCATTTTATTTTTACTTATTTTCAGTGTGTCTGTCTGATGCCAATTATTTCTGTTCAGCACATTTGAGGAAATACCAGTAATAGGCTACCACTAAGAAAGAGAATCAATATGTTTAAGGATATATTTAGCTAAAGGTCAGACTGACTTCCTGTAACCATCTTCTCAACCTGCCTCTGGTAATATCTGGTAGAGATGTCCCTCTTCTATTTTCCTTCCACTTATTAAGTGCAATATATTATCTAATCCATACATTGCAAATTTGATCATATCACGTGACATATGACAGTTTTTGCCCTTGCGAAGCTGGGGTGGGTGTGGCCTGCGTATGACACATCTGGCCTGCAGGCCGCCAGTTTGACAGGCTTGATCTAATCCATTATCAACTTTTATTTGGTTTAGCTGTTAAATTCTTGAAGCTTGTTGAATTCTTATGACTATCTTCAAACATACTGAATCCTTAATTAAGTTTCTTTTGCCCTTGGGCAAATTATTTAAAAAGTTTCTATTACTTTGGGCAAAGTATTTGAAAGGAGATAACACTCCCCCCCAACATCCATATAATAAGAACATTTTGATAAAAAAGTTCAATCAGATTTCACCTTCATTGGCTCCTTTGCGTAACTGTTTGTAGTTACAAGACTGCTGTACAAGATCCAGTAGTGTCTTGGTGAGCTGAGCATCAGCAAGAGGGTAAGCTTTTGGATTTACTTCTGCCTCAGCCTGTAGAAAAATATCAGAAATTGAGTTTCAGAAAACAGTATTTCTTCCTCAACGGCCTGTTATCTGTTTTAAGGAATATAACTGTATTGGTGCCAGGTGAAGTAATTATCTTTCCGTTACCAGAACTGTTGTATTTGCTAATTCCCTTTCATTAGCAATCCAAGTCATTTTGAAAAACTCTTTCCATTTTTTTCACTATAACATATTCAAGGAGTAGGTAGAGACAATGGTAAAATATCCTGAAAATAGTCACTCATGCTTGTCATCTCTAGATTTAGAATACTACCATTCACTGAACATAGGATACCCTTGAAGATCTCCCCAAGCTTCAGCTTGTCAGAATGATATTGGTCAGTGATCAGTCATGAGTGTCATGTTATACTTTATTACGGAACCTGCACTTATTAAATGTTTCCGAATGCAATACAAGTGGCAGTTATGACAGCTTTGGGCCTTAGGGATCGCCTCTCAGCAGTTTCTTCTGATTCTATCAGAATCACTAGGGAGGATCTGCTAAGAATCTCTATCCCCCCTCCAAGAGAGGGCCAAGCAGCAGACATTTTCCATTACAGTTCCTCACCTCTTGAGAAAAGGAAGAAACCCCCCTCATCATGGTTTTCCAAAAGCAGGTGAAAACACAGCTGTTTCAGATCTTCAAGGATTAATTGTACCAAAGGCATCTTATTTAATAAGTTTATTATATTACTTTCAACAAAATTTAAATCAAACCTTAATTGGATTGCCATTTTAATATATTGACTTGCATTTATATTTAAATTCTGCAAGTTCCCTAAAGTCCTTTTTATTTCAAGCAGTAGACAAATCTCATAAACATGAATACATACTACCAAAATGTACTACCGACAGCTCCCAGTCTTGAGTTTGATCTAGTATTTACAGATAGACAAAACGGCTGTTTTGGAGTGAAAAGGGCTGAATTTAAATATTTACATAACCATGAAGGAAACCGATTTCTCGGAGTCCCGCTACAAATACTTGGCTATTTCCAGAGAAAGCTGTTAGGAGAACAAGGTAGGCCAACCTATTAATGCATTTCATATTCAATAGCACAAGGACCGGATAAAAATAAAAGAAATCCGTCGCAAAAGCACTGATACTCGCGGCATGACGTTTAATATTGCAACCTCAGCATGATAGCAAAAATAGACCGATTATGGCAACGAGCACAGCAATTATAAAAGCAACAGAGGAAGGCGCCGGGTGCTGCACGCAAGGCGTCTTGCTCAGCACGTGATTTCATCGGTGCCTGTATGGAAACTGAGGCTGAGCGTGGCCGGATAAGCGTCCTCCGCGTGGTCTCTTGGGCTCGCGCTCTCCACCACGCTGCCGAAGCGCTATTCCTTTCGGCATTTTCACCGACAACTAGCGCCTTCGCTTTCCGCAACGTCTGGATCTGGCCCACTCACCATTTCTGCTAAGGACAAACTTCAGCCGGAGATTCTGCTCTGGATCCCCTCGGCCCGAAAGCTTCACGGAGGAAAAAAGTGAAATGCGCCAATACGCAAGATAGAGGCGCTCCCGGAAGTGACGTTGGAAAGGAGCGGCCCTCCTGCAGGAAATATGAGGCAGACCTCGAAGATTTCTCAGCTCCCGCAAGTGCGACCTCTACCTTTGGCTGGTTATTGCAGGAAACTTGTGTAGAGAAGGAGCTTCGACCTAAAATAGTGATCGTGTTGAGATTTCCTCACGGTGGCGTTTACTGAACTTAATGGGCCATGTTTCCATGTTCACTCATTAACAATTGTCATTTATACACAATTATTATTTACATTTACAGGTGCATGATTTGATTAATGTAGCATCTAGTTTCAGCAGCAATAAAAATATTATGCCGTGGGTTTTTTTTTTAATAGGTGAATAGGCAGGGGTGAAATCCAGCAGGTTCTGACAATTCTGGAGAACCGGTAGTGGAAATTTTGAGAGTTTGGAGAACCAGCAAATACCACCTCTGGCTAGCCCCAGAGGAATGGAGATTTTGCAGTATCCTTCCCCTGCCACGCCCACCAAGCCACACCACACCCATCAAGCCATGCCCACAGAACCTTGTAATAAAAAAATTTGGATTTCACCACTGTTAAAGGTGACACGCTTAGCAGTTCTTCCATGCTGCGGGAGGTTGGACTTAAAAAGAAAATTCTAAATCCATTCATCAAAATTTTCTGTATGTGACAAACTGAGAAATTATCCATGACATATTCTGATAGCAATTATAGTTTTTTTTAGCCTCTCAGTTCTTCGAAACTGGCAAAAATTAAACAGGTACAGTGTACTGAGGGTAACTCATTAAATACTTGTGCCAAAGGTGCTTTTTCAGGAGGCAACTGGACTGTCTTGTTTTTTCTTTTGAAGACGTTTCGCTTCTAATCCCAGAAGCTTCTTCAGCTCTGACAGGATAGTGGAGAAGTCAGCTGAAGAAGCTTCTTGGATGAGAAGCAAAATGTCTTCAAAAGAAAAAACAAGAAAATCCAGTTGCCTCCTGAAAAAGCACCTTTGGGACAACCATGAGCTGTATGATTGAGAAAATCTACAGTCATTAAATACTTGAAGCAATTAAAAAGCATATGTCCCATAATGTGATATTTCTACCATCTGATTATACAAGTAGCATAATCTTTAGTTCTTTGACAAAATAGTTTTGTGCATGGATTATACAGTGAATGAGTCCTGGATAATGTATTATTGCCTAAGTGTATATTGGGCCACCTGGAAATTGAAGTTCCACATACCTGAAATTACCAAAGTTACGAAACCTGGCATGAGATTTTAATTTATAGCACACTTTTCTTACCTCTACAAACAGTGCTCATTGGCTGAAACAAAAAAGAATATTTGATAAAACTAATAGTCAACTGTATACAACTATATCTGTTATTAGAATTGCAGCACAAGGCATTTAGAGATGCTTGTAGAACAAGGGAAGCACCATGGATTTCTGAGTAAATATGCTTTAAAATATTGTATATTATGTAACCCTTTGGTATTTAATTAATGCATATATTGAAAAATAAAAACATTAAAAATGTACCTCTTAAATTAAATCCTATATATTGGGTTAAAATGAAGCTTTTAGTTATAATCCTGTTGTGTCTTTGTACCCAAAGTACAAATATGCTCTGATACCATTTTTTTTCCTGCTATGGTCCTTATGATTCTCTGAAGTTTGTGTCTGTCTTGTTGGGTTTGGTTCTGCAACCCAACAAGACAGACACAGACTTCAGAGAATAATTAGAACTGCAGAATAAACAATTGCTACCAACCTGCCTTCCATTGAGGACCGGTATACTGCATGAGTCAAAAAGAAAGCTGTGAAAATATTTACAGACCCCTTGCATCCTGGACATAAACTGTTTCAACTCCTACCCTCAAAACAACGCTATAGAGCACTGCACACCAGAACAACTAGACACAAGAACAGTTTTTCCCCAAATGCTATCACTCTGCTAAACAAATAATTCCCTCAACACTGTCAAACTAGTTATTAAGTCTGCATTACTAATAATCTTCTCATGATTCCTATCACCCATCTCCTCCCCCTTATGACTGAATGACTGTAACCTTGTTGCTGGTATCTTTAAGATTTATATTAACTGTTTCCCTATGACTATCATTAAGTGTTGTACCTTATGATTCTTGACAAATGTATCTTCTTTTATGTACACTGAGAGCATATGCACCAAGACAAATTCCTTGTGTGTCCAATCACACTTGGCCAATAAAGAATTCTATTCTATTCTATTCTAAACCCAGGTCAAAAGCATCCTCAATCTGTATTTAGGCTTTATTATATCTCATCTTGGAAACCAGGTATGACTGTTTTGACTTGAAACAGAAGCAGTAAGAAGGATTTGCAATGTGACAGCAAATTTCATTATGCATGCTGCATTTTTTTTAACGGATTCAAGGATTGGTGGATAATAGTATCACCCTTAACATCTAAGAAATCAACACAAACCCAATCAAACATCAGGCTGAAGTACTGGTGGAGAAACAGCCACCGCAATAAAAAGCTAGTGTGGAAAGCAAGATTCCCCTGGCCGCGAGCCCTTCGTCGGGATCGCCATAGCAACAGACGGTGGTTTTGCAACGCGCTTGCGTTAAACTATCCCGCCAAATTTGTCGCATCTTCTTTGCAGTTGCCACTGCGTATGGAAGAGCATGTGAGGCGGCGAGATGGCAGGCTTCGCCTCAGAGCCCTTAGTGTGCGAGCGGTTTCACTCGCGGCACGACCCTCACTGGCTGCTGGAGTTTTTGCCTTCGCCGCTCTGCTTGGCTTGCGCCATTGAGACGCTGAAGGAGGACGGGGTCTCGGTATGTGCGCCAGCGCGCTTGCTTTGAGATGCGGCTCTCTTTGGGAGGCTGAATAACGTTCCCCATTTTCCTCTTCGTGCCTTCACTCGTCATTGCCCCGCGTTAGTTCACAATTCCTCTTTCCCGTTCTAAGCTCAAAGAACAGCTTCACACGCAAGCAGTGGGCTGGTTTAGATATGTGTGTGTGTGTGTTTGTGTTTGAATAGTCATTTTTTTTTAGTTAAATCCATAAATTCGGAAACAAATATATTCTCTTTGGAATAGCAACATTACATAAAACCAGCATTTGTAACTATTTACTTGCTCACTACTAACTCTGGGCTATAAAATGATCCTTTTTAAATGGGATGAGCAAGAAGACATTGTATGGTATGGTAATGGTAGTAACATAACCCTGGCAGTTTTGGAGTATGGAAATTATTTGGCCGCCATGGATTGTGTATTTCTGAGTTCTAGCCCATTTCTGAGTTCTAATTCCAGCTCGAAATGGCAGGTGGTAATTTATTTTATTTATTTATTTATTATTTATTTATTAGTCACATTTTTATGCTGTCCAACTCCCGAGGGACTCTGGGCAGCTAACAACAAAGAATAAAACAATGCGATCAATATCGGTTATGTTAATATAGTTTTCATACTATGAGAAATTAAAAAGCCCAAACTATTCTCAAATATACCCAGATACTTTTTACAGCACAGTCCTAATCATGTTTACCGGTACTTCTTAAGTACTACTATTTTCCTTAGGATTCACTTGCACTAAATATGAGAGTATGTTATATTTTGCATTATGTGTGATCCAGCTTTTAAGTTTGTATGCTCTCTGTTCCTTAAACTTGCCTGAATCTGCTACTGTGTTTAATACAAATACTACACAACGGTTTAATAAATAGTTAATAATAACTAACAGTTTATAAATAAACAGTAGTTAGAAACAATTAATACAGCTACAGTTGATCTTTTGTACAATTGATGGACTTTTGCTCTTAGTTGTTTTCCTCAATTGGATTAAAAAAGGGGAGTTTAGAATAGAGTCATTTTAGAAATTAAAATGAACACAGGTAGTCCTCAACTTACACCTACAATTGAGCCCAAAATTTCTGTTGCTAAGCAAGACAGTTGTTAAGTGAGGTTTATCTCATTTTATGACTTTTCTTGTCACAGTTAAGTGAATTACTGCAGTTGTTAAGTTAGTAACACAGTTGTTAAGTGAATCTGGCAAAATGTGATTACATGATCTCAGGACACTGCAATCGTCATAAATATGAGTCTGCTGCCAAGTGTCTGAATTTTGATCACGTGATTATGGGAATGCTGCTATGGTCGTTAAGATTATTTGTTTTCAAATGTAGCTTTCTTTTTGCTTTTTATGACATTCATTGAGAGTTTCCCCATTTAAAACTATCATGGTACAAATTTGACTTGAAAATATCTTTTTTCTGCATGTCTCCATGTCTTTGCCTTCATTTCAGCCCTAGGCCTTGTGAGAGAAGTTAGGACATTCTTTATCAAACAGCCATCTAAAGTATATAAAATCTTTTCAATTGAGATTACTAGATTATACGATTGATTGTTATGTGCAAGGATGTGTTGGATATAAAATAGGTAAGTAAGGCAGAAGATAGGAGAAAAATTCTGAAGTTTTCACTACTTCTATCCTTTCAAAGGAAATCAACAGTTTTGGGCTCAAAAAGTAAGAATATAGGGTTACAGGAGAATTAAATTTCTTATATTTCTTCTTAACCATTTTTGTAATTTTCTCTTGCTAACATTTAGCTAATACGCAAGAAGCATGTGGTCTCTTGTCTCCGAGATGTTCTGACTCAGCATGCAACAAGAGTCATCCCATTGCTCTTTCAGAATGAAAGAATATGTGCTTATTTTATAGCAACTTTGTTTGGTAAGAGAACATCAGACACATTCAACATGTTCTTCTGCAAGAATATTTTAATTTTTTCAACACAATTTATTTTGTGAATCAGAGTGACTAAAATGAGGTGTTTGGCCAAAATAGACATTTTAAATACCATAGTTGATTTTCTATTACATAATTAGTTTTTTTTTCTTCTGCGATGAAAAATATCACAGAGAAAAGAATAATAATAAAGGATGTGGCCTTTGAGGAGACTGTATTAATCAAAAGCCATGGTGGCAAAATTTTTTTTTTTTTTTTTTAATTTGATTTATATGCCGCCCTTCTCCGGAGACTCAGGGCGGCTTACAATGCATTATGCAATAGCCTTCATACTTTTGTATATTTATACAAAGTCAGCTTATTGCCCCCACAAACTGGGTCCTCAATTTACCTACCTTAGAAAGGATGGAAGGCTGAGTCGACCTTGAGCCTGGTGAGAATTGAACTCGCAGTAATTGCAGGCAGCTGGATGTTAAATGCTGCCTTAGGAGGCATTAGCCTCCTACGCCACTCAGGCTCCAGTGATTAAAATGCAGTAAAATGCAGTCAGTAATTCTACTGACCACCAGAGTTCAATTCCCACTGGCTCAAAGTTGAGTCAGTGTTCCACCCTTCCGAGGTTGGTAAAATGAGAACCCAGATTGTTGGGGGCAATATGCTGACTCTATAAACCACTTAGAGAAGGCTGTAAAGCATTGTGAAGCAGTATATAAATCTAAGTGCTGTTAATAATGTAGGTTTAATTTTTAGGGCCATTTTAAAAATTCTTAATTTATATTAAATCATTTGAATCCTTAGAATGAACTATATATATCCTGCTATATTTGTATGTGTTTATTTTTAGTAATCCACAATCAATATATTTACTTCTGTTGTGTTATTTTGAACACATAAAGTGTGTTTAAATCTGATTTTAAAAAGATACCACTCCCACATATTGTAATAGTTCTATAAGAAATAGGTTATAGTTCTATAAGAAACAATGCAATGTTTCCTGAATCTGGTGTTAAATCATATGTGGCAATCTTTATTTTAGCATGTTCTAAAGGTGGCAAATTGGATCTGAGAAACCTCATACCTTCTGCTATTCAAGAACATCCAAGTTAACAGGCCTCTAATTTCCTTTATTCTTTGTTCAACCCTTTCTAAGAATTATTAATAGGATATTCAGACAAGACTTCATTCTTTGGCAGGTTATTGAAAAATATATAAATATAGGAAAGAAAGCTAATTGTAAATGTGCTGATTGAGAGAAAGTGTAATAAAAAGTCAATAGTCTTGATTTATGGAATGTGAAGGCTGTTTGCTGAATGAGATAAAAGTGATAAAAGATGGAAGTAATCTTGCATGAAAATACATGGAATTCCTGATGAATGGTTCTTTAATACTGAGCAATGAGTAAGACAAGGGTGGTTCTTCAATGTATTTATGGAGATATATATAGCAACAGGAATGTATATACAGAAGATTACATCATAGTAGCTGAGAATATGAATTATTTACAGCAAAGATTAGATAAATTACTTAATGCAATGAGGAGAATGGATCTGAAAATTAAAGTACCAAAGAACAGAAAGAAAGTAATAAATTATTGTAAATGACAATTTACAATTTATAAGCTCCTAAATAGAGAGACGTTGACAAGCTTAAAAAAAAACAAAAGGCTATGTGTATTATTAGTGTATGGCTATGACAGAAGCTGAGGTGCTTTTCAAGAATTAAAAGGTATGGAGAGATATAGTAAATTAGGTTGATGCAATGCAAATTAGATTTAGTTACATTTCCCTTTTTGGGTTTGTGTATGTGTGTATAGTATACAGATTTATTATTTGTTGCTCTTTTTCTTTATTCTGCATAAATCTGTTTACCCTAAAGCAATAGCATCACAATTATATATGTATATTTCCTCTTTAGTAAGTGCAGTGAAGATTGCAGCCCAAATATTTGTTTAAGAATGATAATTATTTTTTTTCCAAAAGATGATTCTTACTTTATATACTTCTATAGGGATCTTACAAATTGTAGAAGACAGCAGTATCCTGGATTTACTCATGGAAGGTATATATAAAATGGGGAGCTTGAATAACTTTATTATCTGTGTGATAATAAGAGCAGTTAATGATCAAAGTTGTATCAGGAGGTGCTATGCAAATGCCAGTAAATTTCTTTTGAGGTTTAGATTTGGGTTATATTTTGTTTTTCAGCACAACATTCAGCTTAAATTATAAAAACATTTCTAATTCTCAATAAACTCTGTGGCAGCTGATGGGTTCTTGTCTATTCTTAATAAACAAATCTGAACTTGTTCAGGTAAGATAGGTTCTATATGGCCCCACAGTTGTGTGCCATAGGTCAGCATTGTCCTAAATACTTTCAATATGGGGTTTAAGATGCCTGGGTAATTTTAATTAAATAATGTATATAATTTTTTTGGTACTTGCATGAGCCCTTATCATTCTTTTAGAATGGTTTGCCCATGGCTTTATGATAGTAAAGGCCACTCCTAAATAGGTGAAATAACACACTTGTTCAGTAGGCTTCCCATCAAATGGCCAGTTATATTTCTCACTTTTTTTTTTTTTTTTTTTTGCTAAATAGCATCATTTTAGATTTGATTTTATTGATATTTAAAGAATTGAGACTATACTACTACAGGTAGCTTTCCAACAGTTTTCTCCGGCCCATTTGAGAATGCGCTTTTAGAACCATATTGTCAGCTTATAAAAGAATACATTTACCAAGGATCTTCGGCATATGAGTGTCTGGAGCATACAAGAATCCTGGAATAGATATAGAGCATAAAAAGCGTTGGGGCTAGAATACAACCCCGTCTAAAATCTTTATGGGTAGGCATACTCAGAAAATATTTACTTCCACACATACTTTCAAGTGGCTGTTTGAATAGAGGTCCTTAACCAGGGGTAAGAATCTGGATTCCATGTTTAAGATGCCTTTCTCACAGGGACTTGGATGTCTGAAAATAGCTCAATCTTGCTTTCTGTAACACATACATAGCCTAAAACACTGCTAGTTTTTCTTGAGTGATATGTAAAAGGATACATAAAACCAAATTCTTTATCTTCTGAAATTTGATAGTTAACATTTATACATCAAGGAGGTCAGTTTTGAGCATGCCATATTTCTTTTGGGATTTCTAGAAAATTGAATAGAACTGAACCAAATCTAATATGCAAGGAGAAACCAGCAAAACAAAAAATTGAGTTAAAAATGAGCAACATAATGATGAGGGCTATGGAAGAAAACTGGCCAGAAAAAAATCCTACACTCCGTCCCTGTGGGAGACACAGTTGGGCAGTGGCTAGTAAATTTGTGTATTATTTTATTATAAGCCCCTTATCTCTGGTCATGTAACACAGACTGGAATGTGTGCAAATGTTCTGTTCTTCCTAGGCCACAAACAGATGTGAGGGAAGAACAGAAACACAAAAACAGATTACAGAGATGCATTACTGTACATACAAAAATTTTTGTCCCTCAGCCACTGCTGGTAAAGCAGGTAATAGTAACAGAGTTGGAAGGGACCTTGGAGGTCATATAGTCCAACCCCCTGCTCATGCAGGAGACCTATACTACGGATTTGAACCGCTGAACTGCCGACCTTTCTGATCGACAAGCTCAGAAGCTTATACAATCCCTATCATTAGGTATATGATATATTATTATTAAGCATATTTACTTTAATGTGTAAATATAATTCTGGAAAAACTACAGTAAAGAAAATTAAATGTCATATGTAAAAATGTTAGCAAAATTGATTGTGATATATGTGTCAATTACTGTGAATAAACTGAGTATTTTTTCTTGCTGTGAACAGTATTAGTACAGTTGGTAGTAGAGCTGAAATTGGAGAGGTATCTTCATTATCTATTGGATGAATGTCAAAAAGAGGTTTGTATTTTCCATTTTGGAGTAATGTGCTTTTCATTAACTGAAGTAAGTTGAAAAATAAGTGATTTTTCTAGTTTATAAAAATATTGATTTCTATGAAGGATGAATAGAAGATCAATGATACCAATGATAAAATCAATGGTATTGTGGTATTAACCTGTTTATTTATTTATTGAATTTATATGCACCCATCTCATAGTTCAAGGCAATTCTGGGCAGCTTACAATGTAATAAAATGAGATATAAAAACAATTATAAATATAAAAACAGATTAAAATTACAAAATAAAAAGGCCACAGATTTGGAGCAGGGGATTGATGACGTCCTCTTCATTACTGCACTGTACCAACCACCTCCACCTACAGTTTTTCCTTTAGGGCCCCACACTAAGCAACATAGCCAAGATTGGAGACTCTTCCTGAAGACCAGAAGAGTTGGGGATGGCTCTCTCCTCTCACAGCAAGATGTTCCAAAGAGTGAGGGTCGTGGCAGAAAATTCCTTGATTAATGGGGTCTGCAGTACGCCCCTTCTGCCGGAACAAGTGGGATAGGCCGATTTAATTGGGGCTAGATAGTTCCTCAGATATTCTGGATCCATGCCATACAGGGCTTTAAAGGTAATGGCCAACACCTTGAATTGGACTGGGAAGCAGGTTTGCAGTTCGCATAACGAAGTGCCACCCTAGGGGCCTCCAGTACTGTCACTGTTGCTGCATTTATTTAGGGATGGAAACACATATAAATGTCATTTATGTAATTCGTCCTGACACCACTTACGTGTTTGTGTTTACTGGAACCTGCTGCATCCCAGGATCATGTAACCACAAATTTGCACCTTTTTTGTCATTTGCAGGCAGAACTTTCCTCAATTTGTCTTGAGAGGGATGATCTAGAGCAGTTGTGGACTTCAACTCCCAGAATTGTCTAGCCAGCTTGAAGTCCACAAGTCTTAAAGTTGCCAGATTTGGAGACTCCTGGTTTAGAGTAAAATGAGTTTAAAAGCTTACTTAGGATTGTGGGAATGTATTTGTGGAATGCTTGTTGACACAATATATCTTTGCATTCTGATCAAGAGAATTGCACCAAGGATGATTGCATGTGTCAAGTAGCCTTTTAGAACAATGACAGCAAAAGAAAATAGTTGATTAAAGAGAAAGAAGCAAATTGCAATGATTTCCATACTGCATCTTGTAAATTATCTAATTTGCTTCCCCCAACCACAATAGTTATGCAAGATAGGCACAACAAGAAATAGTTTGCCTGTATTTATTCTTCTTGGAAAGTTGGCAGATGCTATTCCATTGTTTGCTGATACTTTAGTGACTGAACATAGTAAGTATTACAGGTGAATTTTAACTATGCAGTGATTATATTATGAACTCAATAGATGATAAAAACAATTTTCTTGATGTCCCACAGAATAATTTTAGCAGTAAAAAGGAGGATTAAAAACATAATTTCAACCTCTAAGAAACTATTAGCAAGATAACTTGCTCTTGATAACTTGTTAATCAACTGGTGGTGAATGTCCCCGTAGAACTGGCAATAAATGAGAACATGGGCTGTGGTTTCTACAGTATCCATATGATAAGAGCAGAATTGGGTTTCATATGGGATTTTCCTATATTTCCATTCTAGGACAGCTGTGGGAAGCATATTAAACTGAGCTAAAGATAAGGCTGTCCAAAATTGAGGAACTGTGATATAAATAGGAGACTGGTTTAAATACTAACATTTGGTTATTTACAATTGTGAGAGGAAGCAGCAATTTCTGTTTGACCTGCTATACCAAAGAGCCTTTACCTTAGTGTTACTCTAGCTTGATCTGATTCTAAAGTTAAGATTGCATCACTGGAGAAACTATAGAGGCTCAGTTTCTTTTTCCCAAGAAGATTCATTGTCTGCCAATAGATTTAGCTGTACAGTATTTCACACTATCTATATTATTAGCACAATATATTCTAAGTTGATCTGTTGAAAGCAAAAGTCTTAAGGTCTCACCTTTAAGATCTCCTATCCACCTCCAATTAATTGGTGAAAGAGAACCAATGTTTTTTCTTAAGATTTGAGTGGTTTACACAATATGCGAAATTATACTTTTCAGAACTTGGTTTCAGTGATTGTTTTTTCTGAACTTTTCTAACAAAAGTGTTTGTGTTCTGTTTTCTCATTACACCTGCTTTTCTATTTTCTTTAACATGTAACCTGATTGAGCATCTGGCTGCAGGCTTGATATACCCCAGTGAGAGGATAAAAGCTGCTGTATGTTATCTTTATGGCAAACTGTATGCTGTCCCCAGTGCTGCAAAGCAGTTGACTATTCATTTCAAAGATAAACTTAATAGTCTCGTTCTGACTACTTTGAAGGATGCTCAGACCATGGAACTGCAACTTAACTCCGTAGGTAAGTCAGAAGGTTACAAGAAGGATTTTTCATAATTGTTAGGGATGACTTATGTACAATAACAATCCTTTTTTTGGGAATGCTGAATGTTTGAAAAAAATGGAAAATATTTTTAAAATATAGCATAAATTATTGTCAATGTAAGGATTTTACTTGTTTTTTGAATATTGAGCACATACCAACAAACACCTGACCTGGGGATTTTACTTAAAAAAAAACCGGGCTAGTGTTACACGCATCCAGATTAAGTTCAAACATCTGAAGAAAAAGCTGCAATAACTTCCAGAGAAAGCAGCTTGATTTTAATTCCCCAAATGAAAAAAATATTTTTAAACAACAATATTATGAAACATTGTGTTGTTAGCTGCAGAGACCCAAGCAATTTGAAAGCGTGTAATAGCAAGTTGGTAGATATGCACCATTTTGGTGGGCACATTAACGGGGACATGAAAGGATCCCCCAACAGGACATTCCCTGGGCAACGATCATGTCACTGGCTAATCCTTTCAATCTGGAAGCATTTTAGATGCTTCTGCCATGAACGTGAGTGAATAATTATAGCTCTTATCATATAATGCTAATTATATGAACATACAAATATATTATGGAATCTAATGGTGATATAGTTCAATATTGTTCAGTTTCCTATTATTGTCCATTTTTTTTCTTCTCTTCAGGTTTATTAAAGCAACTGCTGAAATATGATAATTTTGTTTTGGTTATTATGAGTTTTACAGGAAAAGCAGCAGATTCTGCAAGTCCTGACTTATTTGAAGGAGATAGTCTATTACCTTTAATTCTTAAGAAGGTAACTTTATAGAAATGTACTTAATACTAATATCAGTTGATGAAAGCAAAATAAATTTGTCAATATTATAAATGTAATTGTCAAGATGAATAATAAACCTATTTTTGTTCATTGATTTTATATCATTTTTAGGCTACTTCACTCCCAGTGGACTCTGGGCAACCCGCATTAGAAATAATTAAAAACACAATTAAAACAAACTAATAAAATTCTGATTGAAGAAAAGTTCATATCATTGATTGATATGATTGTTCATCTTGGGCCAAAGACACAATGGAATAATGCAATTTTAATGTATTTGTCAAAAGCTAGGAGCACTGGAATGCGCTTCCAGTGGAAGGGAAAGAGTTCCATAAAGTGGGAACTATTATTGAGAAGCCTAATACTTTATCCATATTTCATATATCTCAAAATGAGGAGGTAGTATCATTTGGATGGGCAGATTATATTATGATAGGGTAGTACCTAATGTATAGAACTTTAAAGGTGATAACCAGCATCTTAAATTGGGCTTAAGGAAATCAAGGAACTGCTTATGTTTGTCAATTGTACAGAGATCTTCCTGGAATAACCTCACCTGACCCCATCTTTGTATACCAGACTAATTAGAGAAGAGATATAATTGCCTGCCAAAGAATTGGGAAGACACCCCAAACCTTCTGGAAACCTGAGTCCATTAGGTATTAGGTGTTGGTGGTTCTAATTCGTCCTGTGCCGCATGTCCTCAGTTTAACGAAGTGATCTGACCAGAACAAAATGACAACTCCTATATCTTCACAACACATCTAATTTTTTCAAAAACAAAGATCAGATCAAATGTGTGTCCTCCCATGTGAGTTGAGGTTGCAGTCATAAAGGCCATGAAGTCAAAAATTCCCATTTCCAGGCATTAAGATTAATCCCTGAAGATTTACAACTTTTGGAATCCAAACATCAGCCCCAAAATGAAATTAAGGAACTTCTGGAGGGCCACTGCTGGGCAACTGGGTGGTCAGTACACAAGCAGCAGCCTAAGCTTGACAGAGTATCTCTTCTGACCTAGGCTTCCTTAGAAAGTAAACAGCACAAACTTAGTACCAGCAAACCTCTTTAATTCATATGGCTGTAAATTACTTTCATTTACAGTCCGCAAGGCTTGATAAACAGTGTTTCAGAGGAAGGTTATCAACACCCACCTATCTCACGTGGAACGGTGGCAAAGAGCTAATTTCCAGATGCAGGACAAGGCCAAACGTGGCAGAATTTTCAAATCTTGAATCGGCCAGATGAACTAATTGCTTCCTGCAAAAGCTCACATCCTGTTTGCTTTTCTTTTATGTCTTATGAGAGGGGCAATCATCTCCAAGCCTTACTCCCAAGTCAACCCTGTTTCTTTAATTGCTCCTGTCTCCTGACAGCTCTGCGAATGCGCACACTGGGAACAGGCTCACGCTGTTCTTCTGCCTTGCTCATGTCAGACTCCGGAGGCAGCAAAGAACTACCAGATGGCCTTGGCCCCCTCTCTGCCTCCGAGTCAGAGCCATAGTTTGAGCCTTCCCCAGACTCCAGGACTGGCCCACATTCCTCCCCAACCTCCTCACTGTCCGAATCTGCTGCCAGCTCTGCTGGCAGGCCACAACAGTATCTCAATGTTACATAATATTTGCAATCCTTCATTTCCAAAACAATGTCCTGTATTACCATGAAAATCTTATGCACAATCATAGCAACTTCTCTTCCCTAATATTGATGTAGCAGCTGATGCAACACCAGATACCCATCTAAGCCAATTTCAGGTGGGGCTATATCCACATTCTTATCCAGCCAAGTTTTAATAATCCACAGTTGGCCACTTTATTCATACATTTGATTTAGCATTTTCTAACAGCAACTGGATGCCAATGCACCCAATAATTTAAAATATAAATATCAGAAGCTAGGACATAACTATCTCAGAGGAGGAGATCTGATATTTATTTTTATTTTATTTTATTTCAAATTTATATACTGCACCTTCTCCCAAGGGACTCAGGGCGGTGTACAGCCAGATAAAAACATACAATACAAACATTAAGAACAATTAAAAGAATATATATTAATTTGGCCCCAGTTTAAAATGACAAACCAATTAAAAATTAAAAAATATGTTAAGCCAGCCCGGCTTGATGAAAAAAGAAAGTTTTAAGGGCACGGCGGAAGGCACCAAGGTCTTGGATTCTCCTTATCTCAGGGGGCAGCTGGTTCCATAGGGTAGGTGCCCCCACAGAGAAGGCCCTCCCCCTGGGGGTCACCAGCCTACATTGTTTGGCTGATGGCACCCCAAGGAGGCCCTCTGTGGGAGTGCACGGGTCGATGGGAGGTTGTCGGTAGCAGCAGGCGGTCTCGAAGATAACTAGGTCCTATGCCATGGAGCGCTTTAAGGGTGGTAACCAACACCTTGAAGCGCACCCGGAAGACCACTGGGAGCCAGTGCAGCTCGTGCAAGAGCGGTGTTATGTGGGAGCACCATGCAGCTCCCATAATTTCCCACGTGGCCGCATTCTGGACCAGTTGGAGCCTCTGGGTGCTCTTCAAGGGGAGCCCCATGTAGAGAGCGTTGCAGTAGTCCAGGCGAGAGGTGACAAGGGCATGAGTGACTGTGCACATGGAATCCCGATCAAGAAAGGGTCGCAACTGGCGAATCAGGCGAACTTGACAAAAGGTCCCCCTGGCTACAGCCGTCAGATGTTCCTCCAAGGACAGCTGCATATCCAGGAGGACTCCCAGATTGCGCGCCCTCTCCGAGGGGGCCAAAGACTTGCCTTCAATAGTCAGCGATGGAATCAGCTGACTATCGGGATGCCGGGAACCACTCAGTCTTGGAAGGGATGAGCTTGAGCCTGTTCCTCCCCATCCAGATCCGCACAGCCTCCAGGCACTGAGACATCACTTCAAGGGCATCGTTGGGGTGGCCTGGGGTGGAGATGTACAGCTGGGTGGCATCAGCGTACTGGTGGTACTTCACCCCAAAGCCACGGATGATCTCACCCAGCGGCTTCACATAAATGTTGAATAAAAGGGGCGAGAGGACCGACCCCTGAGGCACTCCACAGATGAGAGGCCTCAAGGTCGACCTCTGCCCCCCGCCAACACAAACTGCGACCGGTCAGAGAGAAAGGAGGAGAACCACCGTAACACGGTGCCCCCCATCCCCAACTCTTCCAACCGGTGCAGCATGATACCATGGTCGATGGTATCAAAAGCCGCTGAGAGGTCTAACGGCTAGAACAGGAGCAACCCCTGTCCTGAGCCCTCCAGAGATCATCTACCAACGCGACCAATGCCGTTTCCGTGCTGTGGCCAGGCCTGAAACCTGACTGGAACGGATCTAGATAAGACGTTTCCTCCAGGAATTGTGGAAACTGTCGCGCGACCACACTCTCAACAACCTTCGCCACGAAGCAAAGGTTGGAGACAGGACAGTAGTTGGCGAATACTGCTGGGTCCAGGGAGGGCTTCTTGAGGAGAGGCCTCACCACAGCCTCTTTCAAGGCTGTGGGGAAGTAACCCTCACTCAACGAAGCGTTAATAATTCCCTGGAGCCAGCCTCGTATAACCTCCCGGGAAGCCAGTACTAACCAAGAGGGACACAGATCCAGTAAACATGTGGCTGCACTAAGTCTCCCCAAAATCCTGTCCACATTATCAGGGGTCACAGAGTCAAACTCTTCCCAGATAACGTTCTCAAGACTATTCCTCGCCACCCTGCCCGAATCTACCCAGTCAGAGTCCAAATCCCCCCGGATCTGAGCGATTTTGTCATACAGATATTGTCCAAAATCCTCAACCCTGCCTTCCAGGGGGTCCTCCCGTGCTCCCGGTTGAAGCAGGGAGCGGGTCACCCTGAACAGGGCGGCTGGACGATTCTCTGATGACGCAATAAGAGCGGAAAAATAATTAAACTTTGCTGCTTTTGTCGCCACTAAGTAGGTCTTAATGTGCAACCTTACTAGTGTTCGGTCAGATTCAGCGAGACTGGCCCTCCAACCGCTCTCCAGGCGTCTTTTCCGGCGCTTCATCTCCCTCAGCTCCTCGGTAAACCAAGGAGCCGCGAGGGATCGGCACCAGGTCAGAGGCCGCAGAGGCACAACTCGATCCAAGGCCCCACCAGCTGCTCGATCCCAGGCAGCCAGCAGGCCCTCGGCCGAGTCATATGCCAGATCTTCAGGAGGTGGCCCAAGCTCCATCTGGAACCTCTCAGGATCCATCAGGCACCTGGGGCGGACCCATCTTATTGCCTCCGCCTCCCTGCGGCGGGGTGTAGCGGTTCGAAGGTCCAGGCGAAGGAGCGAGTGATCTGACCATGACAAGGGTTCCATGTCTATATCCCCTATAACAAGACCACTCAACCACTGGCCAGGGACAAAAATCAAGTCCAGAGTGTGACCCTCCCTGTGGGTGGGGCCAAGAACTAGCTGGGTCAGGTCCATGGCCGTCATGGAAGCCATGAACTCCCGAAACATCTCGGATGTTTGTTGAAATCACCAAGTTGAAAGTTGAAATCACCCATGACCATAAGCCTGGGTGTATCAACTGCCACCATGGCTATCACGTCGAGGAGCTCGGGCAGGGCCGTTGCCACGTGGCAGGGAGCCAGGTACGCAAGCAACAAGCCCATCTGAACCCCATGACCCCATCTCACAAAGAGGGATTCACATCCGGCAATCTGAGGCACAGTGGTCTCCCTTGGACCAAGACCTTCGTTAATAACTGCCACCCCCCCGCCCCTCCCCTGGGCCCTCGGCTAATGGAATGCTCTGAAGCCTGGTGGGCATATCTCAACCAGGGGGACCCCTCCCTCTGGGCCCAACCAGGTCTATAATAAAATGCAGCCCATTTTCTCAAATAATCCACCCAGTGTTCTACTTCAAACTGCTTTTATTAGGTTTCTCTAATCGCTATAATTGAATTAATATTTTTTGCTGCAAAAGAAATTAATAGCTTCTGTATTATGTCTACATGTAGCGTGCCTGAATGAGAAGAGTGATAGGAATTTTGTTTTCATATTGTATATAGTATTTTTTAACGCAGGGAATTATGTCAGTGCACTTCCCATAATATAGCTTCTTTATAAGATCTTAGTGAACTTTTAATAATATTGCATTGTTATTATAAACTCCAAACATTTTTTAAAATAGTTAAATATTCATATTTAATAAATGTATTTTCTAATGAACTCATGGTAATTAGTATAAAATTCTGATGTTTCCTGCAGTTGCTATTATCAAGAGATGAGATATTACAGGTGGCAAGTACACAGTGCATGGCTGCTATATTGGTGCACTCTCCAGCTAAATATGCTCCTGCTTTTATCCATGCAGATATTCCAGGTAACAAGAGTAATTAGACATTCTATTTGTCTGATACTCTGGAATGCCATGGTATTTGATTTCAAAGCCATGTTTCAAAGAACTTTTGCTGAATCACTATTAATGAGTGAAATCTTAATGATAGTATAAAGGTTAATATCTAATTTCAGATACCTGAAAACTGACTATAATCCTGAGCTCATAGTGGACTGTACAGTAAAAATGTATAAGCGTATGGCAGCTCTGAAATAGGCAAATTCCATGCAATGAATCATTTAAAAAGAGATGAAATATAAAACTGACAACACTGTAATTCTATTAGAAAAATGCCGTATATGGTGTGTCAGCATTTGATATATGTACAGGTAGTCCTCAACTTACGACCTTAATTGAGCCCAACAGCCCAACTGTTGCTAAGAGACATTTGTTATGTGAGTTTTGCCCCATTTTATGACCTTTCATGCCACAGTTAAGTGAATTATTGCAATTGTTAAGTTAGTAACACAGTTGTTAAGTAAAGTTGGCTTCCTCATTGACTTTGCTTGTCAGAAGGTCACAAATGGTTGGATGTAGTCTAGCCTTGTTTTTCCTAATCCAATCTCTTAGTTTTATTGGTTGAACTGGTAATAGGTTGTTGGTTTTTTTGCTTGCAGAATTTCTATTTGAATGTCTCTTCTGCATGAGTGAAAGTCTCATCTGGTCAGTTTATTGCTGCCTGTTGCTCCTTACTGAAGAACAGCTTTTCTTTTCCAAATGCCACACTGTCTATGGTAAACCATCACTTTTCTTATAGGATAAAACTGCTGTTATGTTAGGCACTATTTACTACCTATATAAACTATCTTCACCAATCTTTTAATATCTTCTTTATCCTAGGCATCGAACCTTTTATAAAGAGTGTGAAAGAAACTTTACATCTTAATAATATAGAATTGCAAAAACAAGGACTTTTACTTTTTACTGAAATTTTGAAAAAGTAAGAGATATCAACTCTCCATCTGGCTTTAGTTTGGAAAATTTGAGCAGAGGAAACAGCTTTCACCAAAGTTATATCTGAGAGAATAAATGTTTCAGAGGAAAAATATGTATATATAAATAAGCATGATATAATATAATATAATGATGTTTTTACCAGTTATCTATGAACTTGAAATTTGAAAAACTGTTTATCCTTATTTTTTAAATCATGAAAAATAGTTTGTATAAGATTTGGGAGGGATGATGGGGAATCTTGCATATTATATGAAATTCTTCTAGCTTTTTACTGGTCAGTGTATGGAATGATTATATTTTGTAGTTACAAATTTATTTTTTCCAATGGATTTCAGTGGAGAACCTTAATATAGGTATATTTAATATATATACATAGGTTTTATAGGTCGATTACTAATTTTTAATTTAACATAATAACTGTTTACAGTCCTTGAAGACTGAAGTGATTTATACATTTCATAAATAAACTATAAAACCTAAGTAATTATGTACAATAATGTTAGATTAGGCATTTGTATATTTCGATTTGAAATAGCTTGAGTTCAAATGGGCAGTTCTTAGGAAAGGGTTACAATCCGTACTGAAAGTGTTTTGAGTTCAGATAAATTCTGGTTCTGTTGAAGTAGACTGCCTTGAACCTGAATTTGAAAATATCATATTGTACTTTAGGAATATGTTAAGGAGTTAGCTTTTAATTTTTGTTATCCTGAAATTCAAAGTGATATATACTGTTATAATAATTCTTTTGTTGGGTAAAATTTTTGAATATTTTATTTAATTTCAGGCAACCGGAAGAAATTAAATTATTTACAAATATTGCTACATTTAAAGATGCTGTTAGTGTTCTAATGGAAGCTGTGAAATGCCCTGTTATTGAAGTAGCATCTGAAGCAGTGAAAGCTGTTACTGCAATTTTGAGGTGAATGAAAAGTGTAATTTAATTTAATTTAATTTAATTACTATCTGGAAAATATAGATAATTCCTTACCTCTGCATCTTCTTTTATAACTTTCTTCCAATTTGTCCCTTATTGGTAAAATTCTTTAAGCATTAGTTTATTAGGATCTGGATATTCTATATATGCTTTTTAATAATATACTTGACCAAAGTATACCAAAATACTCATTTGGACAAGTGTGATTTTAGTAGAAAAAAGGTAAGTGAATATCCTCCTTTTATTCATAGTTGATTTGTTCTTTTACCATGATATTTCTATTGACACTCATTTATATTATTATCTTTGCTTAACATTTTTCTGTTTTTCTCAGCACAGAAAGGATCATGTAAGCTTTCCACCTATACAATATGGGCAACTACAGAAATTGATTGAAACTATATTGATGCGATGTAATGATCTCCCACTGGCACCTTTTAGTAAGAGGGTGATGGTTAGTCCTTCAAAGCTCCTTTTTTTTTGTTCTGATTTAAGACCAGCAATGTGTAATATATATAAATACAAACTTAAAAAAAAAAATTAACAGAACATTTGCTGAAAGTACTCCCATCCCCATATATTGAAAGTTGAGTCCTCCTTTCTTTTAAAGACAATTCTTTGCCTCTGTTAAATGTACTTTGGACCATATTTGCACACTATTATTTTATTAAAGTAATTATTAATCTAAACATTGGGCTATAGCAGCATAAAATATTCTTACTGATTTTTCTTCTTTCAATATCACAGGATCATCAAGGGGGTAGATGTAACAATAGAGCAATTTCACAACAGGCACAGTTTTTGCAGAGTGCCTTAGAAAGCTTCAGAAATGCTTGTAGGTAAGAAAAGATGTTGCTCAATTTTACTGATGGTAGAAGTGGTAAGAAAAATCAACTAGAAACTGAGATGTTATACTAAATATACAAATATTTAATACACATTTCATTCACTCTTACATGAATTTACAGCAGAAAAGTACTGAGCTCATTTTTATATCTGAACATGACCCTCAATCAAACTTGATCTTTGATGGATATGTCCATGTAGTTTGACATGGACATGGATGTGTCCATGTAGTTTTGTTAGCAACGATACAGAAATGTTTTGCCAGTGACTTCTGGGATTTTTGTTTAATCTTCTCAGTCCTGCTTATACCTGTGATACTATCATCCAAATACTAATTTTTGAAAATTGGCTAGAGACTGTTTTGATTGAGATGAATACATTCAATAAAATCAATCAATAAAATGATTGAAATGGTTCCAGTTAGAATTCCTATTTTATGCACATATATTTAGCTGATATAATTGCAGTCTATCAAGAAGTTTTTTTAAAAAAATTACAAACCTGATAACGTGATTTGATTTATTTATGGTATATTTAATTGTTATATAATAACAAGAAATGAAGCTTATTTTATTCAGCTGTCCTTAATCTTGCCAGATATGAATGGAGTCCTATTCATTTGTTTGGCCTGCTATGCTTATATTCTGCCTTTCTTCCTGGAAGTCCAACTTAGTTTACCTAATATTATGCTGACAGCTACCTTGTAAAATAGACTGGACTAACAGTTTAAATTCTGTTCACATCTTCAAAATAGAAATAGGGTCATACCTCCTGATTTCTGTTGGAGAGAAAGTGAACAAACTATATCTGTGTACAACTCTGAGCAAAGATAGTGTTTGTATGAAAAAGTAATTTTATGTGTACCATTCTACTGATATTCCAGCTAAATATACAGTATCTAATTAGGTCTGACATATCATACTATGCAATTAAATATTTTGAAGTGGTAAGTTGATTTATAATGACAATGCAGTTTTTCACTCAAAAAATGTGTGGGCATGTGTGTGCACGCACACACACACAAATACAAACACCAAATCTTGTGTTCCAGCTACAACATTAGAGTCAGGTTCTTTAGGATTAAGCAGAGCTAGATTTCAGCATACTGTAAAATTAGCAAGCTATATCATAAATTCTTCATAGTCTGAAGGGGTCTTTCAAAATTTCACATTTTTTGTAATATGTTACAGTTTTGTTACAATTTTATACATGAAAGTGTTAATGACTAAGCCTCTATTACTCATGAATTTCATTAATTGATTAAGATTTAAGTTATGCTTTGTTGTTGCATGCTTTTACACCTTCTGTTCATGGAAGCTCCTTCCTCACCACATCTTATTTATTTTATTTATTTAGTTTGTCAAGCATATATGAGAAAACAAGTATAAGTATAAACATAACATATAAACATATAAGTATAAACAGGTAACGGATAAACACAAGAAATGAGTACAAATAAATGGGAACAGTAGGACAGGTATGGTAGGCATGCTGGTACGCTTATGCACGCCCCTTTACAGACCTCTTAGGAATGGGGTGAGGTCCACAGTAAACAGTTTAATGTTAAAGTTTTAGGGGTTTGTGAATGTAAGAACAGAGTCAGGTAATACATTCCAGGCATTGACCACTCTGTTGCTGAAGTCATATTTTCTGCAATCGAGTTTGGAGCAGTTTACTTTGAGTTTGTATCTATTGTTTGCCCATGTATTATTGCGGTTGAAGTGGTTGACAGGTAGGACGTTGTAGCAGACAATTTTATGTACTAAGCTTAGGTCAGACCATAGGTGGCATAGTTCTAGGTTATCTTGTGTTCTTTAGTATTACTATTAGTATTGTATTTTAGAATGTCACCATGTCTAAATACGATACTGGGGTTAAGGGATATACAAACATGATATAGTATAGGTTGTATCTAATAGGTTTTATAACTTTTTAGCTTAGCTGTGCAATACCAAAAAGATCCTCTGGCTCAGAAGAACACTTTTACAGCTCCAAATTCAGAGAATATTGATACATTGAAAAGATTTTCGGAATTTCTTCTATGGATATCTGATTCGCTTTGCATTCCCCTGGTCATGGTAATTATTTTTGCTATATTCTTAGCATCAAATATCAAATAAGTCATATAAATTACAGGAAAGCAAAAGAAAAAAGAAAAAAGTTGTATCTATAGATCATATAGAAGAAATTGTGACGAAGTTTGGTTAATAGAGGCAAAACTGCAATGTCCTCTGCTTCTGATTTTTATTACATTGGTAACAAGTGATGAGCATTTACAAGTTAATTTTATTATACAGTATTGACATCTCAAATGTTATTAAGAAAACAAGTTGTTTTAGGAAGAGTTTTCAGCTATAACAATATTATGCATCATAGGTCTATTAGGCCTATACTGATTTGCATTTCTGATTTGCATTTCATTACTTTTTATAATAGAGAGAGAATATGTATATATTTTCTTGCAGAAATATTCTGAAAGGGCTGTCCGCCCAGGTATTATGGAAGTCTTCATCTCAGCACTTAGCATCCTGTTCAGTGTTATGCCTGACATGCATAAGAGATTAGCCATTAAGATGGGTAAGAAGAGCTAGAGCAAACTACTTTTGGAAGTATGATTAAAATATGTATTTTTATTGCTGAACTTTAATGATGCCAGAAATACAATAAAAATCCTAAATAAATATATTTCTAATCCTATGATTCAGTAGGTAATCTTCCTTAAAAGATTGGTGGCTCCTAGTGCTGCCCAACTTTTTTTTTCTGCTATAATTACTGGCAGAACTATAAGCAACTTTCTACAATTTGGAGAATATAGCATTTTCTGTTCCTGAATGTTACGTTTGTTACCTCAGTGAACCTAGAAATTATTAAGAAAGACAACACCAATACATAAGTAGGCTTTATCGATAGCTTGCAAGTTACATCAGGTGTAAACAGTTACCAACATATGCATAGCTGGCTTATTTTACTTCTTATATTCTCCCACAAGTAATACATTACTTTATAACACTTAAGTTTGAGCACATGTTCTGCTTACCTGCCATCCATTTTAAAATGTGTTGCAGAGGTTCATAGGCAAGTCATGGTAATTTACTTGGGCACACCATTTATTGAATATTTTTTATTATTTAGTAAATATTTTCCTATCATTTATTAAATAAATAATTGCATTTGCTCTAAGACACTTTTTACAGGTATATCTAAATGCACATTTTTAGAAAAATTAAAATTTCGCTTACCAAAATATTAGGAAAGTGGTGCTGAAATGATGACAAGAGCAGTACTTTATTGATATAGAAAAGATGCGCCAAGAAGTAAGCAGAATGATAAGCACAATATACTTATTTTAATTCAGACATTTTGCATGAGTAGAATTATCTTTCTCTTTAGCATCTTCTTCTTTCATCCAACTGAACCTGGAATTGAAAGCTAAATTCTGCAGTGGACAAAGGTATTAAATTTGACATTAAAATTATGTCATGCTTCATTTTATTAAAACATTATTTTTACTCAGATAGATCTATCTCCAGAAATTCCTAGGGATTTTGTTATTTTGCATCTTCATTTAGATAGCATGAAGAAATATTTATAATTTTAAAAAGCAGCTGGTTAATTTGTTGATTTGAATGTTTTAAAGATGCCAAAACTTTATGAGTTAATAAAATCATGTATTTCAAAATGTAGCCCTTCATACCTTTATAGAATACCATACGACTAAACTTAGACGATGCTTGTCAATGGATGCACTGTCAAATTTTCATTTTGCTTGATTTCTTTTTTTTAAAGTAATGCTGCCTTGAATCAAGCTTGTTCTAGTTTTCTTCATAGCATGTGCCTCAGTCTTCATTTGTCCTCTGAGAAAATGGTGGTTTCCTCAAAACAAAGTAAGTTTGATAAAAGAGCTGTTTGTGAAGTTTTTTTGAAGTGCAGTATATAGTGCAAATCTGAAAATAAAGCTTGTGGCAGAAATTGGAAAAATACGTCCAATTTGTAGAGATTGGTAAGAATTTGTGGGCTCTGTAAACGATACCTTTAAAATATAGATTCTTCTGTTTATGATCTGGGCCCTTCAATGTCTAAATTATTATATGAATTTGCCATGGTCATTTTAAGGGCTCATGGCACCATATGATTACCAAGCAATATTAACCTAGAAGAAAAAGGGAAAACTTCTCTTTTGTAGGGTAAAACAATAATGTGACCATTGTTACTAAAATTATATTAGGAGTAAAGGATCAGGATTCTAAGCCAGAAAATACGTTTATGTGCTGTCCAGGCTTTCCTGACATTTCTGGTTAATGTTTTTTTCTTCATAGAGCAAGAAATATCTGAACTCCTGTGGAAGACTCTGCCCCTGTTAAACTTCAGTGCACTGGAAAGTCTCAGGCTCTTATCTGAAACCCCAGATCCCTTATGTTTAAATGAAACACTTCGCAATCAACAATATAGCCTTCTGTTTCTTTTCTACCTTGCTTTTAGTCATGAAGACAGGTAGGTGATATAGCATGAATAGGAAAAGCAGTCAATAAGCAAGATGAATCAACTTAAGCATTTTTTAATCTTTTTTTTCCAGAATTGTTCCAGAAGCAGATCTGTTCTCAGCTATATCAAGTTTTCTTCTATCTGTTGAGGATCAGGGAGATTGTCCACCTCCATATATTGTTAAAGCTATTTTGTATCTTCTGGCAATTTGTCAGCACAAAAGTAAAGTTTTAGACTTGGTAAACACCGGCTTAATCATTATATACAGAAACAGCTTTTAAAATTTACTACATTGAAGGTCTTTTTTTATTAAAGGAATATCCAGGAATTAAGAACCAGTATTTTGTTGTTGCAAGCAGCAACTTGGTATCCCATTCTTGTCTGAAAAAAACTTTTGAGAGTATAAGGGTGTTCTTTGAACTGGCTTAACATCTGGGAACTTTATGGAAGTGTCTATGAAGTTTTTATGGAAATTGTATGAAACAGGTGTTATTGTCTTCTGTGACGATTTTTCAACTTTCCAGCCTCGTCTATAAGTGCTGTGGCCTTCCACCAAAGCACTTATTAGGTACCATCATGCTTAGTTTTTTGAGATCAACCACAGTCATCTAGTTAATCTTGCAATCATTACATTTGGTTTATTTAACTAGGGTTTGGTGAATAAATGTTTTATATTTTGCAAAGTAGTTCAATGATCATGTAACAAAGATCAAACTCCCAAGAAAAGAATTTGAATAGTGAGGTAGTGCAGGACAGCATAATTAGATGTTGTGTTCAAATAGCATGTATGGGAAAATGTCCAGGCATGCTAAAAATACCCAAATATCTTCACCTTCTCCCCCACAAAGAATGACAATAACCCTTTGCAAAAGAATATTGGCATGAGGAAGAAAAATAATTATTTCTACATCGACTACTTTTAAATTATTCAAAAATAATTGTCCTTCTATTTTCCCCTCTAGTTTTTCCCCTCATTGTAAGAAAATAATTATAGGAGTGATAGAAGAACACGGTGGAACTATGGAACTTGGTATTACCTGTACCTTTCTTTCATGAAGAGTTTCTTGAATGAGGCAGAACAGTTTCACAATAAAATACTTGTTGGAAAAATCTAGAATTTATTACCACTTGTGATAATCTTGCAAATACCATCTAAAATACCCAAGTGTAGATATATATGTGTACAATATCAAACCACTTTCAGAATTAAAATGGTAGAACGTTATTTCATGTTATTGAAGCTAATGATGATATCATATTATCGTATTTATTTTTGATATCTAAAAAAAGCCATGAGAAGCTTAGTATTACAGTGAAAATGATCTGAATCTATTATATTACTATTTTTTAATTCAAAAAGAAATTATAAATATGATTGTCCGACAAGACATGATATTGATTTTATATTGATTTTTTAAAATTCTCCTCTCCCTCCATTTCCTCTATCGAGGCATGCCTTTCTGCTATAAGGAAAATCCTGGATGTTATATCTGATCTCAGCTTAGTATATGTTCATCATCCTCTGCTGCTTAAGTTCTTTTTACAATATCCTGATCTTATGGGAAGATTTGGTCACAGCATCCTTCAACTCTGGTTTTCCTATGAAGATTTCTCCCAAAATGAATATGAAGATGCTGCCACAAGAGGCTCTGTTGACTTTTCTGACTCTTCAATCAACTTTAATAGTTTGATTTGCTTGCTAAAAGCCAATCCCAGTGCTATACTTGTATTATTGGTATGTGATTTTACAAAAATGAACCAAATTATAATCTAAAATTATTTAAAGTATAGATCTGTTTCCAGGATATAAAATGAAGTATAGTTTATACTATACATAAATTCTCTATTCTTTGTTAACCATTTTCTGTAGAATTTGAAAAACAGAATAAGAAAGACTTTAAAGTGAGGAAAATGTTTTCAGTATTTCTTATTTTATTATATTTAGCAATAGTATTTTCCATTCCCCCGCCCAGCATTTTGGTTTTGGTTTCTCATTAAATGTTCATATTAATGTCTGTAGCATAAATGTAAATAATGTTATCCACATAATTGAAGGCTGAGTTGTTTTCCCACTCAGGATCTAGTCTGCTTTGGCACCAATGAAGTAGCTCAAAAAGTCTTAATTTCACTGAAAAATTTCTTAAGAATAGCTGAGGATATCCATGTCTGTGACCTTCTTCGAAGCCAGTTTCTACAGATTTTGCAACAGCTTTTAGTAGAAAATAATTCCAATATTTCACAAGGTGAATAAACATAAATAAGTACCAACTATTCCAGGGAAATTTAATTGTGAAATGCTATTGGATGTATTGATTTATTGAATTCTCTATAGGTATGTATTTGAGCAAGATAATATTTTTAGTCTGCAGCTGACTTCTATAGTTAGCAATGCCCTTCTATTCATGAGTTCCGTATTCAGCACACATAGAAGAAACACTGGTAATTCTTCCTTTCTGCTTTGGAGAGGAATGGTCTGGCACAGCTTGATTATCACTGAGACACTTTTCATAACTCTGATATAATGTTAATATTTTTCTCTGTTTTCAGGACATACAAATAGATCATTTTTATATTAAATCTTAAGATGAAATTTTTAACTGTTTTTAAATGTTTTAAACGTTTTTAATTGGCAAATGAGTTTTAATTGGGCCAAATTTATATATCTTTTAATTGTTTTTAATATTTGTTCTGCATGTTTTTTAATCTGGCTGTACACCGCCCTGAGTCCTCAGGGAGAAGGGCGGTATAGAAATCCAATATAAAATAAAATAAAAAATAAAATAAATTAATTAATTGTACACCCTTGAGATTTAGTGTAATATGGTACTTGAGCAGGGGTGAGACTGAAAAATTTAACAACCAATCTGCTGCACGGTTGCTGGGTGGGCATGGGCATGGGGGCGTGGCCTACTCGGCCTCCTGCACCACGGCGGGGGGGGCGTTTTTGCCCTCCAGAGGCTTTCCTGAAGCTTCCAGGGGGGAGAAAACGGCCTCCCCGGGCACCGGAGGCCCTCTGGAGGCCTGTTTCTGGACTTCCAGTACTTCCAGTAGGCCCGTTTTTCGCCCTCCCCTGGGCACCAGAGACCGGAAACAGGCCCGTTTCCCGACATCCGGTAGGCCTGTTTTTCACCCTCCCAGAATGTCTGCGCACTCCCTGCGCTTACCTCGCATCTAAAATGGGCCACGTGGAGACTCTTGGGAGGGAGCGGGTGGGCGGGGTCAGACAGTCCTTGTAACTACTGGTTCGGCGAACCAGATTAAAATTAACATCCGGTTTGCCCAAACTGGTCCGAACCAGCTGAATCCCACCCCTGTGCTTGAGGTACTGGACAAGCAGTATGGAGTCCACCTTTAGCTCTGGAAGCTCACTGGATATTTTGGGGGCAGTCTCTTTCTGTCGGTCTAACCTACCTCATTTGGTTGTTGTGGGGGATGATGACGATGACAAAATGCTATATATATTGCTCTGAGCTTCTGAATGAAAAGATGAGACATAAATCTAATAAATCTGGGTTCCTATAATAAAAATTATATAGTAAACTACATAGGCTGCCATTTCAGATATAAAATGAGACAATACTTTGCATTAATGCAACGGAGATTTGACTGTTTTTGAGTAGCAAACTGAAATATGTAAAATTTAGGGAAACCTACAAATCTACAACACTGCTGCTTTTTTGTGTCAAATGATTACAAACCTAAACTGAAATGAAAAGGTAGATATATGCCCATTTATAAAAGCAATGCTTAATTCAACTGACACCATATTGTAGCTTTTATTTGGCTTTCTGGGTCAATACTTTGTAACAAAGGGATTTAGTGGAGATAATCTAGTTACATTCTGACCTCAAATGGCTACACACTTATACTAAATTAACTTGAGTGAAAAAAAGCCCACCACTATGTATGAGAGTTTGGTTCAAAAATGTCATTAAAATACAGGTGGTACTCAACATACAACAGTTTAGTGACTGTTTGACATTACAAGGGCACTGAAAAAAGTAACATCATTTTTCACACGACTGTTGCAGTATCTCCATGGTCACATGATCAAAATTCAGACACTTGGCAACTGATTCATATTTATAATAGTTGCAGTGTCTCAAGGTCATGTGATTATCTTTTGCAACTTTTTGACAAGCAAAGTCAATGCGGAAGCCAGTTTTACTTAACAACCATGTTATTGAATAACTGCAGTGGTTCACTTAACAGCTGTAGCAAGGAAGATTGTAAAATGGGGCAAAATTCACTTAAAAATGTATTGCTTATAACAGAAATTTTAGGTTTAATTGTGGTTGAGAACCACAATTGAACTTGCATGTTTTCCTGCGTTTTCCAATTATTGCTTCATGGGGTTTTTTTTGTTTTGTTTTAGTAAGCCAGAATGTGCCACTTTTGTTAAATCTCCTTTTCCTGGTTCAGCTGAGATATGCAACAGAACAAGAGTTGGATAATACAGGTTTCAGACTGCTTCGCTTAGGTGAGTGTCTAAATTTGTTTTGGATATTTGAAGTAGGGATAAAAAAAATGTAGAATTTGCAAGCCAAAATAGATAGATCCTTCCTTCCTTCCTTCCTTCCTTCCTTCCTTCCTTCCTTCCTTCCTTTCTTCTTTCCTCCCTCCCTCCCTCTCTAGTGAATTTAATGACATTTGCAATTACATTTTAAAAGAAATTAAATACCTTACAGTGGGCTTCTTCAGGTGCACAATGCCTATAGAAATTATATTTCTTTCTTCTATAATAGTGTAACCAACTCTATTCCTCCTCCCAACTTTTTCTAAATGTTATAATCATATCAGCTTTTCATCAGCATTGCAGTTTGAGAATGATTGGTTTTCTTTTTTTTCTTTGTATCACTTAAGAGAAAGGATGTTTTATGAATACATAACCATTACATCATTATTTCAGCATAAACAACCTTATACAAAGGATAGAAAAAGGATAAGAATAAAGAAATTAAGTCATGGGATAAGAAAAAATGTATAATTTATAATAATTGTATATAATTAAATCTAATTTATATCAACATTTACCCTCTCACTGCAGGTTTTTATTCTTACAAAGCATCTTTGCCTTTTTCCCCTTTAAATTCTTCATCTATCTCAGGATCTCATTTAGTCCATCTAGCCACTATTCCTTTGCTCCTCCCCTTCTTTTCTTGATTATTCACTCCAACCCATTTGCACAGATAACTAACTACAGGTGTACTTGACTTACAACATTTGTTTAGCAACCTTTCAAGGTTACAATGGCATTGAAAAACTGATTTACAGCCTATCCTTTGCATTTATAACTTATAACCATTACCGAATCCCTATAATCACAGTAGAAATTTGGGTGCTTGGTAACTGGCATGTATTTGTGACAGTTGCAGCAACCAATGGTCACATGATTGCCATTTGCAGCCTTCCCAACCAGTTTCCAACAAGCCAAGTCAATGGAGGAAGCTGGATTTGCTTAACACCCATGTGATTCACTTAACAACTGCAAGGATTCACTTTACATCCGTGGCAAAAAAGGTCATAAAATCAGGCATTACTCACTTAACAATTGCTTTGCTTAGTAATAGAAATTCTGTCCTCAATTGTGATTGTATGTCAAGGATTACTTGTAACTGTAGATACAGATTAAAAAACTGACTTTTTATTGGAAAGTTGAAAGAGGTGTGAAATTTCAGACATTTTGAGTGATACACTAGGCCAGTGTTGGTGAATCTTTTCGGCACTGAGTGCCGAAACAAGAATGCGCACGCACGAATGGTGGAAACTGGAAGAGAAGCCACCCGGTGTGCATGCGCATGCTGGGAAGATGATCTTCTGGTTTCCAGCGTGCGCATGCACACCAGCCACCTGATCTTCTCCTTTCTGGCACACACGTGTGCGCGAAGACCAGCTGGCCGGCATGCATGCGTGCGCCGGAACCCGAAAGAACAACGGGCAATTACTCATGTGCCTGGAGAGATGGCTTTGTGTGCCACTTCCGGCACGTGTGACATAGGTTCACCATCACGGCACTAGGCTTTGCATGTCATGTTAACAACTATCCTCCAAGGCCACAACTTCTGTTGTCCCAATTTTGGGAGATTTTTTATTGGAATTTTTTATTGTATCACTTAAAACCTTTTTTCAAGGGTCCAACCAATTCTGGGTGACCTTTACCGATTGCAAATAGAGTGCTCACACTTATTGAATCCCCAAATTTATAGAACTTATAAAGGCAGTTATATAATAAGGGAGATTCCTCAATCAAAGAGGGCAATCTTTTTTCTTTTATAGTGGTGCAAATCTCTTTTTCAATAGTGGCAGTATTTTTGGAATGCATTTTCCAAAAGTGCATTTGGGATGCATCTGCATATATCAGGAGACAACACACTAAAATAGTAATGATGAAAATTGTGCTTTCTGAAATAAGTATTTAGTCAACAAGAACAAGGGTTTTTTTTTGTTCTAGCTTGTGCCAGGCATCTGCTTTCTTAGCTTCAAAACCAAGCTCCTTGAGCCAGATTGTCACTATTCCTCTATAATGTTTTTCTGAGGATAACTACAACAGCTTAAACCGAATGATAGTGAAAAATTGCCACAAAGGTGCTAATTACTAAGCACAGCTGTGACTATATTCACTACGGGATTGCTCTTCTGTTTTTTTGAAGCAGTTGGTCTTGTTCGTGACAATGATGACATTTAAACTTATCTGATTGGTAGTCTGTGTTCGTGTAGCTATCCCCAAAGATTTCGCATATTAAAATCTGTAAAGGATGACTGTTATACTGACTGCAGTATTTCTGTTATGCAGTTATCAATTTGTGTGGGAAATGTAATCCAACAGACACTGACATTCTTCAGCCATCCCTGAACTTCCTTTATTGGAGCCTTCAGCAGACAATTCCTTCCAGCCAACAAATAGGTAAAAAGTAAAACAATTGCTGTGTTGTATGTGATAGAATGAATACTTTTCCCTAATAAGGACTTAGGGTCATAAATTATTTTCAGGATGGATGTTTCAAAAGTGCTTTTTTTTCCCCTTCAAAAGGCTACTAGACTGTTTTTTATTTGAGAAAGAAGATGTTTCACTTCATATTCAAGAAACTTCATCAGTGATGCTTCTTGGATGAGAAGTGAAACATCTCCTTCCTCAAATAAAAAACAGCCCAGCTGCCTTTTGAAAAAAACATATTTGAGGCAAGTATAAGAAAAGAAGTAAGATGGCTCCCTTATTATTAATGTTCCTCTGCCTATTATTTTTTTCTTTTAGTTTTTCTTTTATAGTTCTAAATACTTTTTAAAAATTATTATATAATAGTTTTATAAAATGACGTGTATTTTTACTGGATTGTTGTATGCTGCTTTCTTGCGATGGGCAGATAGAATAGAATAGAATAGAATAGAATAGAATAGAATAGAATAGAATAGAATAGAATAGAATAGAATAACTTTATTTTCACTTTGAATGTACATTAATCGGCATACATTAAAATGAAATAGACAGACAGATGTGTTGTATACAGCAAAGACCCTATCTAGTTGTAGTTCTCTTCTTTATAATTAATGCTTCTCTAAAATTGTATATTGTTGAGTTCAGATTATCAAGTATTGCATGTCTTTAGCTCAGCAAGTTGAAGTTTAGCTTTGATATTAAAACAAATATGCAAATATGCAAAATTTCCTCATCCATAGCAACTCTTATAGTAGAAACTAGTAACTAGTTGCACTTGAGCCAATTATTGAGCCAAGGTTATTTGATTCTATTGTGTACTAGAATAAGCACATCATAGTTAAATCTTTTTTAAAAAAAATCTCTGTTATGTGATGGAAAAAATAAAATATGTACATTCAGAGACTTATTTTCTGCTATTAAAGATAGGTACCAATATAGAACTGTTTGAAAATAGGAATGCTATTTATTATTTCTATTCAAAGATTTAGTGGTGGGGGCAGCTGTCTTACTGAACATAATATAACTAAAATATTTATTTTAAAAATACACCTGTTGTTTTTTAAAGAATATGCATTATTGTGTTATAGTATCTGTGGAAACTCTTTCCATACCACTCAAAAGTATTTTTAAAAATAGCGTTCTCTTTTTGTGTATAATCTCCAGAGACAAAAATATACAATTTACTGAGATTTGCTAGGATCTTTAGTATAGATCAAGAGCCTTAGACCCATGGTATTTTGTTCCTTTTGATTTCAGTACTAATTTGTAATTATACCTGGTTGCTACTGACTTAAGTTATACTTGTTACACCTACAGCTTGTTGAATCCTTTCTTCTTTTACAGTGGTAGTATTGTTACTTTCCAATAAATCTTTGATAGAGCTCCTTGAGAAAGTCCTCTACTGCACCTGGATGGCAACCTCTTTCTCTGAACCTGTCTTCTCCTCATCCATTGAATCACTTATTTGTTCTGCTTGGCTTTTGACAGCTTCACTCCTGACTCAACAAAATATTTACAATACAGAGGTTAGAAACACCGGTTCTCTGGGCTTGGTGGGCATGGTGTGGCTTGGTGGGCATGGCAGGGGAAGGATACTGCAAAATCTCCATTCCCACCCCACTCCAGGGGAAGGATACTGCAAAATCCCCACGCCCTCCCCACTCCTGGGGGAAGGATATTGCAAAATCTCCATTCCTGTCCTACTCTGGGGCCAGCAGTATTTGCTGGTTCTCCAAACTACTCAAAATTTCCGCTACCGGTTCTCCAGAACCTGTCAGAACCTGCTGGATTTCACCCCTGGAATAGACAGAGAAATATGAAGCTCCTTTGGTTGTATTGTGGGATAAATGTAAGGTAGCAAATTATAGAGTTAGAAAACACAGAGCATGGAAATGAATTTGTGAATCTTAGCAGAATGTTTACTAACTAGATGGGAAAATGGAAGATGATATTGTTAGATATTCAAATGTGGTTTTTGTGCAGAATGAATGCTTGTTGATAAAAGTGAAAATTATTATATATATAAATATACTGTATTGTATACTATATTGTATAGTGCTGCCTATTTTGTTAATATGGAAATGAAAGTTTGGTATATCAGGAAAAGCATAAAAATTAAATGCTGTAGGAATGAATTAGAACAATAACTATTGTCACTTTAAATATACATTAATTGGCATACATTAAAGTGAAATTTCGTTGCATACAGCTCTCAAAGGGTCACTAAAGAGTTATTTAAAAAGTGTTGTTAAAAGAAAAAGAAACTGTGCAGAAAGGATGAATAATGTGCTTTGACCATAGTGATAACCATAAACAGTATAAGGTGAAGTGATTTGGTCATATAGAGAAAATAAGCTGTAGGACTCCTGGCGAAGTTCTTTTTTTGAGTGGGAAAATACTGAACAAAAAAAAAAAAAACATCTTCTGTGCATCTGTCCTCAACCAATTCATTTGATTCCTTTCTGAAAGGTTCATCACATGATCTCCTTGGATGTGGACAAGGTCTTCAATGCAGCTGCATACAGAAAAAAGAGCATATTATTCTTTGGTAAGTAACATCACAAAAAATAAATATGTGAACACAAAATATCCTAAGGATATTCTTAACAATAAAAAATAGAAGTTCTTGGGAGTTCTCCAACAATATTACAGGTGTAATAATAGCCAATATTTATCAATATCACAGTTTCCCATCCTCTTTCATACCTCATGAATTTAATGCAATTTCTTCATTATGCTCCACTTAACACATGAATTTAGTATACTTTACTTTCATTGATAGGATGATTTTTTAATGTGCATATATTAGATAAAAATCCAATACGAAGAACTAAAACTTGAACAAGAGAGAGCATAAATTCAAGTCCCTGCTGGTAGCTATTGTTTTCAACTGAATATCCTTATGACTAATCCTAGTTATGCTATACTATATTAAAATGGTGATTTTCTCAATTTTTGTGGCAGCAGACATATATTGAAAATAACATACATAAAAATTAAGCAGGAAATTTATTCTTCTGCAACGTTTTAGTTGAATTTTCATTGTTTACTGATCTCTTTGAAAAATAGTAGCAAATCATTTTTTCAAAAAACAGATAGATAAAATTGATAGAATATTTAGCCCCGCCCCGGTACATAGCAACCCCCCCCCCCCCGGAGATCTTAATTATGCTGGTTAATGACCGCAATAAAATAATTTACTACCTTTTAAAACTGAAAACTAGGACTTTGGGCTAGTTAGTGGGCTTTCCAGTAAGGAGACTACATACTGAACTGTCCAAATACATGGATTTTTATGTGTAGCCTAGGATCTCTGAAGTGTATGAGGGAAAGACTTATTTTATACTAATAATTGGTTTTATATCCAGTTAGCATCCTTCAGTTTTTGAGAGCCTTCTTTAAGCAGAACCTCTGTTCATCCTTTGTGAAGTTTATTGTCCAATCTACAGATGAACAGGAAAAGGAACTGCCACAGTCAAAAGAGAATATTTCCTTGTTTCCACTGGCTATGTGGCATGTACTGTCTTTGGTTGCTAGATTACAAAACCTACTTGTCCAGGTAAATTTTACTCTTAATATGGAATTGAAATATTAATTGTAGGACTCAGCAAAGCTGATTTATTTCAAATGAATGGAGAAGTGTAAAGAGAATACAATCAAGTACACTTTTTCTCACTTTTGAACTTTCTAATGATGCAAAAACTACCAGAAACAATTATTCATAAAGGTATAGATTTATTCTCAATGTTGTAAAGCCACTGTCTCTTGCATCTGCCACCTATTTGTGAGAAGAATTTTGGAACATTCAACAGGATCCATAGGTACATGCATTTCCCCCAGTCCCTTGACCAAGTCAATATTAATTCCAGCTGCCAATGGGAAAACACTAAAAGCATCACTTCTCTACTTCCTTGTTATTCCTTTGCTATGTTTTCTTTTCTGCAGCAAGGAAAATGGTTTTTAAAAGATTACTGTGCAATGATATGGTAATGTCATCCCACAGAACAGCCAAAAAGCAACAGATGATTGTGACATGCTGTTGCTTTAAATTCATGAAGGACGAGGAATCCCAGGAGCTGGGATGAGAAGTAAATTCACGCTTCTTTTCTGTTAAGTAGAAAATTGATTGGCTTGGTGCCACAAAAGAAGGACAGCAAAATTGTTTTTGCTGTATTTCCTTTGGAGTAGGAACAGGCCTGTTATAGTTCCAAATTGTCTCTGCATATTGAACAATCCATGATACTGGGGCAAATGAGGCAAATTCCTTTGCTTGTGAAGGACTTCCTAAATGTTAGAGCATTTTCAAATATTTTATGTCCTATGAGTCTCAAGACAACCTTAAGATTATGAATTATCTTTTTACTCACTTCTGTTATAATTTCAGGGATACCTTTTAGATGAATTTGATAATGTATTCTCTCTTTTATGTTTACAGAAGGACTTTTTGCTATCACAGACTGTTATTGGATGTTTTGAGGTCTTGTTGGAATATCTGCACCTGAAAAATCAGAGCACCGGTACAGCTTTCAATATCTTTGTGTATTCTTTATTAGTAAAAAATGCTTTACATTGAAATTATTTTGCTTTGCCTAAATGGCTTGCAATCATTGGAATCTCATCACTAAAGCGGACATAAACCTAGTAATATAAAGTATTTTTTTACTGAAATGAAGATTTACAGTATTTCAGATATTTAATAGTTGCCAAGAAAACAATACTTTATAAAGAAAAATAAAGAGTTTATAAAGAAAAACATATCAATTTGGGTATGGCTGGGTGATGGTATAAAGATGTTATAAGTCTCCAGTGCAGAAACGAATGCATACCATCCTAATTCCCATACTCTTCATGCTATCTCGAGTTTACTGGGATGTTAGTCTTTTGGGAAATGGACTGGTTTTCATGGAAAAAATCATGGATAAGGGCAGCTTATTGAAGTTTATAATTTCCAGTGAAATAAAAGCAGAATTAACTCGACTGAACCATGTTTTATATTTTACACATGGCAGAAAATCTTAATAATCTATTTTCATTACTGAATAATATAGCAACTCTCCTAGATTTTATATTATCTGAATAGATCTTTTCTTCTACTATTATATTTATGTTTTGAATGACTTATAAGTAAACCTTGACTTATGACCACATTTGGGACCAGAATTTCTGTTGTTAAGGCAGTTCTTAAGTGAGTCATGCCCAATTTACAACCTTTTTTATCATGAGCCGTGGTGGTGCAGTAGTTAGAGTGCAGTACTACAGGCTACTTCTGCTGACTGTCGGCTGACTGCAATTTGGCAGTTCAAATCTCACCAGGCTCAAGGTTGATTCTGAGGTGGGTAAAATGAGGACCCAAATTGTTGGGGGCAATATGCTGACTCTATAAACAGTGTAGAGATGGTTGAAAGCACTGTAAAGCAGTATATATGGTAAGTCTAAGTGCTATTGCTATTGTTAAGTAAATCACTACAGTTTTTAAATGAATCATGCTGTCATTAAGAAAATCTGGCTTCCTTCATCGACATTTCTTGTCACAAGCCAGTTAAGGTCATAAATGGTGATTGAATGACCCTGGGACAGTGCAACCTTCATAAATACATGCCATTGTCAAGCACCCAAATTTTGAATATGAGATGCTACAGCAGACATAAATGCAAGGACCAATCATAAATTACTTTTTTCAGTGCTGTTGTAACTTTGATGGTAATTAAAAGATTTGTTTTAAGTCAAGGATTACCTGTAGATTGTTTAAATTGTGGGCAGCATATAAAGAGTACTTTTTTGAGAGAAATTAATTATTTTACTTCCATTGTTTTTCCTCTGTTATTTTTTAAAAATCTTGTTTGCTGGTATAAAACTAGACTTAACTCAGTACAGAATGAATAATACATTTATTTGAGGATTATTTTCTTAGATTTCTTTCTAAGATATTTGTGGTAAATTTTTCCACTTCCAGCATATCATATTGCCTCACACCCATGGAATAAATTTTTGTTGATCACACTTTTAGATGGTAATGAGAATTCCTTTCTTAACTCAGAAATTCTTAGACTCATTAGTTTGGTGAGTATGATGGTTGTTAACCATTAATTCCCATTGTGTTATTCAATTGCATTATGACTGTTTTAACTGAATTGTTCCATTTAGTTATCACTGGCAAAACATGAGTGAAACACCATTTATAACACAGTGAGGACTGGATTATGCTGTAAATTTGGAAGAGCCTTAAATATGCATATGTTTTTGTTAAGCTTAAACTTACAGGGAATGTAACCTTATTGTATTTCTTTAATCCAAATAAACTCTTAAATGCAGCCACTATAATTCTGATTTTGATCCAAGCAGGTGTATTAGAGAGGATACACTCAATTTCTTTGCTTGAAAACGCTAACAATTCCCTCTATAATTATTATAATTTTTCTCTAGCAAAGCGAATAGAAGTTTGTTGAAACATTTGTTAAATAAGGTTAATGGACTTAATATATAATGTTAAACCAGAAAATATGATTGATAAATAACACTGTTCATAGAAGCACTATCAAACAAACTGCATAATAATTTAGCACAAAATGTGAGTCTAATCCTTGTGCATTGGTATGATTTTGTTCAAAGGAATGTTGTACATATTTGAATGAAAGGATGCAATTTCCATTGCTTCAGTCAAAATCTGACTGCCATGGATGATGTTCAATTAAAAATCCCCCAAAGATTAAAACTATTTAGGAAATCTGTTTATTCATATTCATCAGTTTCAGCTGTTTAGATGTTCAACAGTAAAAAAAAACCAACATTCTTAGTGCTCAGGAACATCCTAACTTCCCTGGTATGAGAATAGCCATTACAGTAACCATTTAGTTAGCATAGGAATACACATTACCCTCATCTTGCCATGAGCCTTCATGTAAGCAATCTACATTTGTCTTTTCTTGTGCTATGTGAAAAGTTATGTTTTCGGACTTCCACTGAGTCAAGCAGTGCTATATAGTCTGTATGCTGCACTTCATTTTCTGTAAATAAATGGCTTCACTCCAATTGGCTACTTTGTGCCATGGCAGAAATGGCCCCTCTGCTTCTGTCATTGGTTGCTCTTGTGAGATATAAGACCCAAATATTTTAATCCTCACAAGTCATAAACAAGACTGGTTCACAAAATCAAAGGTTTATTGGAGATAAAATGAAGAAAAATAAAAAACGGTTGCAAGCGTGGCCTCTTAGACCCTTTCCAAATGGATTGAGGTCAAAGAGCGCAAAAAGCAGTTTTCAAGCTACACATTTTATACTCCTACACAATGCACACCCGCCTAAGAATCCCTTCCAACTCCCCTTTATTCTTCTAAGTCATTCTTCAAGTTGTTTTACACTTTAAAGGGTCATCTTGACATTTCCTGCCTAACAACAACTATCTTATCATGTTTACTTGTACTGATAATGGTCTTGCCCAAGGCGTAGGTTTCTGTCTCCAAGGGAGCTTTTAGCAAGTCATAACACATTGTCTCTACTAATTACAATTTGTGGTCAGTTTCCAACAGTAAGAACATCATAGCTTTTTAATACATTAAACACTTTTATACACTTTTATACAAGAGTAACTTATTACCCATTTCCTTCACTCTTCTACATTATCATTTTGTCTGGGTTGCTGGAATACCTGTTGCATTTTGAAGAGGCCTTCCCAAAGTGAATTAGTGAAAAGATTAAGGTGAAAGGCTGGACTTTTTCTTTTAATAGGCTCACTGGTAAACTAGTGAAAAGTGTATTTTTTTAAAAAAGCAAGATAAAAAAGAGTTCTGCTAATTTCTCCTATTAGCTGAAGTGAAAGTTAGGAAGATTAAACTGTTTTTCCTCCAGCAATCCAATAGTGGATGCCATGGATGGAAGGTGTCAAGTCTCAGAGGAAACAGCATATGTGAACAATCAATGGAAATATATCATCAAAAAGACTTGGCTGGGAGGGATAAAGAATGATGGGCCTGGTAGCTCAGCAGACTAAAAGCATTGTAATTAACACCAGCTGTCTGCAATTACTGTAAGTTCGAATCTCACCAGGCTCAAGGTTGACTCAGCCTTCTATCCTTTCTAAGGTAGGTTAAATGAGGACCCAGTTTGTGGGGGCAATAAGCTGACTTTGTATAAATATACAAAAGTATGAAGGCTATTGCTTAACGCATTGTAAGCTGCCCTGAGTCTCCGGAGAAGGGCGGCATATAAATCAAAGAAAAGAAAAAGAAAAAAAAAGAAGGAAGGATGGCAGCAATCAATGACTATAATTAATAACACCCATGAACACCAAAACTAAAGAACAGATTGAAATCTTGAGAGCAACTTCTTAAGCCAGCTTCATTTATTGAGGGAGACAAGTAGTGTAAAGCTGCCTTGTGCCCTTTGACTAATAAATCTTCTCTACCTGTTTGTTAGGCTTACTGCATAATTCTATGTGCATCTACTTAGAATACCATATATTCCAAAACTTAAAATGTAAAGACTTCTATGTTTGATAATTGTGCAATCATAAAGTTTGGAAATTCTGAAATATTTCCAAAATATCATTAAATGGCAAAAAATACTAATTTGGTTCATTAATCTATTACTAAGGGAAGGTTTATCCAAATTTTTAAAATTTGGTTAATTCTAACATCTATTTTTAAGTATTGCTTAAGAATCTGTTTCAATAAAGCTTGTGGCAGTTAATGTCTGTGTTTTTGCTGGATAATAACTTTGTATAAAAAAGAACACGGCGGGGGGGAGGGGGGGCGAAAGCCCTACTAAGCAGGTATATACAAAAGTATGAAGGCTATTGCTTAACGCATTGTAAGCCACCCTGAGTCTCCGGAGAAGGGTGACATATATATATATATATATATATATATATATAAATAAATAAATAAATAAATAATCAATCCACTAAAACTAAAATACAACTTTTCTAAGTTTCTGAAATATCAGGACATCAGGACTGTTTCTGAAATTGAAATTAGCCATATTCTTGAAGAAGCAGCTCATACCAACGTGCTAGAACTTTCTAATGACACAATCAGTGCTCTTCGCTCGTTTCTTCTTCAGGTAAGAATTCTGGAAATGAAGAGATAGAATGTAACTTAAAGTGAAGTTAAACAACTGGCTGTGCTTCCTGCTTCTGCATTTCTTGTCAGATTGGTTTCTGTAAGGGCTAACTCTTAAAAAATGTACTTTACTTTAGATATAGTGTGGCCTGCTTATCTGAGCCTCTTTTTTTGTCTTTTACTTTCAATAAAATACTTAGTTTGTTTTTCATAGTAATATTGCTGTAAGTACATGTTTGCATTTATTTTATGTATTTAATATCTAATTAAATAAAATCTCCATTCCCACCCCATTCCAGAGGAAGGATACTGCAAAACCTCCATTCCCACCCCACTCTGGGGCCAGCCAGAGGTGGTATTTGCTGGTTCTCCGAACTACTCAAAATTTCCACTACCGATTCTCCAGAACCTGTCAGAACCTGCTAAATTTCACCCCTGAAGTACGGTCTGTTTTGTAATTGAGTATGAGGCTTTGCAGTTTTTTGCCTAATCTACCAAAAAGAGAAATTTCTCATTTCAAAAGAAGGAAAACACATTGAGTCTTTTTGTGCATAGGAAGTTACGTGGAACCCCGCTATATGGCTAGACCTTGGACTGTTTTTGCAATTATAGGCATTGAAGAAGGAGAGCCATGTTAGTCTATAGGCGCAAAAAATCAGGAATTTGGTAGCACCTTTTCTGATTTACATATGTTAAAAGACATACTTTGTGAATTGAAACTCACTTCATTACGTGCAGCAGTTGCAGTCTACAAAAGCTTATTATGCCTTTCAGTAACATTGTCTAGTTGGAAAAAAGTCCTTCAAGACTTTCTGATTTATTGCAATTGTGGTAATCGGAGGAAATTTCAACACTGAAATTCTGTAATTTCTCTTTTTTATGTCAGCTTCAAAAAATAAAGTATGAAGTGGATTCAAGCAAAAAAGCTGTGATCCAATCGTTGTTGGAGAACCTCCCACCCATAAACAGGCCTCAATGGACCCATCAAGGCATGATGTATCTTTTTTCAGAGGATATCTATAGAGATATTAGAGTGAAGTACAGTCTGCTTTGTAGTTGAATGTGAAGCCTTGCAGTTTTGTGCCTAATCTAGCAAGAAGAGAAATAGTTTTATTATCTTGAATTTTTTTTGTGCTTTTGACCTCTTTATCATTTGAAGTGATGTAAAATATCAGCATTAGATATAGATGAATATAGAGGTAGTCCTCAACCTACGACCACATTGAGCTCAACATTTTTGTGGTTAAGCGAATTTTGCTCCATTTTACGACTTTTCTTGCCACAGTTGTTAAATGAATCACTGAAGTTAGTAACATGGTTGTTAAGTGAATCTGGCTTCCCCATTGATTTTTCTTGTCAGAAGGTCACAGATAATCATATGACTCTGGGACACTGCGGTTGTCATAAATATGAACCAGTTGCCAAGTGCCTGAATTTTTATTAAGTGACTGTGAGGATGCTGCAACAGTTATAAGTATGAAAAACGGTCATAGATCACTTTCTTCAGTGCCATTGTAACTTCAAACAATCACTAAATGAACTATTGTAAGCGGAAGATAACCTGTACTTATGCGCGATGTTACATGCAAGATAGTATTTTGCTTATCTATATGCATAGAGTAGTAAAATTAGGATCCAATTTTAATTTTCTGTGCTGAAAACAGTCTTTGCTTTCAGTGCTAACTTGACAGAGCAAAACCATTCTGTTGATAGAAAAAAATGAGAAAAATGAAAATCAGTTTCTAATTTGTTATGCCTGTCCTTTACTATTTTCCATTGTAACTAGGTAAAACAGAAGGATCTATAAATTCTAAAGTTTATAGTAATATTTATGTCCTAAATTCATACTATTAATTTGGGAGAATTTTATTTTTTAAAAATAAAAGTGATAGTCTGTGATACTTCAACGTGCCATTAACATTAAAGATAGGTTATAATCAAACCAGGGATCACTTTAGTAGTTAATAGTTCTTTTAATAGTGCTTTTAAGCATTTGTATAAAAATTCCTCTCAGGGGCAAAAAGGGAAAAGTTAACTTGGTAGAAGAAATAGGGGTTTTCTGATCAGATAATAGGTATTAATTCTTAACGAAAAAAACGTATGTCATATTGCTTATTTTGTCATTTCCCCTCACTTGTCCATACTGCAGTTGCCTGTGGGGGAGATGTAGTCTGAGACTCCTTATTTAAGCTTTTAGCATTTATTCAAGTAGTTCTGAGTAAACTTACATAGAATTGTAGTTTAAAAGAACAGAACTCAGGCACCAAAGTAGATTTAGAAATTGAAAAAGGGTTCTAGACTATTTGATTTAAAAAATGCATAAATTTTCTCATTAGTGTATAATTCTTCCAACTTGGTTGTTCTTAACTCAAGTTTGACTTCAGATATCTTGGGAATGTGGCAATATCTCCCTCACATATTACAGACTGAAATGAGAAAAAAAAATGAACGAACAGAACATAGTATTATAAATTGATAAATCACCTTGCATTTAAATTTTCTTAGCAGTTATAGACATACAGAAAAAATAATGCAGGTTATTTCTTTCCCCGGCAGAAAGATTTAGAAATTTCTTAGATGTTGAAATATAAATTCATAAATAAAAAGATTTAAAATCTGTTTAACATTGTTCTGGAAATGATATAAATAAAATTATACACTTCATTTCAAGGCTATTTTCTATGCTGTTGTTAAGAATTTGGAAGTAGTATATTCTTGTCTAATTCTCTTAAGTGCTTGATCTGTGTAACCTGTGTTATATAGCGTTCATACTCAGTGATTTGTTAATATAGAAGTACTGTTTTTTATAGCTAAACAATCACTTGCAGTTCAAGGATTTTAACAAGGGAAGGGATTTATAAAACTAACAAACTGAAAACAAGGAGTAAGAGTAATAAGGTGTTGGTTATCACCTTTAAAGCGCTCCATGGCATAGGACAGTGTTTCCCAAAGTGTGGTACGCGTACCCCCAGGGGTACGGGAAGAGTTTGGTGGGGGTACGCATTGCACCGGAGTTTGGTAGGGATCACGTGGGAATATCCACTGCACCGTGCTTAGTTGCGCCCACAGAACAAGGAAAGAAATAGGCGCGTATCGCAGTTTTTACACGGGAACTGGGGCAACTCATTATGGCGGGAACTTCTGCGCATCCTTCGCGCAGCTCGGGTTCGGCCATTTTTAAACTGCGGGAACATTAACAGTTGACGTTGAGCCGCGGAGCTGTTTAAACGCCGGAGAATTGCAGTGTTATCTAAGTGTTTCCCAAAGTGTGGTACGCGTACCCCCAGGGGTACCATATGTTTTTTATGAGGGGTACTCAGCGTTATGAAAATTATAGAAGGGGTACACATATGTCAAAAGTTTGGGAAACACTGGCATAGGACCTAGATATCTTCGAGACCGCCTGTAATAAGTGTTGGTTATCACCTTTAAAGCGCTCCATGGCATAGGACCTAGATATCTTCGAGACCGCCTGCTGCTACCGACGGCCTCCCATCGACCTGTGCGCTCCCACAGAGAGGCCTCCTCAGGGTGCCATCAGCCAAACAATGTAGGCTGGTGACCCCCAGGGGGAGGGCCTTCTCTGTGGGGGCACCTACCCTCTGGAACCAGCTGTCCCCAGAGATAAGGAGAATCCAAGATTTCGGTGCCTTCCGCCGTGCCCTTAAAACTTTCTTTTTTCAGCAAGCCGGGCTGTCCTAACACTTTTTAAAAATATTTTTAATGGTTTTGTCATTGCTTTTAATTATGGGGCCAAATATATATATATCTTTTTAATTGTATTTTAATGTTTGTGGTTTATGTTTTTACTTTGGCTGTACACTGCCCTGAGTCCTCAGGGAGAAGGGCGGTATATAAATTTGATATAAAAAAAATCTTATCCATATAAGATATTAAAATTTTAAGATGGAAAGGGAGTAAAGTTATTAGCTGAAAGGACAACAAAAAGTCTGTGAAGGGAAAAAAGATCAATACTAGGGCTAGCATATATAGGGTACCACTACTTCAAGAAGTCTGCTCCTAAAGTTTATGTGTCTATTAAAACATTGGCATATTTTCAAGATGTGATGGAAACTTGAAAAAACCAGGCTTCTTAATGAATAGCAGTGTGATACTCTGCTTGCATGATGTCAAAAATTTCCAAATAATTTTTAGAACATGTACAGTATTAGTAAATATTCCCCCATCCATCTCCGTGTTTAACTCAGTTCCTGGTACTACATGGTCATGGCAGTTTTCCTGGCAATAAGTAATATGTTTTTTTTTTTTTTTAATTTCCTTCCAGCTTTTTCTAAAATCTTAGCTATCCTATAGCTCCTGGATTTCTCAGGATCACTAAGTATTGACCAGGTCTGTTCCTGCTTAATATTTTTTTGAATTAAGTCCAAGTTGTCTAAGGTGCCTATTTGCCTTTAATCACTTTCATTCTCATCAGTGTTGGAAGAAATGTCCATCTGGGTTCAGTTCCAAGTGGGGAGAAAGACACTGGAAACATAGATGCTATTTGGAAAGATGGTTTAATGGTGGGCAGGACCACATGGTTTGAGGTCATGGCAAAATGAGCACATGGGAGAGGGAGGGAGAGGGAGAGAGACCCTCTCTTGGACCCCGTCTTAGAGCTTCCTGTTCCTGTGAAAGAAATGTATTCTGATTGGTTGTCAGACTCCCATGGGGCCATGCAGGGGTAACTTTGTAGGTTGATTAAGTCCCAGGCTTGGTTGAATCTTGCTGAGTGATGCAATCTCCCAAGGTGCCATGTGGTGAGTTCTGTTGCTAGATGGGTAGAGGGCTAATCCTATTATGTCCTGAGGGCCATGTCTTAATCCCATCACCCTGGAGCTGAAGGGGGGGGGGGGCAGGGAGCTGCTTTGTCTTTAAAATATGTTTCTCCCTTTCTCATCCAAAGAAATATAATATTCTACCTTTCCAACATTTCCTAAAATATTTCATTCTTCTAGGAGTGGGCTGGGTGCTAACTTCCTTCAATAGTATGCAACAAACTATGATTATGTCTAAATGATGATGCACAAATGACAATGTTAGGATAGAAACTGTCCTTATATACTTTTGTCTAATAGGCTAATGAAAGTGTATAAGCTGCACAGTTTGCATCTTGATGTGTGTTTTGGCACTTGTCCCGTGGACACCCAATTTCAACTTTCTGTCTGCAGTAACATGAAAAAAATAACCTGAACAAACCAATAATTTACCCTTAACTCTAGCTCAGTGATTAGTATTTAAACTGATCGTAATTAAATCTTTAGTTCTCTTTTTTTAACAAATATAATTTTTGCATACAAGATGAACTCTGATTACAATATGCCATTTCTGTTATGCAGATCAAATGCTCAGTTTCTTAAGACTGGGGAAAAAATATGGAGTCATCTGTATGATGTATAGTTCACTAGTTTTGAAAGTTGCTCAACCATTCTCCACAATCCAAGAATCAATCAATGTGGTAAATAATTATTACCATTTTATTACTGAGAAAATATGATTAGGCTGGAACAATAGGTGCCATTTAGGTATAGAGAATAACTGCACTTTATAGCATCTCTAGAAATACCTCAAGGTGCAATCTCATGTTATTTTTCTGCATACAAGTCCCAAACCTACATATCTGATCTCCTAATGATTTGTTCTTTCTGCAGTGGAGCTGTGAAATTCAAATCACTAGAAGTAACAGAGAGCATCGCCATCAAGAATATTAATTTGTACTGAAACAGTATTTGACACCAGGCATGTTTTTTATTAATATTTGTATTCCTCCTCCTTCAGCTACCATATTAACTCTTCACAGTTTAATTCTTTCAAATGCTTCCGGTGTTTTAACGTAAAAGCTTTCGAAAATAGTCTAGTGTGTTTCAATTCACGCTTCTGCTTCTGCTTCTGTAATTCAGAAAAGCACTGTTGGAAGGAAAAAGTCGCCTTTCCCTTTAAGGATTGTCGGAAGGCAGAGCTTTTCCTTCTTAAATTCAAAACTCCCGGCTGGGAGATTACTTCCCAATGATTGGAGGTCAGCTGCTTGAGAGCAGAATTAGTTTATTGTTTATAGGAAGGCAGGCAAGAAACAAATACAAGCACAGCGTTCTGAGGCTAGCCTGTTTGAACCGTAAGAGTAACCCTTTTTTATATCCTAAAACGTCTTTTGATTTTCTATGTGACCCTTTAAAGTCTTTTGAAATTCTTTTGATTTGGCGTGTGAATCCTTTGATTTGTGTGTGTGATTGTTTTATGGTGTTGAAATCCTTTTTTTTGTTTGTGATTGGGTTCTTCCGTCCTGGATCTGGCAAATAAATAATTGTTTTATAGTCCACTCTCTGTTTTTCCCAGCCCTTTGTAGTTGTTCATTCCCTATAATTATTCAGCTTGCTATTTCTGTTTTCTCCTTTTTCTCATGTGTTTAAATTTCTTTGGCTTGATTTTTTTTCCTTTTTGGGTGTTTGTTTTTCTTTCCTGTGTCCCATACCTGTTTGGATGTTGCAGGCCCCTGTAATTTTGTCCTTCCTTTGTTGTGGAAAATAGGGTGGCTTCAGCTTCTTAATGGCCCATTGATAAAGGTGGGGGCTGAAACTCTGCCTGAGTTTCTGCTTATTTCTTTTAGGGGAATTTCCCTGCTCTTTTAATATTGAGTTTCTCATATCTTCCAACAGCGCCTTACAACTGCAAGTCAAAAAACTGCAATTTGAAGGAGCCAACGACTATAGTAAAGTTGTGGGGAGAGAAGGCTCCGCCAAAATTACAGGCGGAACTACAATACAGGGGACCCTGGGAAGCTGGTGGAGGAAGTGACGTATTAGTGTAGGGTATGTGGTTTGCTAACAGCAGGGCCAGTCAGCCGAAAAAAAGCTCCTGGGAAAAGGAAGAGATGTTGCAGCATGACAGTCTCCTCGGAGTAAAGTCCTGCAGTGACGAATGGTTGTTGACTGAGGCAGCTGGTAAGGATTTTTGTTAGGGGTCTAGCAGCGATTGGTTGGATAACGAGCATTTCTCCCGATCTGATGCGGGAAAAATATTCGGGCTATATTGCTGTTGAACTGCAGATTTTGAGAGGTGATCTTGAACTGCAGGGCAAGCGGGAAAATACTTCATAGTTTGCCCAGCGCCGGTTCTCCGCGACTCAAATGCTACAGATAATATTGCACGACAGCGCTGGGGAAAGAGAGGCCTAAATGAGGTGTATTGTGGAGTCTAATGAATCTCTTAGGCGCGACAAGTAGAAGACAGAAGGTCTTCCCTCTCTTCCGCCTGTTGATAGGGTCTCTCTGTTTAATAGACGGTTAAGCAGTTTCGAAGCCCACGTGCCAAAATCCCCATTCTTTTATATTCCTTTCCGTTTTTAATCGTGGACCTAAACTCCCATAATTCAATCGGCATCTTTTAGACTCGCCACTCCACTCTCAGGAAAACAGCAAGACAATTAAATTGCCTGAAGCGGGACTTAGAAAAGCGAAGATTCCACCACGTTAATACAACGACTTTCGAGCCCAGCTTGACTACTGGTGGCTTCACAGACGTGTCAGTGTAGCGATTTTGCCAACAAACTAGATAAAAATTATTTTTTGTTATATGAATATATTTTGTAAGGCAATATAAATAAAATACCTACGCATTTAAATCTGTTCACCTAAAATGCTTGATTGCTTGGAAAAAGCTTTAAGTGCTGTAGTTATTTGCAAGTACAGTCTTTATATTCAGTTGGGAGCCTCCTCTTGAATCTATAAAATTCTCAGACAACTACAGGTGGTCTTCAATTTACCATCACAATTGAGCCCAAAATTTCTGCTGTTAAGTGAGACATTTGTTAAGTGAATTTTGCCCCATTTTACAGCCTTCCTTGCCACAGTTGTTAAGTGAATCAATGCAGTTGATGTTAGTGAATCTGTCTTCTCCATTGATTTTGCTTGTCAAAAGGTTGCAAAAGATCACATGACTTTGGGACACAGTATCGGTTATAAGTATGAACTAGTTGCCAAGCATCTGAATTTTGATCACATGATCATAGGGATGCTACAAAGTGTGAAATGGTCATAAGTCCCTTTTTTCAGTGCCATTGTAACTTTGAAAAGTCAATAAATGAACTATTATAAGTCGAGGACCACCTGTACTGGCATTCACCTTAATTTGTTTTACCACTTTGGGTTTAGCTTCAACATGGGCTGTCTACCTCCACATTGAAATAACATTAACTTTTAGAGGTAATAGAGTGGCTACTATATTGACTTTCTTCTTGAGGATCTATAAGTGTACTATTGAATTCATAGCTTCCCCAACTTTTTGAGGCTCTTGTGTTATTATCATTGACAAATTCTACTTGTCTATCTTATGAAAACCTTCATTGGGTTTTGTGCAGTGATCGATTCTTGTTCCTTCAGCCAAGACTAGATTAAAGATTAGATGTATTGGCAAATGTATTCAGAAAGATAGATTGTGTTGATTTTGTATATCTCTGGTTACCCAAAACATTTTTATTGTTTTTTACTCCCAATGTAATATCCTTAGGAAGTTTTCTCTTTTCCAGTGCTTTGGAAAGTTTATTCCTGCAGCTGTTAAGATATATCTTAGCACATTGTGATTTTTCTCATTTATGTTTTTTGGAAATATACCTAATTGAAGTGTCTTTGGTTTCAGTTTATATTTTATTTTGAGGATTTTTCAAAATAAATTGATGTATTATTTTCCAGTACTTTTCTGAGGTTTTTTCTCTGAGGCAAGTAAAAATGGTTGGAGAAGAGTTCATGGCTAAAATATGGAACTTGTTTATCTATTTTGAGCCCACCTTTATTGTACTTAAAAATAACTCAATGTGGCAAATGTATCTAATACTCCTATTTTCCCCACTACAACAACCCTGTGAGGTGAGTTGGACTGAGAGAAAGTGACTGGTCCAAAGTCACCCACCTGGCTTTTATGCCTAAGGCAGAACTAGAATTCACAGTCTCCTGATTTCTAGCCTGGTACCTTAATACTAGATCAAATTACTTCTTGTTGCTGATATACTTTACTACTATTTACAGATATAATTATAATGAGACCTAACTAGGTTGACTGTGTAGCTATTGTCTGTTATGGGGTGGATATGTTTTTAATGTGAATTATGTAAAACTCTTATTTCCCTATCACTATCTTTCCAATATAGGATTTTAAGAATGGATTATTTTGTGGCTTGCACATTCCTCTTTACACTGATATTACCAAGAGGTATGACTACTGACACAGAGAAGAAAACCTCAGATTCAGGATTGGAAATCTGTATCCTTCTTCCAGTTTTGGGTCTTGGATTTGAAATTGGCTACCTCCATATTTCATAGATAGACTATGAGCAAGATGGAATTCCCTAGTAAATTGGGACAATTTTGAGGCATCATGTGGAATCCCTCTGGATTCATTAGAGACCCTTTTGAAGGGTCTGCAGTGTTACAGAGTTCCAGGATTGCTATAATCTGCAGTTTGACGAAGAATTATCTGGCCATAACAAAAGAAAACATTAATGTCTTCCTACCCAATGTGTTCCAAAATGAAGACCAAATCAAGTGTGTGCTCATCCATGTGTGTTGGAGCTGCAATTATTTCTGACAATCCCATGGTTGCCATAGAATCCATCAACACTGGAAAATCTATCCCATCCCCCAGTCATGGAGGTTGAAGTCATCCCAAATTGAAAGTCTTGGGAACTCCAATATCAACTTGAGATGAGTTTCAGGTGCTCATGAAGGGCCACTTCTAAACAGCTAGGTCAAGGATCTGAAACCTTAAGCACTCAAAGGGCCATTTGGACACGTTTCCCACAGAAAAGAAAACATCAGGAGCCACAAAACATGGGTGGGCATGGCCAACTCGATGTCACTCACTTCTACCAGTCACATGACCCCCCCAGCCACGCCTACTCAGCTGGTCATTAGGGCAGAGAACCAGTTGTTAAAAAACACTGGGAACCACAAAACCCTTTTGACATATCTCTCTCTCCCCTCCCTCCCTTCTCTCTCTCACCCTCTCTCTGTATCTCTCTGTCTCTACCGCAGCCGCTTCTCCATTCCCCACTGTCGCCCTTACCTTCTCAGGCCAGGCGAGGATTGACTGGGAGGGGAGGGCGAGGAACGGGGCCAGCTAGTGGTGGGATCACCTGACAGGGAGCCACATCAGAGGGCCCAAAGAGCTGCATGTGGCTCTGAAGCCACAGGTTACTGAGCTAGGTGGTCAGCACTTTAGCCCATTTCAAAGTGTAGGCACTCACAACCAGTCATTTTTGGAATAACAATAGCACTTAGTGCTTTTACAGTCCTCTCTAAGTGGTTTACAGAGTCAGCATATTGCCCCCAACAATCTGGGTCCTCATTTTACCCACCTCGGAAGGATGGAAGGCTGAGTCAACCTTGAGCCGGTGAGATTTGAACTGCCGAACTGCAGCTAGGATTGCAGTACTGCACTCTAACCACTATGCCACCTTGGCGAAGTGCTCCTTGTCACTTCAAAGTTCTCATGAACAATCAGAAAACTCTGGTTTTGATGTTGTGACTGTAGTAGGATCTAAAATCATCTGACAAATTTCCACCATACCCATTTTTGTACAACCAAGTCTCAGTGATATGTATTGGGTTCATGGGTTGTCTCCCATCTTGTCATAGATGGATGCAATCTTATTCTGCATAGGTCTGGTATTTACCAATAAGATCTAAAGACAGAGGCACCAGTCACCTGAATTTGGGTGACTAGTATATTTCATGTTGGCATTTGTAGATTTCTGTTAAGATATGTGCTTAGATTCTGTAGTTAAAATAAACAGCTTGGTGAAATGTTTATCTTTGAAGAGGTATAATTAAAGGCAAAAAGATAGATTGGAGGATTATACTGTGTATTATGTTGATGAGGCCATAGAACAAAATATGGGACTTCTGTATGATTCGCTTGACCAAGACACAGATAAGAAACTGTTTGAAGTAAAGCGCAAAGACCAAATGAATGCACTGAAGAACCTGATTGAACTCAATGATGTCAACCAGCAGTACAAAATTATAGACATCATGCTCAAGGGTCTTTTCAAGGTAAGCCTTGCTTAACTGATCCCCAGTTTTTTTTTATTATAGAATGTTTCTTGAATACTCCTAAATCAGTATTAGAAAAGCAATGCAAAGTTTAGCCCCCATGTCATTGGCTAATTGGACTTTGAGCTAATTCAACAGGGGGAGGAAGAACATTCACCATCCCACAAAGTAGACTTATGAAAAATTTATCAGCAGCCATTCTGAGTAGTTCTTGTTTATGATTTGGCAGCCAAGTGTTTGGGAAGAAAAGATCATGTCTCTTGGATGAACAGGTAGTCCTCGATCTACAACCACAATTTAGCCCAAAATTTATGTTGCTAAGCAAAGACAGTTGTTAAATGAGTTATCCCCCATGTTATAACCTTTTTTGCCATGGCTGTTAAGTGATTCACTGCATTTGTTAAATTTGTAACACGGTGGTTAAGTGAATCTGGTTTTACCTTTTGACTTTGTCAGAAGGTCACAAAAGATAATCATATGACCTCAGGAGATTGCAACTGTCATAAATACATGCAAGTTGCCAAGCATCCAAATTTTAATCATGTGACCATGGGAATGCTACAATTGTAAGTGTGAAAAAGGGTCATAAGTCACTTTTTTCAGTGCTGTTGTAACTTCAAACGATCGCTAAATAAATGGTTATAATTTCATGGGGAAAGTTTGGAGTTTACAGTAGTTACCTGTGAATGTGATATTTATTTATTTATTTATAATTTTTTATATATCTATATCTATCAGATATATTTATTCATTCACCTGTAAATGTTTTTATCAGCTACCTTTTCATGAGTTTCATCTCCATGGCAAAAGTTAATACAGAAGGACATTTTCAATAGTTATTTTATCAATATATCTTGGCTTCATTCACTTAATACTCTTATGTTCTATGTCCTAGTATGGAGCATCAAGACCTATTTCTTTCTTACTATAAAAATACAGCACCCTGATAAGTTTGGGATAATGATTTTTTGGTCATAGTGGAGGGAACTTTAGTCTTAATGTCCTGGTAAAATGTACACGGTACCTCAGATACCGGGGCAGCCTCTAACCTGGTGCCCTTCAGATATCTTATAATACAAGTTCCATATTTCCTATCCAGAGGGCATTGAATTTGAGCCAGCTGGATAAGTTATTTATTTTATTATTCTGCAAATTATTCTGCCACGGACCTTTCCTAAACTCTCTAGTCTGTTAAAGTTATATAAGCTAGGTATCTTCATCCAATAGATTAGAAGAAAAGATTGTACAAGGGGAATTAAAAAGGGACTTATTGGCACACACACCCTTGCTGGGGCAGAATTGGCATAAATTGACATGAATTTCTATTATGATGTGCAGGTTCTTGAAGACTCACGAGCAGTACTTATAGCAGCAGATGTTTCACCAGATGGACCATTTTCTCATGATGAGAAGATAAAGGATGGTACAAACTTTTTGCTTTCTAATCACAGTTTCTTTGTCTGTCATCTTTTATCCATTAAATGTATAGCTTTGAGTTGTTAAGCAATAAAGTTCTGTCATATTGGCTATTCTTTCTTAGTCACTTCTGTTTTTGTACATTGTTATTTATAATAGTCATAAGATCATTATAAGTTGTGAATAGAGCCACATGCATGATGTATAAAACTTGAAACAGACCAGTCTTATTATTTTACTTTAGTTTGAAGGGAAAATAATATTTTAGGAGATGGCCAATAACAAGATGGATTTAATTTTGGATTTCCTCAATTAAATATCCATTTAATCCCAGATATAGATATAAATAAATAGGTATCTAGGTATTCATACATGTCGGTATTAAAGAAGTTATGTTCTAAGCCAGAGATCAGTGCTCTTTTTCTAAGCATTTAGGTAACATATTTGAATTTCCAAATGCTGCACTTCATTAGTCTGGATTAATGATAGGCCTTTATTTTTATGCTTAATCACTAATATAGATGAGAATCCTTACTCTTCTGTCTTTCCTTTCTTTCCCTTGATAAAGATTAGGAAAAAATGTTTTCTTTTAATTAATACTTAATCCAAAGCAATGGTTCAAGTGTGTTGAATAATTAGATTGTTCCCAAAAACATCAAATTGGTCTGAGTTTTTCATTGTAACTCTTTTTTCTTAGCCTATTCCCATGTGGTGGAGAATACTGCTTTTTTTGGGGATGTAGTCCTACGTTTTCCAAAAATAGTGCATCACTACTTTGATCGCAATTCCAATTGGAACAACCTTATTCGCTGGGGGATCAGCTTCTGCAACCAGACAGGCGTATTTGATCAAGGACCCCACTCACAAGTATTAGGATTGGTAAGGCAGCATGCCTGCTTGGCACCTCCTCTCAGTTTGTTTATCCTTTAGAATTTGGTAGTAATTCATTGAAATTGGGTTAAAGTTTGAGGAAAACAAATATTTGCTTGGAATGTTTCAGGATGTTTTTATAGCAAAAAATTGTGGAGAAACTGCACATAGTTAACTGCTCAGAGTTTCTTCTGATAGATGGGCAGTATATAAGTTTGTTTAATAATAAATAAGTGCTTATATATAGTTCCCCAATATTTCCGGTTTTGCAGATGGGGGGATGGGATGGTTGCACGAAAACAGCCAGCAAGCGCGCGCGCACACATACAGCTCCATTTGTGTGAGCAGCATTCATATATGCCTGCCGCTCACGCAAATGGAGCACGCTTGCATGCATTCACATGCTACTCACACAAGTCAGGATGTGCGTTCTTGCGTGTGCTTGGCAGCCATTTTGGTGGCTGGTTGCAATCCCCTCATAGCCCACAGGTTGGGGACCCATGACTTAGATGACTGGTTTATACAAAAGTTGCATACTTATTACAACAGATAATTTGCTTTTTTTAGTATATACATAGGCATATAGAAATATATTGATACCATCTTAATAGCATATCTGCATGGTCTAGCATCTATTATTTTGGTCTACTGATTTAGCACGTGTGTACTTTCTAAACTGGGAAGTTGAAAAAGCAGTCAGGACAAAGACAGCAATCAACAACTTTGGTATTGTTATGCAAAAAAATATCTTGGATATGTCCATAAAATCACCAGGAATTGAGCTTAGAAGATTGGTAGAAGGAGATTGGTTTTTCCTCTTCACATTGTAATACACGAAGTCTGTTTAAAATTTTTATAATTTGCATAGCTGGTAGCATAGATAGTTGTCAGATTAATAGGTCAACTCAGACGTTTCATGCAAAAGTTGGTATCATGCAGTATGCTTTATTTTGCTGCTTTGAGAGAATTTGCACTTAAAATACCAAATGAGAAAACTAAGAGATGTATTTTTATTTTATTAATTTATTTTATGAATTTGCCCATGGTGACCCTGGGGGATTAACATCACATAAAAACAATTGAAAAAACATTGATGAATTCTGAAGCAGATAATTCCTTAAGGGTGCTTGTAGCCAGGACTAACAGTTGGTGAGAAGGAGGCATAATAATATACTGTAGATGAGAATTATTTTAATATATTTTCTTCCACAGATGGCTCAAGAGCTAGGAATTAGTGAAAGATCTCCAGACTACCAGAATCCCTTTAAAGCAGACAATTCTGAAGTAAGAGTCCATCTTATCTATTATTCCTAACTTTTTTCTCTCTGGTTATTTACAACTTTCTTATGAAGGAAAGAAAAGGGTAGCACTTGCTTAATGGCAGTATTTTTTCTCGACAGCTTTAAATCAGAAATTTTCTCTGTAGTGATCCTATATAGCCAATCAAATGCATGTTTGCTTATATTACCTATAAGTAGCACAGATGATTACCCCCTACAGGTTCTGCTTCAGATATTAGTTTTTCTAAGAGGCAACTGGACTGTCTGATTTTTCTTTGAAGACGTTTCGCTTCTCATCCAAGAAGCTTCTTCAGCTCTGAAAGAAAAACCAGAAAAGAAAGAAAGAAAAAGAAAAGAAAAACCAGAAAGTCCAGTTGCCCCTTGAAAAAGCACCTTTGGGACAACCATGACCTAGACAACTGAGAATCAACATAGACATTTAGCGATACACTTTGGGATGAACACCCTTTGAATGGTGAGGGAATATGAACGGATTTCCAGGAAAATTGCAGACTGCAGGAACCATTTGCACTTCAGTTTGAGATGCAGACAGGACAGACTCATCCCCAACAACTTGCGCCTCTGAAGGGATACAGAGCAGAAAACATCCTGCAGAAAGCACAGCTCCAACTCCTCAAAAAATTAAGAGCTGAAGAAGCTTTTTGGATGAGAAGTGAAACATCTTCAAAGAAAAAACAGAAAATCCTGTTGCCTCTTCAAAAAGTACCTTTGGGACAACCATGGCCTGGATGACTGAGAATCTCCATAGACTTTTCCTTTCTTGTACCAATTCCAAATGTTTGGAGCAAAAGTACAGGGAACCTGGTGTTTTGCTTAGTAGCTAGATATTATCTCCTGAAGATCATTGAAATGTTAGAGAAAAAAACTGGTGCAGCTAAAAGGAAGAGAGTTAGCAACCAAAAAAGTGTTATCCATACTTTTGATGCCAGAATCCCTAAACTCATTGTGTTTACTTTTTAGTTTTTTCCTGGTGCTAACACATTCCAGAAGGCTCTTCGGGAGGAAGAGAAACGAAGAAAGAAAGAGGAGAAACGAAAGGAAATTCGTAAGGGGCCTCGCATCTCACGCTCACAGTCTGAGTTGTAATTCTAATGTCATTTGCCCTATCACTGAAACTTTGGGAGTTAAAACATCTGAAAAGCAATGCCCCTTTGTGACCTCAGGAAAATGACAAGCTGTTGAAAGGGCAGGGCTTGGAAGTGACATTCTTTCAACAAGACATTGGTACCTACTAAATACCTAGATAGAGTTTCAGTGCATATTTCCTTATGGGAAGAAAGACTTTTCCAAGTATCTGGAATGTATAGAGTATGTCAGGGACTGTTCTTCATGTGTATTTTTATCTCTCGTGGCTTTGCCAGTTTGTAATGCTAAGAGTTTTAGGAAAATGGGGTAAGAAGAGAGGAAATTAATTCTGTGGTATATGCCATGTCTGCCATTTATGACATGTAATACTATGTATCATTATGCAATCAAAAAAGTAATATATTATTGCTGCAACAGATTTTGTTCCTGGGCAGCAAACAATTTCTTTGAGAAACTTTTGAATTCTGTTAGAGATGCACAAACTTGGAAATATTAATTAGCGATAAAGTACTCTTTGAACACTTTTTCTTTAAATTTTATGAAATGTGACTGGGAGCTGGGATACATCAAAGATGTTGCTTAAAATGTCATCATCATTATAATAATTATAATTCAGAGCCCCTGTAGGTAATATCAAGTTTTATCTGGTTGTCAAGCTTCCTTCGTTTCATAAGGCTGTTAAAGTATTTTCTCCTAAAAGGGAAGAAAAGCTTTTGGTTGAGAAGAAAGTCAATAAGGCTGTGCTCCACCAAATAATAACTTTACTTGAACAAGAGAATAAAGTACCAAGATAAAGTGAATCTGTGTGATAATTTCATAATGCAGTATTACTATCACTACATAAATGAAAATTACTGAAAGGCTTACAAAATTCCAGTGTCAGTTTTTAGTTACTAGCTTTGCAAGACTACTTTTGAATTTCATTTGTAGTATTGTATATGTAGATCTAGTTGTAAACCATGTACATTTATCTTTATTGTCTGGTAATCAATTTTATTTTGATTATTATAAGATACCTATTTGGCCTTAGGTCTAACACTATAAAAAAGCAAAAGCTAACCATACGGCTTTTGTTCTTTTTTTGTTTGTTTTTACCATTATACCACAAAAAATGACCAGCAGTAAGTTTAACATATGGGTAGTGAAATTATGGAAGCATATTTTTGCTACTCCTACTGCCTGTCTGATTGTTTCATAGGAAGAAGTTGCCTTTTTTCTCAACATTTTCAAGCGTTCTATTGTAAACCACCCAGAGAGTGCTATAATACACTATGGGATTGTATATTAGTCTTAAGTGCTATTGCTATTGTTATTCTATGAAGGCTTACACTTGAAGCAGAGTTCAGATTTCACCTTAACTGTTAATTTTACACTAGAAATCAGCTGGTTTGGGGATCAAAATATGATTATTGTTCTTTTCCCAATCTGTAGTTCTTCACTGGTGAGTTAAATTATGGATTTGCACATATCCACACACAATCAAGCTATGTGCATTTGGCACAGAATCATTGCAGTGTTTGGCAGAATGGGTAGTTTTTGTTTAGGACTGAAGTTGAGTGGAAGTAGGAGACCTCTCTGTACATTAAAATAACTGGAATATTATACATCCCACATTTCTGGTGGCATTGCTCTTGGCAGGGGATTCTTTTGTGTAGAAGGAGGGTTTCAGGGGATACTGCATTTTGACAAGGCTGGAAATTTATTTTCTAAACAGAGAACCAGCTATGCTTGGTTTGGGGAAGGATATGTATTTAAATTGGAATTTGACTTTGCTTTTTTTGAATAAAACTAAAGTTTTTTTTAAAAAACCACTTTGACTTCTCATTCTTGTGAGCTATGTCAGTGTGTCACAGGAAGAGGAGAGAGGGATTTATCATTTTTAGGTTAGGTAGTTCTTATATTCAGAAAAGGCTGCTTTAATATTGTTAATTTAGCTGATGAGGTAACAATATTTTTAATCAATTACATCTAGTTTTATAAAAGTTTTTTCTAATTGGCTTTGCAGTTGAAAACTGTTGCCATCGGTAGCCTTGCTAATCATTTTTAATTTAAAAGCCTAAGAGTATAATTCATTCACTGAACTATTAAGTTCGCAAATTGTGGTTGAATCTAAGGCATTGGCAAACTAATATTGAGAGGGCCGTGTCTTCAGATAGTTAGGTACCAAGTCATGTAGGTCTTTAGAAGTACGGATATGTGTCTTGAATCAAATTTAGAATAGCAAGTGCAGCTCCTTCAGAATGAGCATAATGTGATTCCACATGGCTATATCAGTTAAAGTCCATGTAGATACACAACGCTAGATGGAGCTTGTGGACCACTTTCAACATATATCACATCATAGTAGTCCAAGCAGGTTTTTTTTTTTTAGCCAGACAATCCCTCAAGTAATAATAAATCTAGTACTAGAAGCTGATGCCCAGAGTTACTCACTATTGTTCTATAATACAAGAGGCACTTGTGCTGCATGGACCAAGATTTTGGAATTTTACTGTTCAGGGATATAGACATCCTTTGCAATCTCAATGGTCACAGCTATGAATGTTTTTATTTTTTAAAAAAATGATCTTAAATTGAGATTTGAATTAACATAATTACTTTTGATAGTTTTTCTTTACAGTTCAACAATACATGGACATGATTCAACAATATGAATTACCTGATTATTTTGAGCTGCTCTTTGTTGCCTGTATATAACATATGAAAGTATACTTTTTCAGTTTTTCCCTTCCCCTAAATAATAGAATTATGAGGAATTTCAGCCCAATTTCTGGAAGAGCAAAATCTTTTAATTAATTTTTGTGTTATCTTTTGGTATTTCACAAAAATGTAAAATTGGATCCAATTATTTAGGCTGTGTAGTCCAATCCTATGTTCAGTGCAGGGATCGAAATTAAAGCACCCTCAACAAATGGCTGTGATTAAATACATCCAGTGAAAAGCCAATGGTCAGTGGATGGTTAGTATCAGACCAGGACCAGGAATACCCAGGTTAAAGTTCATCTTAATTCATGATACATTTTTCCTCCATAGATTTATCCAAACCATTTTTAAAACCATCACCACATCCCATGGAAATGGCTTCCACAGATTAATAATGTGCTATATTCATGATTTCCAAACTAATTAATCACAGAATATTCAAAACATTTTAGAATTTTCTCATAGGAACTTGTTCAAGGCCCTGAATTATATTGGTTTCCCTGTACTGTCTTTTTCTAGCTCTGTTATATTCTTTTTCAAGTGTGATGGCCAAAACTATATGTAAGATGGTATTCCGCATGCAGATATATTATAGTTTTGTATAATAAAATTATAATTTAGACAATTTTGTTTTCAATTCTTTTCCAAATGGTTCCTAGCATGAAATATACCATTTCCATGACTTAGTTGACTGAATCAACATTTTCATTTTGCTACCTGTAATGATCCCAACATATATTTTCTTCATTAGATAAAGAGAGTAGATTAGATATGTGAGGTTATATAAAATTTGCAAACTTGGCCACATCACTAACTAACCAACCTGTAATTCAAGAACATGTTTGAAAAACTTTAACACTCGTCCCAATACAAAACCTTGAGAATCTCTATTAATGACTTTTGGTGAGGATTAATTGCAATTTCGTTTGTATTTTGGGGAAATCGCACCACAGTTGAGATTAGCATCAAGAAGCTATTAGCACCAGACAGCTTTTCCCCATGGCTTAACTGCAAAGATGGATGTTTTTGTAATTTGATCACAAGTTGAGCAACCGGGACATGCAGGATTTCTATCTTTGTTTGCAACTGTGATGCAGCCATTATTGGTACTAGAACCCATCAATCCTCATTTCTTCATGATATTTGGATATAATCCTGCCTGAGAGAAGTTTCCTTTTACAACAGTACAGGTAGTCCTTGACTTACAACAGTTCAGTTAGTGACTGTTCAAAGTTACAATGGCACTGAAACAAATGATCTATGAACATTTTTCACACTTTTGAGCGTTGCAGCATCCCCATGGTCACGTGATGAAATTTCAAATTTGGCAACTGACTCATATTTATGATGGTTGCAGTGCCTTGGGGTCATGTGATCAGCTTCTATGACCTGACTAGCAAAATCAGTGGGGAAGACAAATTCACTTAACCATGTTATTAACTTAACAACTGCAGAGATTCACTTAACAGCTGTGGCAATAAAGGTCGTAAAATGGAACAAAATTCACTTAACAAATGTTTCACTTAGCAACAGAAATTTTGTGCTCAGTTATGGTTATAGGTAGAGGACTACCTGTACTTCTTGGTTGTTTTCATGTGAGATGATTATAAATTTAAAAGAAGTATGTTGTGTATACTTAGCAAAAAGCTTAATAAGGAATGATATAAAAATTAAAAACAGTTGAGGAAGATTACTTTAAAAAAAGAATACAAACTGCATTTTAAATATGCTAACTGAATCTCTAATTGACAAACCTGCCATGGGAATGCTATTTCTTTTGTACTAAACATTGTATATAATTGGCGGGATTTAAAATACAAAAGTTTAAAATAATTTGAAAAGACTGAGTATTAGGCTGTAACTATGGAAACACTGATGTGACATGCGCCTGCAATTACAACTCCCTTCTTCACTAGGAGTGAAGTTTGTGCTTATCATGTGTTTAACATACATTTTCAAATAATGACAACACAAAAAAATAGCAAGAATGGAGGCTAGAAAGGTTTCTCAGAACAACCATTAGAGAAGGATGATAAAGAAGATAAAGTGATTCCTTTAAGATTACTTCAGTTAAAATTTGATGAATTGAGATCCGTCACTTGAAGCCAAATTCGCAATCCTTGAAAAAAAGATAAAGGAAAGGCTTAATAAAATGGAAAATTCTTTAAAACAAATGTCTGGAGATATAAAACAAGTTATTGATAGGATGGAAATTTTGGAGAGTAAATCAAAAGTTAGGGATAAGAAATTTTGGAGAGAGATGAATAATCTGTCTGCTGGAACTTGAAAAGAATTCTCTGTGATTTAGCATTATTTCAGAGAGTTCTGATGAAGCATTGGCATATTTCTTGGACTGGGAAGAGGAGACTACCAAGGCAAAGATTGACAACGTTATTGAATAAATTCGTGTTTTGCAAGAAAGAGAATCGTTCTAGGGGTTGTTTTAGTGCACTTTGAGAGGAAAAAAAGGGATCAAGGTTTGCATCACCATTCCAATAGAAAATTGAAGATTGATAATGCAGATATAATTATCTTAAAAGAAACTGCTTTTAGAAGTTTATGTAAGAGAAAGTCATTCTTTTTATAGTTGATAGATATGAGTTGGAACTCAAACTCCTGGCTATTAAGATTTCTAAACTTGAGATTATACATATTTTCTGACCAAAATTCTGTGAGTTTGATTTTTAAAAAAGTAATTCTACCTCTTTCATATGGCAATTAAATGAAATGATATTTCAAAAAAAAATGTTAATTGTGGAAAATTTATAAATTTTATAGAATTTATAATTTATAGAATATTTTGAAAACCACTTAAATAAAGGTACTGATTTAAGAATGGTTTGGGAAACAGCTTTTATTAGAGGTTATTTCATGCAACATAATATTGAATGTAAAAAGAAGATTCAAGGTCTTCTGGCTATTTTGGATGAGTGAAAAAGAAAAGAGGAAGAATGAAAGAACTTGCCAGAAAAGATCAGCATTTCACATCAAATTAAACTTTTACAGCAACAATTATTTATATTAACAGTAAGAGAAATGGAAATAGATGTGAAATATGCTAAGCAAATGATTTTTGAATTTGTGAAGAAACCAGGAAAAGGTTAGCAGACATTAAGAAAAAAGAAAATGATTTTGAAACTTCAAGACAGAGCTACTGTATCAACAGACTATATGGCAATTCAAAAACTTTTTATCAGTATTCTAACTTGTATGAAGGACATAATATTCCCTTGGAAAAAATAGATGATTACTTAAAAAAAAAACTTAACAACACTTACAAAGAACCAAAGACAGATACAAAGGGACCTAGAGTAGTACCCCAGTACCCATTGTTAATTTGTTCTGGGAGGGGCGATGAGTCAATGATAATTACCAAACAAATTTTTCCCATAAAGAATAATGTAAGACATAAGGCAGTGACACCGACAAGTTCTTGCTTGTGTGTCAAGATAACATTTTTGGTCAAAATGCATTGAGTACCAGATTTGATGAGTTTTGAAGCAGTTGAGTACCAGGTACCACTATATAACAATAAGGGAGGTTTCTAAAGCTATAAAAAATAGTAAACCAGGAAAACAGACCAAATGGCTTACCAGGTTCTTATCACAAATGCTTTGATAATGAACTTTTACCACCCCTCCAAAATATAATGAATTTTATACTACAGAGAGGAAAGAGGCTAGAAACCTGGAAACAGGCTAATATAGCATTAATACATAAAGTGGGGCAATATTTAACATGAAATTATAGGCAAATATTATTGAATCATCTATAAATTGCTTACAACAATTTTAGCAGAGATTGAAAATAATTTTGCAAGAATTTATTCATAAATATCAATGTTGATTTTTACCAAAAAGGCCGTGAAAAGATGATGTTAGAATGGAATTGGATAATATATAATACTTGGAACTGCATAATGAAAAACAAGGTTCACTAGTTTGTATAGACGCAGAGGCAATCTTTTGACAATTTATTTTATTTATTTATTAATCGAATTTGTATAGCTGCCCATTTTACCAAAAGAAGTTCTAGGCAATGCACAACAATCATTTTCGCCTTTTTTATTTAAAGCTTTCGAAGATTTGAACTTTGGAGATAATTTTATGAAATGGGTAAAAAATAATGGAGATTTAACAAAAATTTTTATATATAAAAAAGAACAAGATTGCCTATTACTGCACACTGGGATGTAAAAATTTAAAAAGGGACAAGTTGAGAAGTTTTGTAGACAATTGAGTGCTGGTTTTGGAAGATCCTTTAAAGGGAATTGAATTATTAATAAGAAAAATTAAAAGAATTTGATGTTTTAGTTTGTCTAATATTAATAAAGACAAAAATGTTAAAAATATGAAGATATAAAATCAAACTGAATTGATGAATAAAATGAGAAAAAAGTAAAATATTTGGGTGGTAATTTGACAAATACATATTGTATGTTTCAAAACAATTATATTAAGACATGAAATGCAGTTAAAAAAGATATGCTAAGATGGGGAAACATTACAGTTTTTGTTGGGGAGAAGCTCTATGATTAAGATGAATGTTTTACCTAGAATGTTATTTTTTGTTTCAAACATTGCCTATGTGTGACAATTGATGTACCGTTTTTAAAAATGGCAGAAAGATATATCTAGGTTTGTGTGGGAGAATAATAAAAACATGAGTTACGTACAAAGTACCATTTCCCCCCAAAACTAAGTTCTTTCCGGATAATAAACCCAATCGGGCTTTTCAGCACATGCGTTAAAATAAGCCCCTCCCCCCAAATAAGCCCCCGACCAACTACTACGCATGCACAGTTGGTCCCGCCATTTCCTCTGATAGTTTGCCGCGCAAACAACATGAGGTGAGGAGGTGAAGCCAGAGGGGGAGGAAAAGGGGGGAAACATGCCCTCCTCTCCCTGTTCTTCGCACCGCCCAAGCCACTGGCTGCCACTGCCTTGACGTGTCCCGTCGCCTCCGCCTCGTGGAGCAGGACTCTGGCAAGGCTTGTTGTGCTATTGCATGCACAAACTACAGCACCGCCACGAGCTTCATACCGGCACAGCTGGCGTCCTGCCACTCGTGGCTGCGCCTGTATGTTGAACCTCACAGCAGTGCTGCCATTCGTGTGTGCAATGGCACAAGCCTTGCAGAGTCCTGCTCCATGAGGCGGCAGCACGATGAGTTTCACAAAGACTCATTTCTGGCAGGTGGGATGGGGGAGAAGCGAGATGAGAGGAGCGAGACGTGGGTCCCCCTCTTCTTCCCCCCCTCGCCAGGTATGGCAGGGCTCCTGCCCCTTACTTAGCCACCCCCCCCCTTAGGGATGCAATTTGGGGGTGGAAGGTGGGGCAGGTGAGAAACGGGATGCACATCTTACTTTTCAAACTCCGTCGCGTTCCTCGCCGTTGTGTCTAGGGAAACACGTAAAAAAGAACTATTGAACTCGTGAGTTTTCTTTTACAACGGCGAGGAACATCACAAAGCTGGAAAGATAAGACGCGTGTCTCACGGCTCAACACATCCCACCCCAACCCAATGGCAACAGCAGCCTGGCTGCTTCCCTTCCCTGCCGTCTCTTTATCAAGAGGGGTGGCAGGTGGGGCAGGGGAGAAGTGAGACGCGTGGAGCGAGACGTGGCTCCCCTTGCCATCTCTTCTCCCCCCCCCTTCCCGGGCATGGCAGGGCTCCTGCCCCTTGCTTAGCCACCAACCCCCTTTAGGGATGCAATTTGGTGGTGGCAAGTGGGGCGGGCGAGAAGCAGCCCGCCCCACTTACCTTTCAAGCTCCGTCACATTCCTTGCGGTTGTGTCCAGGGAAACACGTTGTAAAAAAAAACTTTATTGAACTCGCGAGGTTTTTTTTTTATAACGTGTTTCCTTGGACAAAACAGCGAGGAATGCGATGGCAAGGTTCAACATACCGGTGCAGCCATGAGTGGCAGGATGCCAGCTGTGCCGGTATGATGAAGCTTGCTGCAGTGCTGCAGTTCGTGCGTGCAATGGCACAACAAGCCTTGCAGAGTCCTGCTCCATGAGGCAGCGGCAGTGGCGGGACACGTCAGGGCAGTGGTGGCCAGCGCTGCCTGTTCCACAAGGCAGCGGCAGTGGCAGGACATGTCAGGGCAGCGGCGGGAAGAACAGGGAGGGGAGGCGGCGACGACGGGACATCCAGTCCCACGCTCGCCGCCTCCATCCCCCAAATACCCCCCCCCCGATAATAAGGCCAAGCTCTTATTTTGGGGTTCAAAAGAAAATAAGGCCCTGTCTTATTTTCGGGAAAACATGGTATTACAAGATGCTAAAAGAAAGAGGACATTTGAAATTATATTTTGCAGCTTGTTTATAGTGTGGATGAAAGATTAGTTGATGCTGACAAATAGAAGGTTATTGGAGTTAGAAAGACATAATTTGAGGTTTGGGTGGCATGATGATTTATAGTATGATAATTAAAGTTAATGTCAATTTTAAAAGTCATTTTATTAGACATGCCATATTAAGAGTTGCATCATCATGTTCTGCCCCAGCTACAGATCCCAAAGAACACAGCACACACAAAGTTTGTACAAAACTTAAATTTACTAAAATAATTCAGTCTTTTCCAAACAAAGGCTGTTAATAAACTTCCTTAACAGCCTACAAGAAAACAAAGATAAAGTAATCACAATCTTACTAAGGTTGGCAGAAAGCCCAGAAACAATTTGCAGAGAATCCAGACGCGAAGGAGAATGAACTAAAGTTGTTCCCTACAAATTGCTTCAGTCGGCGTTCCTCCTTAAATAGGCTAAGAGAGTGGCCAATTAGCCCCAAGCCTTACTCTCGAGGAGACCTCCTCCTGAGGAGCCACTCCTGCCTTTTGGCATCTCTGCACGCCCGTGCATTGAGAAGAGGCTCCTCCTCTTCGTCCTCTTCACTTAAAGGAGCTTCTGGAGGTTCTCAAGGCTCTGGCTGAATCCCTGCTTCTGGCACCACATCTTCTCCAGCCTCCTCATTGTCTGACTCGGGTGCCAGCTGCACAGGCTGCTGGCACAGCACCACACCAGCCTCCTTGCTGTCAGAATCAGCTACAATCTGCACAGGCTGCTGAAGGGCCACAACACAACATCACTGAAAATATGGAATAGCTATAAATCCAGGTTGTCTCTGAAAATACTTCGATGGCTCTCACCATAAAGATATTGTATAAGAAATGAAAAATAAATATAAATGGTTAACCTATGGTGACATATTAGAATTTTCTCAGGGAGATTTAAAAATAATATCAATACCAGATTTTACATCAGAAGAATATACATGTTACTGGCTTTGTTATCTACAATTATTGGAAAGATTTAGATAAAAGGATTTTTGTGTTTTGATCGTTGTAAGGCTGAATTTGAAACATAATGATGTATAAATAACTAACATGTTTTTGTTAATATATATATAAAATTTTATTAAAATTTGAAACAGAAGAAGAAAGAATGTATAATAAAGTGGTGTAAAAACTTTGGCTATAACATAAAAATTGAACAGTGGGAGAATATATGGTATGTTCTTGAAATTCACATAGAATTAAATTGAAATTCACATAGTTATAATTTTAAAGATAACTTTTATAAAAGGATATATTGTTGGCATTTGTCACTTACAAAATTGTCTCAGATGTATAAAGAAGCTTCAAATTTATACTGGAAGTATAACAAGAAGAGATTTTTTTTATCACGCTTGGTGGACATGTAAAAAAGCTGAAAAAACGATTCAAATGCATAATTAATTCAGAAGATTTTAAAGATTAATATAAAGCTGAAGCTAAAGATGTTTCTTTTGGGATTAATTGACTAAAAGTTAAAAAAATCCCATGGAATTTTGTTTTTATATATGGTAACAGCAGCAAGACATTTATATATATAATGGCAGAAAGATCTAATATTACTCACAATGGAACAGTGGATGGTAAAGATGATTGATTGCTGAAATGTCAAAACTGACAGATTTAATTGGAGAAGATACTGATTAATTTTAATGCTGTTTGGAAATCTCTCTTGCACTTTTTGTGTGAAACAAAAAAAATGAAATTATGATAGATTTTATGATTAGAAAAAATAGTAGATGATAGAAAAATTAAAGCTATGTTGCAATCTTAGAATAAATGGTCAATTTAAATGAATACATGTAACTATTGTAAAATAAAATCAAGTCATTTCTTCTCTCTTTGTTTTATATCTGCACTTTGGGTTTTATTTTCTCTTTATTTTTTCTGTTTTTGTCTAATTATGAGCTCCTTTTAGTTTTTTTGCTTAAAAAATTTATAAAATTATCATTAAAAATATTCATTTTTTGCTTCTCTCCACTAAGAAAACTGCCCATTTACTCTTATTATTCTGTTTTTCATTTGTTTTTTCGTAGCAATTCATAAAAAGACAGGTTGTCTTAACTCATGGTATGAGCCTTTGAAAAGATACCTCAAGAAATGCTATTATATCCCTTTTTAATCTTTATTTATTTTCAGAGCTAAATATGCCCAGCTCATTGAATTTCCCTTTATAGGACTTAATTTTTAGTTCCCTAGTCATTTTCATCAATCTCTTCTACACCTGTTCTAGTTTCTCGTAATCTTTCCACTGGAGTACTGAAAGATGGGTTTTGAACAAAAATAAATAAATTGAATGATTTATCTTTTTTATTCAACTTTTTTTTATAAACAACATAACAGTGGCAAACATATCCAACACACTGCTGTCCATTTAGAAGATCCATCCTGATGGGACACAGTTTCAGGCAATAAAACTCATAAAGCAATCCCCAGATTGTTGGGGGCAATATGCTGACTCTGTAAACCGCTTAGAGACGGCTGTAAAAGCACTGTGAAGCAATATATGTCTAACTGCTATTGTTATTGCTATATGGAACTTTCCGTTAATGAAAAGATTTATTTCCTTAATCTATGATAATTGCTTTAGTTACTCATATACATTGTGGCTCAATAGCATAAAGTCCTGGAATCAAGCGGAGCACCAAGTGGAGCAAATGTTTAACTGTAAAGTTATGTCCACATCAGAAATGCCCAATGGTATTTTTAATGGGAGAAGTTGGAGCATTAACTCATTTTTGTCCTATGATTTTTATTTTTATATTAGAGAACATAGTTTAATGACTAGCAGATTTTATTATGGCAAAGGTTCTCTTGGTTCCATGATCCGGTATTCGAAGATGGAAGGTGCATTACCTGGATAGAAGTAAAATCTTCATAGTTCAATTCCTTTTTGAAGAATACACACCCATAACCACTTCCCAGTTTTACCTTTTGCCCTGGTATTACTAAATCCCATTCTTAGTTTCCAAGCCCAGACAGGTTTGACCAGATTTAACATATGCCTACTGAGACAAAATGTGTAGCAAAAATGTAAAGCCAAATAGAGATTGTTTATACAATTTTGAAAAAAAATTCCCTAAACGAATAAGAAAATCCCAGACACTATGGAGGTTTCTAGGGAAGTGACTATATCTGTCTTTTGCAAAAGCAGTCTTAGGATCACCAGAGATCAACACACTTTCTATTGCATAACCTTTGGTGGCTAAGATGGGCTGTGATCCAACAAAGCGTTCCAATAATTTGATTTTAAAGATAATCTAGGTGCCACAGGGTTGTATGTCATTTGCGAAACAGATACGTAGATTTCACTGTTAAATGGACAAAACTCTCTCTTCCTATAAAGAGCTCCCATCTTTCTTAACATCAAACTTCATGGCAGTTTTAACAAAGTTTGGATTGTCCAAAGAAAGGTACTTTCCAGTTTTTCAATTTTTCCTCTAAGAGAGTCCACAATGTTCTCTTTTTATTGCGTTCGTTTCTACGGTACCCAAAACAAGCCGTAGCTGTGTAAGTGAAATCAATAGCGCCCTCCCGTTTTCAATTTCAGGCGTAATATTTCATAAACTTCCCGCCTTCTCATACATATTTAAAGCGGGAGGGCGGTCCAGGCAAGAGAAAGATGCCTCGCATCCAAATGAAAGCTGCTGATCGCTGACGCGCCATCACACCACGAACCGCTCTGTCCGCTGATTGGACGGGGGAGACCTGGTCTCATGGACAACCAGCCGCGCGCGGCGGTGGCTCCTCGCAGGTGGATGGGTGGAGTTCACAGAAGTTAGAGTAAGATGGCGCCGGTTGGGGCTCTAAGCCCGGAGAACCCGAGTTGAAGCAGCAATCCCCGCCTGAGAAAGGGTTAATGCGGGGGGGGTGTCGCCGCTCCCTCTGACGAGGTGACTCGCCCTCTTACGAGGTGACTCGCTGTAGCCGAGTCGGACGCGCCTCGCCGGCAATGGAAAACGGCGAGCTGAGCGGCATGGAGAGTATGGAGACCCTGACGGAGCTCGGCGACGAGCTCACACTGGGCGATATCGATGGTGAGTGCGCACGAGGCGGCCGCTCGGCTGTGCCCACTATCGCCCCCCTCAGATACAGCAACCGCGGAGGAAAGGGAAGGCGCTGCTCGGGGCGGACCCGGCCCAGAGAGGCGAAGTGCCGCTAAGTGTATTTGCCTGTTGGCCACAGATACACTACTATATCCCTGTTTAAATGGCTGGGGATTCCCACAGCAACCTCACACGTGAATTGGCAGGTGTCGCCCAGTGCGTTTAGCATGCAACGCTGTAGTTAGCTTTCTGTGTCCCCTTCAACTCATCCAAATTCAGATGCCTATCATTTAGGATAGGAAATTTGAGAGTTATTGTTTACATTAAATTTCAGGTATGCTTGTGATGCCTCCTTGCTTCAGAATAAATACACTGTTTGAACATTGGTGTGTATTTGTATATATAGTGCAACACTGTGTATCCTTATTTGGAAGTAAGCTCCCTCAAATTTAGTTGCCTTTATTATTTAACATTCACGCCTAGGACTCTCTTAGATCTATGCCAGCTCTAAGCCCATCAAAATGGCCTTAGAAGACAAAAATAATATCTAGAATTGTGGGTGTTATCAGAAGCCCTTGGGCATTTCCTTGTGTATTAGTGAAATAGTTTGTTTCAGTTGTATTTCTTGACATGTGTTATTGACACTTATAAAATATTGAGTGCATTCATCCACAAAGAACAGGTTTATATGTGAACGTGTATGATTTGTGGGTGCTTGGGACTGGAGGGTTTTATGAAAATTTATTTTATTTAAGAACATCTATATGGCCGCCCAACACACACACACTCATTGACTCCTGGCAGCTTACAAAGATTAAAAACCCAATATAAAAACAATAAAAAAGTAATAACCCCCCATCCCGGTAGTGACAACCATCAATCAATCAAATAAGCCACTTGGTCTATCTACATCAAAATGGTACAATTGGGGGTGGGGGGAGAAAGTTTGTCATTTTGGCAGTCAAAATTAAGAAGTGTACAAGATATTTTTTAACATGACTGAATAGAATTGATATTTTAATCTGTCAGATGCATACTAGATTTTTGTCTCTTAACATTGCTTCTATTTTTGTACTTATTGATAAATTTGGGGTTCTTTGGGCATGACCTGAATGAACAATTATTTTAATCTGATATCTAATTTAAATGTAATATAATAATTGCAGTTAATGTATGTTCAGTGAAACCATAGTTTAGCAGACCTAGACCACATGCAATGAGTCAAATCTGCCGATTTGCATTATGACATCATACAAATGATGTATGGAGTCCTTGGTGCTCTCTGAGCTTGATTGTTTTCATTACCTAACTAGGTAACATTTTCAGCCCTAGAAGGGAATTGGGTTTGCTCTCTGTTATATTGTAGGAGTGGGTAATAAAATGTCTGCAAGAAAACAACCAAGCTCAGACAGCACGAAGGACTCCACAGTTCAACACTGAGTTACAAATATTATTTTCTGTTGGTAACAAATGACATATTTTGTGCAATTGGAATGATGATACCATACATAAATGATGCATTATGCAAATTACTCATGATGGTCTATTTTATGTTTAATAGATATTGGTGAACAGTGACATCCTCTCACCTAATTACTGTTAAAAATAGCTATTTGTTATATTAAATATAATAATTTGATGGCAACATTTAGACACACAGAAAGATAGACCAAAGCTTTTAGAGCAGTGATGGCTAACTTTTTCTGGGCCAAGTGTCCAAAGCGTCCGAACCCCCCAAATGCAATGTGTGTGCAGCCCCCGCACATGCGCCCCACACACGTGCCCAACCACATGACCTCCCCCATGTGTGTGCACCCCCCCATACATGCACAGCAGAGACCCGAAGACCGGCTGGCTGGTGGGAGGCGCACGCACATGCGTAGCAGAGCTGAACTGGGGTGAAGGCTCGCGTGCCCACAGAGAGGGCGCTGCATGCCACCTGTGGCACATGTGCCATAGGTTCACCATCATAGTTTTAGAGGCTGCATATAATCATGAGGTCTCAGGTTTAAACAGGAAAAAATGCCGTATGTACCAAAATTGCCTGAATATAAGAAACATATAAAAACTAATACTTCAGGCAGGCAAAGAAACCCCTGATTAAGATGACTAATATTAACATTAATATAGTTATTCTCTCTTGGATTCATATGTTGCTTCTGTGTTCCTAATTTTTATAGCTTATTTTTTCCAGTGACATTTCAATTAATCTAAATTTAAAATCCTAAAGTACAATTTGGGCAATTAATGCCATGTCTTTTTTGCCCAACTTTAAAAAGGTGGTACAATTTGTTTTCTCTGCCCAGTTTTAGCATGAATCAAAATATTATTTCTTAACATTAACATTTGAATTTTCTTTTGCTAAAAAACAGATTTCTGCTTGTAGTGATTTGACTCACCTTTACACATTTTTGATTCCCCTTATGTTTATTCACATATTTTCATGTATTTATGTGAATGGAGAATATATTTTGTTTGCTAAAGAAAAATAAGTTTGTACTTAAAATGTAGCTTTCAAAGTTAAAGCACTTAATCAAATAACTGAAAAGGAGTAGAAAATAGAAATAAGTGTTAAAAACAAGTATTATGTTAGATGTGTTTGTTTTATAAATTGCTGAGTTTGGGAAAATTTTTACTTGGTGCCAACAAGTCTATACATGAGGTCCTTGAGTTATGTCCACTTGTTCAGCAAGTGTTCAGAGTTACAGTGATGGAGTACAAACTTAAAGTTGCAGTTGGCCCCAGAAGTCATGTGATTGTGTTTCAGGCTCTTGGCAACAGGCTCTTGGCAACTGGCTTGCAGTTTTGATGGTTGCAGCATTCCATGATCATGTACTTATCATTTGTGACCTTCCTTGATGGCTTCCCACAAGCAAAGTCAATGGGAAGGCAGCAGGAGGTTACAAGTCACTCTTGCTCCCACAACTTTTTCTCCCAGAAGCCCCCAGGCAGCATGGGAATCTCATGCTTTGCAGCACCTGCCCATGGATCTGCCATCCCGCTGCACTCTAGCACCCACCCACATCATTTGCCAGCACTTTCTAGGAGAGTATTCAATGTTTCTTGCCTTTGCTCAGGTTTCTGTTAAAGTGCTCTGCCCTTGACATAGACAATATGATTGGTGTGGATAGTCTATAGCAATGTTTTTCAAATTCGGCAAATTGCGGGTGTGTGGACTTCAGCTCCTAGAATTCCCCAACATGCTGGCTGGGGAATTTTGCTAGGGAATTCTGGAATGACTGGAGAATTGTCAGAGTTGAAAAGTCCACACATCTTAAAGTTGGCAAGTTTGAAACACACTGCTCTAAAGTATAGTGCTTTCTGAGTAATCCTGTTTCAGCATTACTTATGAATGTAATGATTCAGTAAGCGTTTTGGTGATGGGCTCTTATCATTTGGAGACCAGCAGAACTTGTACTCTGTATGTTCAGTTTTGGGGAGAGCTCAACTAGCTTCAACTCTCATTGTTTAGATGATTAATTAGGATTTGTTATCTGAGTGTTACTTTGCTCCATAACATACATCTTCACAAGAAATGGGGAGTCTTAAGGGAGAAAGTACAAAAGCAATGGGTTTATGGGAAATAGGTCTCTGCTATTACTGTTCAGGAGAGACATGGATCAAATGCTTAACGCATTGTAAGCCGCCCTGAGTCTCCGGAGAAAGGCAGCATATAAATCAAATTAAAAAAAAAAAAAGAAGTCTTAGATCAAAAAGACATGACAATGTCCGGTCTGGAAAAATATTTCAAATTCCTAGAATGTGCCACATTTTAAGAAGTTCTCTCCCGATTTTGTATGAAAAAATATTTATTCCTAGGTTTTGTTTTTCTGAAGAACACCTTTTCCTATTTATTACTATTTTTTCTATTAAGCAGCATATTCAGAGGTGAAAAGCTACTTAGAACAAATATTTTTAGCATAAATACAGAATAGATTCCTACCCTTTTTTTAGAACAGAAGTGAGCTTGTTTAAATAAGAAGCATACTTATTTAAATATGTAATTATTGTTTTGTTTACATTTTTAAAATCACGAGAAGCTGTTTTTGCATGCCAAATTAAAATGTTTATATATCTTTTAAAACAATATAATTAGGTTGACAATTAGATTGTCAAACCTGGATTGCAAAAATTCTGATGACTGCCAAATATCAGCAAGAAAATCAACTCTTTCCTGCTGTCTAATTTTAGGTTTTTGCAGCCCAGATCTGATAGCCATAAAATGAACATAACTTTCTTTTTAGCAATCAAATCATGTTGATTTCAGGTGATAAATTGGCAATGAGTTTTTATTTTAACAGTAACAGTAATAATTGTTGGATGTTTCTGAAGTAAATTGATAAGTTTCCAAACTCTGCAGCCTATATTTCCATTACCGGTACTTAGATAAAGGAATCTCTTTAATGGGAAACTATTAACTTTGAAATCTTAAAAGTCTTTAAAAGCTTAACCCAGTCAAATGTGGAACAAATCCTTGGGTCCTAAGGATTAGAAGAATGTTTCTCAGCCTCAGCAATTTTAAGATATATGGACTTCCAACACCCAGAATTCCCTAGCCAGCCATGCTGAAATAGTCTATTATCCAGAATTTTCCTCTTTGGCTTTCATAGTTATGGTATTTTAAAAAATGGAGAGTGATGATGCTTTTATGGAATTAGATATGTCTTCTAAGTTGAGCTCTGTCAAGTGAGTAGAATTTTTGTTTTCATTTGGTCCATTTTTTTTGCTTAGTAAGTTTCTGCTATATATTATATATCATTTAATTGAATCTAATCTTCAATCCTTTTTCCTGGAAATAGCTCATATTGATTTAAATTGATGGAGACAGTAGAATAACAAATGAGGCAGAAAAAATGCACATTGTCGAGTATTTGTGCCCTAAACATTTCCTTGATACTATTACAGAATTTTAAGTTTTATTACTTAATGATTCTTCAGTTACAGGATTTATTTTCTAAGCTTATTGCATAGAAAATTAGTAACTTTTTAGTGTTTGTGATTAGTAGAAATTAGCGATTTGGGATCAGTGGTGGGTTGCTACGAGTTCAGTCCGGATCTTGCAAGCCAGTAGTAACGGCGGTGGGAGGCTCTGCCCAGACATCATCACGGACGCTCTGCACATGCACAGAAGCTTCTGCGCATGTGCAGAAGAAGCGAGCACGCGCACGCTCCCATTGCGAACTGGTAGCAAAGGTACTTATATACTCAAGTATAAGCTGACCCGAATATAAGCCGAGGCACCTAATTTTACCACAAAAAACTGGGAAAACTTATTGACTCAAGTATAAGCCTAGGGTGGAAAATGCAGCAGCTACTGGTAAATTTCAAAATAAAAATAGATACCAATAAAATTACATTAATTGAGGCATCAGTAGGTTAAATGTTTTTGAATATTTATTTCAAAGAAAAACAGTAAACTAGCTCTGTAAGGGCATAGTGTAAACTACATTATAACTAAATTACACAAGGGAATGTAGTATATACCGGTATACAAAAAATAATTTAATAACAATTTAATCTGATACATTGGGTTAAGTGATGTAGGGCTTGATCTAATTTCAGGCAAGTTCAAGCCTCTGTTAAGAGATACCTGCATTCTCTCTCTCTCTCCCTTCCTTTTTCTTTTTCTTTTTTTCTCTTTCTTTCTTTGTCTCTTTCTTTCTTCTCTCTCTCTCTTTCTTTCTCCCTCCCTTTCTCCTTTCTCCCTTTCTGTGAAGAATCCCAGAAGGTCTTTGGTAGGAGGAAGAAAAGCCAGACATTTTGAAACATTTTGTAGCTTACCCTGAGCAAGGATAGCTTTCTCCTTCTCATCTGGCATTCTTAGAGCTCCACTATTGATTAGCTTAGCCTGAGCAAGCAGCCAGTGCATGTGGGGGATCTCCCTAAACAGTGAGGATTTCTTTGTTTCTTTCTCCCTTGAAGCCCCCCCCTGCCCGTTTTTGCTTCCAGGGGGCTGCAGGGAGTCTTGCTAGACACCCCCCACGCCTCATTTTGACCTTAGTAAGCCTCCCTGCAGCCCCTGGAAGCCAAAATGGGTTGCAGGAAAAAAGGCATTTTTTCCTCACTTGAGTATAAGCCGTGGGGGGCTTTTTTCAGCATAAAAAATGTGCTGAAAAACTCGGCTTATACTCGAGTATATATAGTAAGTGGAATCCCAGTTTGGGATCCCTTATTTATTTATTTAGAGCAATTAAATGGCTGCTGAACTTGAACAATGCAACTCTGGCAGCATACAATAAACAAAAATAAAATAAAAATAAAATAAACAATACCAACTAAAAACAAGGAACAACCATTAATTGATAATTAGGGACTCAAATTTAATATTTATCTCTGGATGGGAATTCCAAACATTCAGGTTTAAATATCTAAGGAAAGGCCCATATTTTCAATTTTTTTCTAATAGGCTACTACTGGAGAAGTATAGCTGCTGAACTGAAATTGGTAACGTTTTTACATCTGGTTAATAATAAGGCATCATATTTTAAATCATTTCAATTTTCCAGAAAGGCAGTTCACAAATGACTCATTGGGATAATTTAATTGTGACGAGACAAAATCGTAGATAATTGTGGCAAAACTTGGTTTCCTAAAGTATGGTTACAAATAGTTCATACCCTAATTTAAAATGAAAAGATATATGAATCTACATATACCACTTAAGCATCCAGTGATAAGGCCATAAACCGAATTTTATCCAGTCATTTGAGGAAAGTGCATCTTTTCTTAGATTCTTAGATCTAAAAGAATGCATGTCCTTGCTGTATATTTTTTTCATTTTAAGATTGATTAATTTTGAAAAGTAATCTTGCGGTTTCCATTTTTGTATTTTTTTTAATAGAAATGCTACAGTTTGTCAGCAATCAAGTTGGAGATTTTCCAGATTTATTTTCTGAACAGTTATATGGCACATTCCAGAGCAACAATGCATGTAATGGAGACAGAATATCAGATACTTCACAGAAAGCTTACAACCAGGGACAGTTACAATCCTCTTCTCCTAGTGCAGCTTCTTCACCACAGCTTCAGTCTGTGCAAGTGAAGACCTCTCAGTCAACGGGCACAATTCCTGCTCCACAACGGGCTGCACCCCCTCTTCAACCTCGCCCCCAAGTTCAACCCCCACTTCAGCAACAGACAGTGATGATCACTCCAACTTTCAGCTCTTCTCCCCAGACCCGGATCATCCAGCAACCTGTAATATACCAAAATGCAGCCACAAGTTTTCAAGGTAACTCCCATAGTCTTCAAAGCAATAAGGAACACAATTTTATAAAGTACTAGGGTATGAGAATATCTGGAATACAGCATTATATAGCACTATATCCATGTTGCCAGACTGGTTGCTCGGTGACCAAAGTTACAAAAGACCCTTCCCCCAAAAGATACTTACAGCCCAGTTTTGAAATTCCCATGGCTGACCCCCTCGCAGTCATGTACCCACATTTTGGGCACTCAGCAACTATTCCATATTTACATCGTGGTAGCATCCTGGAGTCATATGATTGGAATTTATAACATTTTTTCCTGAAATCTGGCATTTACTTCTGTTTCTATTGAATTTTATTTCAGACAATGGATTTGCTTAACAATTGCAGTGATTCACTTAATCGGCTAAGGTAATAGGTAATAAAATCAGGCATGGTCACATAATGATGCACTTAATGAGCATCATAACAACCGTAATTCCAGGTGCAGTGACAGTCTTAATTCAAGGACTGCCTGTAATCTTAATTCTTTTGCAATAAGGTTTTGCTATTTGGTCAAAATATATATTCTGTTTTCAAACTGTTTACAAGAAATACAATTAAATAGCAAAGAAATACAATTAAACAGAACCATCAATAAAATATATAATGTTTAAAATATAAACTTGAATACTAAAGTAATAAAAACTCATGCTGGTAGACAAATTTGTAATTAAAAATCAAGAATTATGATATCACTGATTAAGGCAGTACTGTCCTAATGTAATATTAAAACTGAATAGAAGATATTTTTGGTGGATTTTGCTTTTAGTTGTTAGATTATGATAACTTTTAGAAAAAAAACTACAGCAATTACCTGTATGTTTTTGTTGAAACACAGCCTATCACCAAAGATCAGAGGCTACAATTCTTATTGTGGAAGTCATAATTTCCCTTGAGCAGTTTCAAACTTTTCTTATCTTCTTTCTAGTGCTGCAACCTCAGGTTCAGAGCTTGGTGACTTCCTCTCAAGTTCAACCAGTTGCCATTCAACAGCAGATGCAGACCATGCAAGCTCAGAGGGTACTGACACAGAGTACCAACGGCACCATCCAGACACTAACTCCAGCGACTGTCCAGGCAGTAGCTGCCCCTCAGGTTCAGCAGGTTCCAGTGAGTTCTTTTAGTATCTTAAGGGAGAAGTATATATTTATATTCTGTTCCAAGGCAAGAAATAACTTCACTGATATAATGTTCGGCTTTTAAGCAATGAAATACCCAAAGCCCATAGGTCATTGATGGCTAAACATAAGAAAAGAAAAAGTGATTATAGTACTGGTATTGGAAAAAAATTAGTAAAGAAATTTTGGAAAGAATGGATCATGTTTCATGCTATTATTATTATAATAATTATTATAATAAATAGCAGTGGCGGTTTTGGTGTTTTATAACAACAATTTTGTTAATGGGTGGGGTGAGCATTACAAAGAATACATTCCTTACTTCACTTCTAAAAGCTTTTATCGGGTAGAGATTATACTCTTTAAAGCCAATTTATTAATTAAGAGAAATGATTGGATTGATTGATGGAATGTCACAGTGAAAGCTATTTGTAACCTATATGAGGTTAGTAGCTGTATAATCTGGGCCTCTGGTATATATAGAAGGAAGCCTGGAAAGAAGTATATTGAAATAGTAATTATGACTGTTTCTTGCATGGTGGGACTCTACTGTAACATAGGGACTAGTAATAACAACTTTCCATTTCTGAATTTGTTTTCATTAAATGTTTACTGTCTTGCCTCCTTCCAGGTTCTAGTCCAGCCACAGATAATCAAGACAGATTCTCTTGTCTTAACGACATTGAAAACTGATGGCAATCCTGTTATGGCTGCTGTTCAAAATCCAGCCCTGGCAGCAATAACCACGCCCATACAGACAACAGCTCTGCAGGTATCATACATAGTAGGGCTCCACATGTTATCTCCCAAATGGTTGCTTTCTTCCTTTTATTTATTAGGGTTCTTTCTTACTGAGATTCTTCAAACTGCATGTGAGCATTATAGTACATATGGTATACAGTAGTATCTCCTTGCAAAAAAATGGTATATTGAACCTATATAATCACTCTTGGAATGAAAAAGGATATCTATATTTACAGTATGTGTATGTATTGTGCACATATACTTGTTTTCAATGTAATTCCTCAGAATATATCTGTAAATATTGGGAGGAGGGAATTATAGGAGCTTACAGTTGAAAACTATTGAAAGGTCTCTTCTTGGTAACCAGTTTGTCTTTTCTTCTCTTATTTGTGTCCTCTTTTATGTGTTCAAATTTTGACTAAGTTTTTTGTGTTGCCGCAGTACTATTATCTCTTGGTCTTCCAGTTTTTTCCCACACTGAAATTATTTGCAATAGTGCTTTTAGTATATTTTTAGGACCTCCCATCCATCTCAAAATTCTTTTTCTCTGCCAATAATATTACGTTCTCCTGCCATATAATCTTGTTTATTGTCACTCTGAATTTATTAAAATATGGTTTTGGGGAGTCCACAATATGTAGTTGATTATTCATAAAAGAAAGAAATCTATTGTTACACATTCATTTTACCCCAGTGGTCCTGATATTTTCATTTTATTATGTTTTATGACGTGATGTAAAGTCAAAGATAGCCATCTTTTCCATTGTCATTGGAGAAACTGTCAGCAAATGTAGTCATGCATAGCAGAGTTTCTCTTTCCAGTAGACATCAGAGAAATTAAAGTCCTAATGTCCCTTTTAAAAATGTAAAGTTTGCTTCTGGAACCACACCTTCTCCCAATAGGCTGCGGAGTGGGTCAGGAATGGGTTGATACAGTTGATCTGCCTGGAGACTGAGTCATGATGTTCTTGGCCATGCTTCCATATGCTCCCTCGACTCCAGTTTATTTGATTCAGTCGATCTGACAAGACATATTGGCAGTTTCTCTTCAACTTTCAACTCTTTCAACTCATTGCTGACACATTTGACTTCAGGTTTATTTAATTTACTTTCTGTGGATTATTGCGTGCTGGCCACTTCAGTCTCGGCTGGAAACGCTGCCGCACCGCCGCCCCCCCAACTTCATAGCCGCTTGCCAGCTGATAGGCGCTTTCATGATCATGCGGTGCGCCGCTCCTTGAGCGAGCCATTGCAGCTCAGGATTCTCAATCAGCCATTTGCCGTTCGCCAGCTGAGCAACCCCTTCAGGGCCACCGCGTAGTGATTGCTGAGGTGGACGCTGTCAGCCCAACTGCAGGCAAGGCGCACCGCTCTCCTGAGCGAGCCGCCATTATAGAGCATTGCTGGTGGCCATTTTGTTCAGCGCGAGCTGACTTGAACCTTGTGGGGCAGCCATTTTATTTGCCGTGAGCTACTTCAAACCTTTTGGGTGGCTATTATCAGCAGCGCGGCTTACCCGGCTACTTCCTACTTACTAGTGTCGCCTTAAGTGCATGCGGAGGTCCTGTTCTACGGCTCAGGCTGTGATTGGATCCTGCACCGCATAAAGGGGAGGGGGCCCTTCAGGAGCTGGCATCTCCCAGGATTCCTGAGTAAGCCGCCCTATTAGACCTCACTGTGTGCGCTGGCTACAGCGTACTCAGTACAGCTGCCGCTGGTACGCCATTTACTTCATTACAATGGCGGAGCAGCCCACCATCAGCAAGGCGGCTCAGGCTTCTTCTGGCAGGAAGGCCACCTCCAAGTCTGCCTCAGGCCGCAAGGTCCAGCAACTATCCAAGGCAGAATTTAAGGACCTTCAGACACGGCAGAAAGCCTTGGAACGTCAGTTCTCACAGGCTGAAAAGGATCACGCTGCTCTCGATGTCAATCCTTGATCAGCGCCAGGTCATGGTTCCACATTCCAGAACCAGCTGAAGACCAGGACCTGTCCAGAGCCTTGTCACCCAAGAGAGCTGACCAGAGCTCCCCTCATGACACTCCTTCTTCAAAAGGCCGCTCAAAGGGGGGGCCCTTTGCTTGCTCAGTGGTGTCTCGCGATCCTCATCCTCAACCTGGGCAGGATCCTCCTAGCCTAGAATTGGGCGACTTACCTAAGGCTGTCCAGAGCCTGATTACCAGGGCCATCACCAAAGGCATTGCCGTGGGCATTCGGGAACGCCATTCACCCTCTCTGGCCTCAGATCTTCTTTCACGACAGCACCGTGTCTCTCCCTCTGTTAGCCTTACAGGATCTCCTCAAGGGCAGCATTGACATGTTCCTGGAGGAGGAGGCACGGAGGGATCCTGACCTTTCTGAGGAAGGCGCTCTTCCCGACATTCCAGCCTTCACGAGCTTTTTTCCACATGGATTGTTTAAATCCTTATTATACAAGGCCAAGGTCACCTCCGGCCTAATTGACCCTGGAGCGGCTGCCTCCACCTCGACCACTACTCCAGGAACTAGCCACGGTCTTTTCTCAGAGCCGGTGACAGAACAGCTCTTCATCCCTACTTCCAAACTTTTCATTGATGTTGTTCAGAAACAGTGGACCAGCCCGGTGTTGTGGCCCATCAGCGGCCTGCACGGATTTTGGCTGATCCCGATGACGAGACTGGTGTGGTGTTGTGCCAGCAGCCTGTGCAGCCGGCGCTCGAGTCGGACAGCGAGGAAGCTGAAGAAGATGTGGTGCCAGAGGCAGAGATTCAGCCAGGGCCTTCAGAACCTCCAGAGGTTCCTTCAAGTGAAGAGAGTGAAGTGGAGGAGCTCTTCTCAATGCACGAGCACGCAGGGCTGCCAAAAGGCAGGAGTGGTTACTCAGGAGGAGGTCTCCTCAAGTGTAAGGTTTGGGGCTAATTGGCCACTCCCTTAGCCTATTTAGGTTTGCACAGAGTTGGCAAATGTTGCAAGAAACAACGCATGTTCGTCTCGCTGAGCATTTGAGAGTGAAGCAAACCTGGTTTCTGGGCTGATTGCCAAGACTTGTAAGCCGTATCTAATCTTTGGAATTTCTGGCAGGCTGTTAAGGACATTTTTAGTAATAGCCTGCATTTGAAAAAGACTGTGTTTGTAGTAAATGGAGTTGTTTGGAGTTTTGTGTGCTACATTTCTGTTGTGACCCGCCAGTGGCCTGTGCGGATCGTGGCTGATCCCGGTGATGAGGAGGCTGGTGTGGGGTCACGCCAGTAGCATGCATATCCGGCGCTCGCGTCGGACAGCAAGGAGGCTGAAGAGGATATGGTGCCAGAGGCAGAGACTCAGCCTGGGCCTTCAGAACTTCCAGAGGCTCCTTCAAGAGGAGAGAGCGAAGTGGAGGAGCCTCTCCTCAATGCTCGAGCACGCAGGACTGCCAAAAGGCAGGAGTGGCTACTCAGGAGGAAGAGGTCTCGAGAGTAAGGTTTGAGGATAATTGGCCACTCCCTTAGCCTATTTAAATCGCACGCAGTTAGTAATTTCTTGCTGGAAACAACCTGTAATTATTACAGAGCATTTTTGAAGAAGTGAGTGTCTTATCATATCTTGTTTTCTGGGCTGGTTGCCAACCTTTGACGGACTTTGTTTATTCTTGGTACGTTATAACTTTGATAAGGACCATTGGTGTGTGTCATAATCCTTGGGAATCCGGAGCTGGGGCAGAACAATTTCTTGGGTTCTGTAGCTGGGGCAGAACACCCAGCTTCTCTGCCTACTCCCAGCGGGACGGACCGTCACAAGTACAACATGGAGCCTGCGCTCACCAACCTCTTACAGGTACCTCCCGTTGATGGCCTAGTGGCTGCCCTTTCATCCCCTGCTTCTTATCTCCTAGGGGACACATCTGAAGGCCTTAAGCCTGAGGACAGGAAATTTGACCTGTCATTTAAGAAAATACACCAGGCCTCTGCCTGGGCAATTCAGGCCACTACTGCGGCCTCATTCTTTAATCACACCTCCCTGCTGTGGCTTCAACAACTACAGTCCCGACTGCCCCCCCCCCCAGGAGGTCCGTATCCATCAGGACCTCAATAAGATCATTGCTGCGGCCCAATTTTCAGCCGATGCCATGCTCAATGCCACTAAATTCGCCTCCCAAGCCCTGGCCTCATCGGTCACGTCACGGCGCCTGTTGTGGCTGCACCAATGGCCAGCTAACCTCAGAGCCAAATGGCGTCTAGCCGTGGCCCCATACATGGGGTTGAAATTATTTTGCGACTCTCTTGAGCCGCTATTAGTAAAAGACAAAGACGAGGAAGGTTCTTCCTTCCACCACTAGGCGGGCGGACCACAGGGCCACTCCCTATTACCGCAGGTAACCTTCCTGCTTCTCCACACAGGAGAGCAATGCCCAACGCCCTTATACTCAGAGCACCTTTCGCCACCAAGATAGGAGCTCCTTTTGAGACAAACCCAAATCTTTGGCACCCAAAATCTGTCATTTCGCGGAACGGGCAACCACCAGTTCCGTCGCCAGAAATGACTCGCTCCTCAACGCTCCCATAGGAGGAAGGTTGAGCCTCTTTGTAAACCGGTGGGCTCTCATCACGACTGATTGTTGGGTCCTCCACACCATCAAATTCGGACTATCTCTGGAGTTCCTCTCCAGCCCCCTGACCCACTTCGTGCCATGCCCTGTCTCCAAGTCCTATCACAAGCGCAGCCTCATGGAGCTTGCCATCTAGCACCTCTTAGACATCAAGGCGGTGGAGAAGGTTCCTCCCGATCAATGGAGGCAGGGATTTTACTCAATCCTGTTCGTGGTACCGAAACGCTCTGGGGGCTGGAGAGCAATCCTAGACTTAAAATCACTCAACACCCACCTGGTCTACCGGAGATTCAAGATGAACTCTCTTAGGTCCATCTTGGAAGGGATCTGTCCTGGGGACTTTCTAGCCTCCATAGACCTCTCTGAGGCCTATCTCCACATCCCCATATCGCCAGCCCATCGGTGATACCTCAGGTTCAGCTACGCGGGGCGCCACCTCCGCACAGCTTCACAAAGATCCTGGCAGCCCTCGTACCCACCTAAGATCCGTCCCGGTACGGCTTCAGGCCTACCTGGATGACATCTTAATCCAGGCCCTTACCCTTCAGAGGGCTCAAGATGACTTACGTCTCACCCTACGGGTCTTACAGTACCATGGGTTCTTGGTCAACTTACCCAAAACTCAGTTGTCTCTCCAAACCCGATTGACCCATCTGGGGGCCATAATTGACACCCGATCAGGATGGGTGTTCCTCTCTCAGGAAAGACGAGACAATCTCAGACTACTCACCCGTCAAATCCTCCTGTAACCGATGGTAACCCTCCTCACCTTGTCAAAATTGCTCAGAAAGCTAGCATCGTGCATAAATATCGTACCCTGGGCCCGCCTCCATGCACGCAGTCTCCAGTGGTTTCTGCTCCCAGATCAACAGACCAGGACATCCAACTCCCTCACCAAGGTCAGGGTTCCACTATCTGTCCGCCGGTTCTTACACTGGTGGACCTCTCCAGCCCTGGACAAGGGGTGCATCTTTGCGGACGCCCAGAGGGTCACAATTACAACAATTTACAGCTGGGGAGCCCATTTGGGCTCTCAGGTTGCGCAGGGTCATTGGTCTCCCACGGAAGCATAATCCAACATCAATTTATTGGAGCTTTGGGCAATCCATCTGGCCCTAGGACACTTCCAACAGACAGTACAGGGACGCCATGTCCTGGTTCTCATGGACAACGTCACGGTGAAAACCCACGTGAACCGACAGGGCGGGACACGGTCCAAACGTTTGATGCAGGAGGCCCTCCGCCTGGGGAGCTGGGCAGAAAACCACGTCATCTCCCTGCAGGTGGACCACATCGCCGGGAAGTCCAACACACAGGCGGACTTCCTCAGCAGGACCACGGTGGATGCGTCAGAATGGCGACTCCACTCCGATCTATTCTGAGACATATGTCACCAATTTGGAGAACCACAGGTGGACCTGTTCGCATCTCCCCTGAATGTGCAGCTCCCTCGGTTCTTCATGCGGTACCCCACTCCGGGAGCGGAAAACACAGACGCCCTTCGATGCACCTGGCCTCCCAGTCTCCTCTATGCCTTCCCCCCTCTGGCCTTAATACCGAGGGTAATTCGCAAGGTCATAGCAGAGGCCCCGGAAATAATTCTGATCGCTCTTCATTGGCCACGGAGGCTATGGTTTTTGGATCTGATTGCCCTTTCGGCGTCGCACCCTTGGAGGATCCCTCCGGAGAGGATGCCTCTCAGCCAGGGGGTCATCAACCATCCGGAGCCCCAATGGCTCCACCTGACCGCCTGGCTCTTGAGGGGCTCCTCCTGAGGAAGGCATGTTATTCTGAAAAGGTCATCCGGACCATGCAAGTGGACAGGAAGAAGTCAACCATCAGAATCTACAACATCACCTGGAAGGTATTTATCTCATGGTGCTACGCACATGACATTAACCCTGTCTCAGCTTCTGTTCCGCAGGTCCTTGATTTCCTACAGGCTGGACTCAACAAAGGACTGGCGCACAACACACTCAAGCGCCAGGTTGCAGCCTTTTCAACGGTTTTGACACCCAGGGACGGCGCGTCACTGTCTCATCACCTGGACATCCACAGGTTCTTGCGCGGTGCATGCAATCTCTGTCCCCCCCCCCCATTGTACACTGCTATCCCATTTGGGATTTACCCCGGGAACTGTGGGCTCTCACCGAATCCCCCTTTGAACCTTTAGGTACTTCGAGCCTCAGATACCTCACTCTTAAAGTGGCCTTTCTGGTAGCCGTTACATTGGTGCGGCGCATATCGGAGCTCACGGCTCTTTCTATCAGGCCCGACCTCTGTATCATTCACCCGGACATAGTGATCCTTAGATTGGATCTGTCATTTGTTCCCAAGGTCAACTCCTGTTTCCATTGGGCCCAGGAGCTTGCTTTGTCTAATTTCTGCCCAAGGTCTTCCCATCCCTTGGAACACAAGTGGCACACCTTGGATGTCCGCAGAGCACTCAAAATTTACATCTCTCGGACTGCGCCTTCCAGACGATCTGAGGTTCTCTTTGTATCTTTCCAACCTACCTTGTTAGGTTCTAAGATATTTTCGGCCACCATTGGCCGCTGGATCCGGGCATGCATTGCTCGGGCATATGATGTATAGGCATTACCGGTGCCCAAACACATTACTGCACACTCAATGCGCAATGCAGCTACCACCGCTGCTTGGGCCACGCAGGCCTCCCTTGAGGAAATTTGCAGGGCAGCTACCTGGACTACTCCTTCGCCTTTCATTAAACACTATCAGCTGGATGTCTTTGCTTCTGTGGAGGCTTCCTTCGGCAGGAGAGTCTTGCAATAGGTACACCTAGCCTCAGGGGATCCAGGCTCACGGCTTCCCATCCTTAGGACAGGCTAGCTTGGGTATGTCCCATTCCTGACCCACTCCGCAGCCTATTGGGAGAAGGGGCGTTGGTCCTACCGTAAACGCCGTTTCTCCGGGGGCTGCGGAGTGGGTCAGCCCCTCCCGCCTAGTGAGCTGGACACGACTCCTTACTAATGTTATGGCAGAGCTTCTCTTTCAGGCCTATCTTCGTCGAACAAACTGGAGTTGATGGAGGCATATGGAGGCATGGCCAAAAATATCATGACTCAGTCTCCAGGCAGATCAACTGTATCAACCCATTCCTAACCCACTCCGCAGCCTCCGGAAAAACGGCATTTACGGTAGGACCAACACCCCATCTCCATGGTTTCCTTTGATTGCTGTTTTCCCAAAAACCAGTTTGGTCTAGTGGTTAAGGAATTGGATAAAAAGCAAGAGGCTGTGAGTTCAAGTCCTGCCTTAGCCAAGTTGGGTGACTTTGGCTAAATCAGTCTCTCTTGGCCTATCTCACCTCCTATTTTAAGAGAAGGAAGATATGTTAGATATGTTCGCTGTCTTGAGTTATTTATACAAATAATAAAGGTGGGATATAAATAAATAAAATAATAAATAAATAAAAAGTCATGGTTTCAGTTACAATTTCAAAGAGTTAGAATTTAAAAATGACCAATTTTAGAAAGTGAAGTTCTCTGAGAGATAACCATTTTGTAAAAAGCCCTTTTTTTCCAACAATAGACTATTTTCTCTAAAGGTATCAGCCTGGCACTTGATTCCGATTTCCTTTTCTGCCAGGCCAATGTCTCTTGCCCCACAGGCGTATTAAATTACTGTATAGTATAACTTGATATTAGCTTTTTAAATTTGCTTTATTTTCTTATTCTTGTTTTTAATCCATTAATGATACATTTTGTGCTGTATAGTTTAAATTTCTTTTTTATCTTTCTGAGAATAGTTTTGTTATGGTATGGTCTGTAAAAAATACATATTCTTTACAGCTTGAAAAATATGAATATTTGGACAAATAGCTGTTTAATTTACAAAACAGGTGAGAACCTGGTCATATTCTGAAAGCATTTTATTTGCCCCAGTATGCAAGTGACTATAAGAACGTTTACATACCTAAGAAAAGTTTTTTAGATTAGGAGACTTTCTTATTCTTATCTCATAATCCAGTCTTTTTTGTTCATAGTTCTGTCTTTGCAGTTGGAAGCCACTGATCATGATTTTTATGAGAAAGTGCAGTGCCATTGTCACTATGTCTAAATAGTGGCATTGTTACTCCACTGGGATCCAGAAATATTTATGAATTCTTAAGAACATAGGAGAGTGCATTGTGTATAACTGTCACTGGTTTATCTAGTTTGTTTTGGATTTGTAGTAAATAAGAATTGTTCTTGGTTTTTTGTGATGGGTGTTTCCCAAACTTTTTACCCAGATTCTTGATATAGAGACTATGAAATCTTATTTATATAGAACATAAGTATTACTGCTGAATTGTAAGCCTTGTTTCCTAGTTGTTTTGTAAAATGTGGAATTTTATTTTGGTCACATATTTTTTTATTAATTTTAATTAAAGAATTTTACTGAACAATACAAATTTTAAAAAGGAAAGTAAAATAGGAATAAAGAAAAGTAAAAGTGATAAGTAAAAAAGAAAGAAGAGAGGGAAGGAAAAAGAACAGGTAAAGCAGTGGTTTCCAATATTCTTTACAATAGTTATAAGTGCATTTTTAGTTTATCCTCATTAAGATTACATTGTGGCTCCCTTCTTTCCATATTCTATCCTTTCTAATCATCAAACGTTTATTTTTTCCAATTTTCATACCCATAAAGAGTTTCCATTTACTAACAAAAGGAGTTATTGTCTTTTCCCTAATCAAACAAGTCAGTTTTGCCATTTCAGCAACTTTTGTCATCTTCACCAACTATTCTTTCATTGTGGGTATTACAGAGTTTTTCCATCTTTCTTATATATAATCTCACTGCAGTTACCGTTCCAGCAATGAAAGTTCTGGTTTCAGTTGAATATTAATCTTTAAAATTTTTGTATTGCTATATGCATTTGAATCCAAAATTTACTAGCTTTTTTCAAGTCCACCAAGCATGCTAAAACAACCCTTCATATTTCCAACATAGATTTGAAATACCTATATACATTCTAGATAGTTTTTCTGGTATCATTCATATACAGTGGTATATCATTTTATAAAAATACTTTTTATAAACATGAATTTCAGTCATTTCTGCCACATGCTTTCTCTTTGTTGCATCTGTACGTTATAAGCAGTGTCCATTTTATCATATGCTGTTTAACTTGTTTTCATTTCAAATTTCAGTAAAAGCTTATATACATTTTAGCAGTTACATACTGTATTCATCATTTGCCCATAATCCAGTTTCAAATTCTGTCTTACATAGTTCAATTCTAAATATGGTATTGTTTACTTTAAATCTTTTTCTTAACTGTACATATGAAAACCATGTCAGAGATCTTACATGAAAAATTAATTGCTATTTGATTTCTGCTGTTGACTTTTTAGACCTTGGTTGGTAGCAATGGGGCCATCTTGACAACTATGCCTATGATGATGGGAGGGCAGGAGAAGATGCCCATTAAACAAGTGCCTAATAACACCAAGCAGCCAGAACCACCAAAGGAAGGAGAAAGGCGAACAACTCATAATATTATTGAGAAGAGATATCGATCATCTATAAATGACAAGATCATAGAACTGAAAGATCTAGTCATGGGAACAGATGCTAAAGTAAGAATTGCTTAGTTAAAAAGCAAAAATATTTGCAATAGCTACAAATCTATTTGTCATATTTGCAGTTGACATGCTATTTAATGTTCTTGTTTGTGTCCATTTCCATTGAATTAAATATCTAAATAACCACAACAATTTTTGGAAAGGACTCAATAGGTGGTTAAAAATGCCAAATCCAGTCTGAATATCTTGCTGATTGTGTGACGAACTATAGTTTTATCCTGCCCTTTTTACATATCACTCAAAGCAGTGGTGAGATTCAGCCAGTTCACACCTATTTGGGAGAACCAGTTATTAATTTTCTAAGCAGTTTGGAGAAATTTTATTTTGGTTTTTTCCACTTTACAGAGCTAATCCTGTAACGAAGGCAGGAAGAAAACATTCTGGTGTTTCTAGCCTAATCTTTATTGCCCTGCTTACAGAAACTGCCTCTCTGGTTAACCCTTATTACATTGTAACAGCTAAGGCAAAGCGCCCATCGATGTGAGTGGCGTTGAGTTGGCCACGCCCACATGGTCACATGACCACTGAGCCACGCCCACCCAGCTGATCATTAGGGCAGAGAACCGGTTGTTAAATTATTTGAATCCCACCACTGACTCAAAGCAGTGAACATATCTAATATCTCTGCTTCCTACTTTCCCTATAACAACAACTTCTTTGAGGTAGATTGATCTGAGAGAGGATGACTGGTCCAAAGTCACCCAAACAGCTTTCATGTTTAAGGGAGGCCTAGAATTTACAGGCTCTTGGCTTCTGGAACAGCACCTTAACCACTATATCAAACTGGTTCTCTAATTCTAAATCCCTCCTTCCTTCCTTCCTTCCTTCCTTCGTAAAATTTATAGGCTGCCCATCTTTACCTCAAGGTAACTACATGCATCCTACATACATACACAAATTTAAGAAAACCTTTACTACTAAATAAAAATGTGCTAAGAGATCATAAGATAGCTGAATAATCATATGCATTCTTTTCAGATGCACAAGTCTGGTGTATTGAGGAAGGCTATTGACTACATTAAATATCTACAGCAGGTTAATCATAAATTGCGACAGGAGAACATGATCCTTAAGCTATCTAGCCAGAAAAACAGTTAAGTGTTTTAAATATTACATTCCGGTGTTTTAATTTAAGTGAAGCAGGTACTATCAAGGTTATTAATTAAATGATTTTGTGCCCCCTTGCATTGATTGATGTTTTTATTGATTATGCTTTTAGCGGCTACATGTAGAATTGATAAGAAGATGTATTTAATTACACAAGGTACTGTGAATGGAATAATTAATCTATGTGATCTTTTCTCACAGAGTTGTTGAAGGGTTTTGACTTAAGCAGTCTGGTGGACAATGATGTGGATCTGAAGATGGACGAATTCAATCAAAATGCTCTATTGATGTCTCCACCAGCTTCTGACTCAGGATCACCAGCAGGCTTTTCCCCTTATTCAATTGATTCAGAACCGGGAAGTCCATTATTGGATGATGCAAAGGTAGCTAATATTCCTAAGACAATCTGCACTGGGAAGCATAGACAAGATCCCATTGGTGTTACATGCATGCTAATTCAGATGGAGATATGTCATCTGCTTCCCATTAAATTCAGATAATAAATTATGGTTTTTAAAAGGAAGGTGAGATTCAAATATTAATTGATTTTTTTTCAAAAAATCACACAATGGGTAACACAACTAAAATGAGACACATGAATAAGGAATATCATAAAATGTGTGTGTGTGTATACATAAGAAATCCTGTACCAAAGTCCATTAAAAGTACAATAACATGCAGGGCAGTATTTTGCTTTATATCAAAGAAATCATAAAGCCCAATAAACAAGAACATTCAAAGGGGTACAGCTTTCACAATATCCTGCTAGTTGTATCCTGCTAGTTGCCAAAATGTTGGAGATACACCATAATTGCATTGAACAGTATATTTGGGGCAAGTTTGAGATGGAATAAAATAAACAGAGGTATCTGCAAGAGAAATGGTATATGGGTAATTTTAGACTGAAACTTCAAATTGAAATGGCCTGGAATGGATGGATAAATTACAACAAAGATAAAGTTTTTCAGATTTTTTTTTTGGTGAGTGTCAGGTAACAGACATGCATTGTACTTTAATGTAATGAGGACTACTTGTACTTCCATGTATGATGTAAAATGTATCATTAGTTTATAGATTAGTTCATAGGTTGCTCCATGATCTTCAGCAGCATATTTAGACATATCAAAGATCAATTTCATTATAACATTTGAAATAAAAGGTGATTTTAGTAAATTGTAAATGTTTACAGTATTTAAGTCTTTTAAATCCATCACTTGGAGAAAAGTATGAATAGATCTACAGACTTTCTTTTATTTCCAATTCAGTGACCTTTGGGGGGATTTTGTAATGGTGGAACATTTTTATAAAGCTATCTAAGAAGAATAAATCTGCTATAAAGAAGATATTGAAAAGTCAGCCTTGTGCAATATAGAGCAACTATTTGTCTTAAGTGTTTCAGAAATAACTCTTCCATACCCTTGACTTAGGTTAAAGATGAACCTGATTCTCCACCTGTTGCTCTTGGAATGGTTGATCGTTCACGGATGCTGCTTTGTGCTCTCACATTCCTCTGTCTCTCCTTTAATCCTTTAACATCTTTTTTGGATGGCAAAGAAACATCGGACACTTACAGCACAGTGCATCATGGTTCTGAGAGGAATATACAAGCAATAAAACCAGGTATATTTCCAATAGTACTCCTTTGATATCTTTAAAAAATTTTTAAAGACAAGTACAGTAACTAAATGATGAAAGGGGAAGAAAACAATAGATGGTGATTTGTTGGGTAATGATATATTCTGGAATATTCTGTTTTAAAAGGTGATTACAATTTTATTGTGATAATTTATAAATACGGTAATTGTAGTGGATAGTAGTATCCATGACTCAGATAATGGGTATTTATGTACAAAAGGATTGTGAGCTTTTGACATGTATGTTTCTTGGTTTCTTTAATAAATTGAAATTTTACCTGTATGGAATCTATATTTTACCTGTGCATTTGTGAGGATTTTATTGTTGTTTCTGTGTGTGGTAGAGCTTTCAGATTTTTTAATTGTAGCGTACATGTTGTATTTGTTATGAGGGATGGGCTGAATCATGTTAGGTTCTTATTTTGAAAAAGGTTTTTGATTTATGTAAGTTGTGTATTTTTTCTGAACATTTCTATCTTATATAAAATGATATTTTCTTGCATCTATATACTTAGGGCGGGAGTTTTGCATGGGAAACAGTTCTATTTCAGGGAAGAATAAATAGGATGAGAAGAAAGCAAGTTGATTAAACTTAGCATGATCTTTACATAATCAAGGTTCTCCCAAGAATTATTATATTAAGGTGTGAATTGTTATTTCTTATCTGATTTATGTTTTTTGACATGATTAATTCTGATTAATTCTGTTAGAATCAGGTGGCTGGTTTGGCTGGATGATGCCCACTTTGATCTTGTGGCTTGTGAACGGTGTCATTATCTTGAGTGTATTCATAAAACTGTTAGTGCATGGAGAGCCAGTAACACGACTGCATTCCCGTTCTTCTGTGACTTTTTGGCGGCACCGAAAACAGGCAGACCTGGACTTAGCTAAGGTGAGATAGTTCGTTGCTTTGAGGGTAAATGTTATTGTGCTCATTTATTTGTATTGCATTAATTGAAATTTGCATAACCTAAAGAGTGAATATTTTAAAATGTAGAACAAGTCTCTTGAACTACTAAACATTTAGGTTTACATCTCATTATTCTGCTATCAAAATTCTTGAACTATGGGTTCTTAAAGCACCTCCCCTTGGGAGAGCATGCAGATCATTTTTGGATTAAACTCTGCTTCTGTTCTATAGGTAGGTAATTTTTAAAGGGGGAATCAGGTTGAATTCTAGAATTGAAATGAATGATAAAGGTGAGCAGATTTCTACAGATTTTGTTAAATGCATGCAGGCTAAAGGTAATCTGTCCAGTAAAAAGAACAATATTTTATTATGCTGTTTAACTGTTCAACCTTTGTTTATGTGTGATAGTGTATTTGAACAAAATAAAAATGTACTGTGAAATTTGCAATCCATTTGTAAATATAGAGTTGTTGTAAATGGGAAAGGGGAGCAATATTAATACTGGGATTATAGGTTATATTTTGAAAAAATAATTTTGAAATAATTAGTTGATGAACATAATAAGCAATTCCTATTGTATTTTACTATTGAAATTAAAGGGTTTTTTTTTTTTGAGTGGAACAGTGTCTTCTGTGTCTAAATGCTGATTTTAATTGGAAAGAGTAAATTATTTCTTTTCCATTATGTGGTTGAATATTTGTTTAACTGGACTGGACTTGAAGTTTAACTGAACTGGACATGAAATCTAACAGGATTTCAAGGTAATACAGATCCAGATTTTTTGTGTTTCTGATATGTCATGGTTCAAGTAAGTTGATGCAGATGAGGAAGAAAGAAAATTTGAGAAAAAGTCTATAGTATATTTAAATACGATGGCAATTTAGCTAGTTTATCAGTGGCTGAGGAGACAAATGTAGGTTTACTAGACTCTCCAAAATCTGAGTAACAAATGAAATTAAAAAAAAGAATTAAAGCTTAAAAATGAGTGAAGATGGAGAATAAAATTTATGTCTTCCATGATGACTCAGAATAGTCTGAATATTAGGAAGTGATGAAACACTCAAATGTCCCCTGTTCAACTTTATCCCATGTTTTTCTTCTTTTGTTTGCAGGGGGACTTTGCTGCTGCTTCATCAAATTTACAGATCTGTCTTTCTGCTCTGGGCCGAGCGTTGCCTACTTCTCGTTTTGACTTGATCTGTAGCCTTTCCTGGAACATTATTCGTTACAGTCTCCAAAAATTGGGATTAGTACGTTGGCTGCTAAAGAAGACATCACAGCGGAGACGAGCAACAGAGACACCTCTTGGCTTTGAAGATGAAGCCAAGACTAGTGCGCGAGATGCAGCACTAGTGTATCATAAACTTCATCAACTCCATATTACAGGTAGATGAAAAAAAATTAACTTAGTGGTTTAAAAGGTAACGATTCCCTCAGGTTAAGCTTGATTCCTGATAGCTGCCTACCTCATGTAGTTTTTTTGTTTGTTTGTTTTTTTAATGCAAAATAAAGGTTTACTTTTTAATGAATTTTGTATCTTAGAATCTCCAGAGTGCTCCTTATTTTTGATAATGCAAGATTTTGCATAACAGGGTATTGTGCAATACTGCGATGTATGAATAGTACTAAGTTTCAGTAGCTAAAAGAGCTTTTTCAGATGAAACCATGCAGTGCATCACTTGTACAAGGTGATTCACAACAGGATACAAATGATATTTTTTAAATTTCTGGTGCAGGTAAACTTCCGTCCAGTTCAGCTTACTCAGGGTTGCACATGGCGTTGTGTGCTGTAAACCTGGCAGAATGTGCAGAGGAGAAGATTTCACCAAGTACCCTGGCAGAGATTCATCTAACTGCTGCAGTTGGCCTGAAGACTCGCTATGGTGGCAAACTGGGCTTCCTGGCGGTACGTGGATTGTTTTGAGCCACTTAGCAGTTTAGATAGTCTTCACTTAACAACAGTAATTGGGACCAGAATTCCCACTGCTAAATAATGTAGTTGTAAAGTGTGATGTCACAGTACTGCATCATTTAGTGAAGGCAATCTCATTAGTCTCCATTTTTGTTGTTAAGTGAGGGACTCACATGACTGACATGGGAAGAGGCAGGAATCTAGAAGTGCTTACTTGTGCTATTAAAACTGCATCCCAGGCAAATGGATGGGTGGGCATTAAGAAGTACATGCATGTGTGTGGATGCCATGTGTGGGCCCTATGGAGTATGGGCAGGCATGTGTGCGCGGATGCTATGAAGGTTGTGTGCTATGGGAAGGCGCTACAGAGTATGGGCATAAATTCAAGTGGCTCCCAAGTGAGGACTACCTGTATTAGGTTAAATACTGTGGCTTATTTAAATTATTTTTCTGGATTTGCATCTAAAATAAATGAAAGTGACTTCTGTGTTGGTACATTAAAAATTTTATCCATAGATTGCTAACTTTCAGTCAAATATTGCATGTTTTCTTCTCAGAGTTATTTCTTAAGTCAAGCTCAAAGCTTGTGTACTTCTGAGCATAATGACATTCCTGACTCCTTACGCTGGTTGTGCCATCCTTTGGGGCAGAAATTTTTTGTGGAACGGAGCTGGACAGTGAAAGCTGCTGCTAAGGATAGTCTGTACTCCACTCAGAGGAACCCAGGTGAAGATCAGTAGCTAGAGAAGATATTTTCTTTAAGCATGTTATCAGTATAGTGGACAATACTTATGTGTATGCATTTTCTTTCTTCTGCTAGCTTTATACATGCTTTGGTTTAAAAATTGTTAAATGTTAATATGTGAAAGCAATCAAGAGGACAGTTTTCCATAAACTGGCATTCTTTCTGCAATACAGTTTTCTATCTAAAAACAAAAAAAGAAAGGCTTAACTCCTGAAGTATTCATTGTTGAACTTGTGAATAAAATAATAAGCTGATTGTTTTGCCTTCGCATATATAGCTGATCCCATTGCACAGGTACACCAGGCATTCTGTGAGAACCTACTGGAGAGAGCTGTTGAATCCATTGTGAAACCTCAGATTCCCAAAGGGGCTACAAGCCATGATGATGAAGCACCTTGGTGAGCCATATTTATGTCCTAGTGGCAGTTTTCTTGGAAATATTGAAGGATTCTCCTTGACTGTTCTAATAAAACCTATAGTTCAACATTGGAGGGAGAATGGCAATATATATTTCAGCTGCCCAATTTTAAGCAATATGATACAGGACACACCTATATGAGTACTGCTTTTCTCATAATACATCACTTAGATTGTATCCATCCACAGTACTATTTGGATATACGACATAGTACAATTTCTCTAAACAGTTTGTCCAAATTGCAAAAAATGGATTAGCATAAAAAGTATATAAAGTAGCCTGTACCATGGTAGTAAGAAGTTTTTTTTTATCATTTGCTATCATTCTCATCCATTGACCAAATTATTTGGGATTGAAGCCCAACATTATTTAATTTTACCATCTTGCCTACGCTTATTATTGAAATGTTCATGGCAAGATTCATCATTATCTCTGTTGGGAGAAAGCCATACAAAAAATTATCACAATGCTGCAAGAATGAGATTACCATGGTGAACATTGTTTGCCTTTCAGAATGCGGGTATGAATGTGATACCTTCTTTGTGCAGAGAATCATCCTTAAAAAGTGTGTTAAAATACAACTTTAGTTTGTTACAATTCATTGTAAAAATATGATACATTGTCCTAACTACTAAAAGTCTGACTTTGTACTTGCAGTGAATTCGCTAATGCTTTGGAATACTTGACATTACTAAGTTCTTTTGTGGATTCTTTGGGAAGTGAGATACCACCTTTCTCTGGAAATTCGGTGCTGAAGTCTGCTCTAGGTATGTGTAAAAGATACAGGACTTGTTCAGTGGTTTTCTGTCTTCATCTTTCTTTTCTCTCCCATCCTAAATATATCTGCACTTAGTCAGTGTTCAGTTGTTATTTTTCTTGTGTTAAATCTTTTATATTCAATTTTGCTTTTTTATCCACTGTTCAATTTCAAGATTTATCACTATATATCACTAATAATACATTGCCTTCCTTCAATGTAGTTAACAACTAAACACAAAACAAGAAAAAGGTAGAAGGAAGGAAAGAAAGCAAATTCAGCATTATAATAATAAGTTAATACTGTAATTACATTTAAAAACAAAGCCTAAGTCTTAGCTGATGGAGTAACCTACTTCATTATTTCACCCATGCTGCTAGGTGATAATTGATAGACTAGCTTGATGGAAATGATATTTTTGCAGAGATGTCGGTAACTCTGCTTTTATCTCAATTTCCATTATTATTATTATTATTAGTTCATCACACATTCAACCAGATATTCAGACTGAAATTGGCATTTTTATCCACTTACTGAGTTCTTCCCATAGACTTGGATAAGCAGTTGTGGATGTTTGAATTATTATTAAATTTGTCGCCCATCACAGTTCAAGGTGGCTCAGAGTACTCTTTCCATGTACTTTACATTTATATTATATAATCTCTCTCCATATACATGCAGCTAAAAACAGTTCAACTGTATATTAATAATCAGAATACATTTGATTAAATGTATTTGATTAATTATGTATTTGGCCAATACTGAAATATTGGTAGAGTACATGTTTTTTCAGTCTAATAGCTCTTTCTAATGCTAAAAAGAAACAACGGCAGTCTTATTGAACCAAATTCAAGAAATAAAACAGACAATAGGCCTGGCCAATCCCCCTTTTTCTGCTTTTATTTATAAATGCCTCTATTTATTATGATTATCACTATTCATGCTAGTCACCTTAACACAGGGAAATGTTTAGTGATTCAGTAAATCACATACTTTTTCTCTAATAAAGCATAACAATCAGTATAGTCTTCCCTGCTATGATCTGAAGATGAATGCTATGACAATCTGTTTTCTGAATTTTTCTGGAACATTCTATAAAAAAATAGTATTCTCCAGTGAGCTGCTTGCCAGAGACTGAGTTGCTAGAACTTTCTTGGCCACGCCTCTTCTGCTCGGCTGAGCTCCAGTTTTTTGACTCAGTCCAGCTGAGAGAGATGTGGAAAAGTTTGCTCCAGCAATTCAATCAGCAGCTTGGATTTTCCAACACAGAAGGAGAGGGGAACAATATTAGCTGGTTTCAGGCTTTTATCTCCCATTGAAATCTGCACGCTGTGGGGGGGTGTGCTGGTCCCCCCCGGCAAGTCTGGTACAACCGTCACCGCCCAGAACACTTAACACGGAGGCAGCGAATCCAGGACCAGCCCGTTTCGTAGGGTTCCTCCGTGGGTGCAGGCAACGATTCCTCCCAGCCTGAGATCACCGCCAGTGAGTGCGCTGATTCCCCCGATCCGCCGGCATAACCACTACCATCCATTATCCTCCAGGCTTGGAGGGCAGCTCCGGAGTCACTGTCCATCTAGGGGGACATACTCCGCTAATTTTAAATTGCAAAAAGCTGCACGGTGCCAGGAGACCTGGAAGTTCCGTTCTTGCGCCATTTGAGATCAGCTGAGAGGTGTGGCTCAGATCTTGAGCGCAGCAGCGTTGCTGAACTTTGTGCTCAATCTTTCTAGCAACCGGCATTGTTGGCTCTGATCTGGTTGGCGGCAAAGTGCTTAGAGAGTAGACGTGCTACTCATGCAAGTGTAATCAGCTGGGAGGCAGCTGGAAATTCAGCATGGCAGCTTTGCCGGACTTCACGCTCGTTTTCCAACAACGTTTTTGGCTTGAATTTCTGGCTTCGCCATGAGGCGCTAGGAAAGGCGGAGTTTAGTCCTGCGCCATATTGAGGTCAGCTGAGAGGCACAGCTGGGATTTCGGTGTGGCAGCATTGCTTGGTTTGCACTACGAAATCCAGCTATTTGTGGGGGTGCTGGAATTCCCTGGCCAGCTAAGTGGGTCCACCACCACCCAATATCTGAGGAGTGACCAGATCTGATGGAAGAAGCCTTCAGACTGGTCTGTAAAAGTGTGGGCGGTCACAAGATGGTGGAGGGGGACCTGTCCTGTAACAAGGGCCAGTCAGACATCCCCCCCCCGGCAGGCTCCACAGAGCAGGAGACCACAGCCCTAGAACTACCAGGCCTGCTGCCAAGGGATCATCCCATAAGGGCAGCTCTAAGAAGCCATTATCAAAAAGGGCTAATGTTGCCCTGGAGAAGGAGGCTAAGAGGTGCCACAAAGCCTTAGAAAAACAATTTTCCAAAGCCCACCAACAGGCCCAGGAATCCAGGGAACATCCTGTCTCTCTTGCAAAAGCAGTCTTCCCTGAATCTTTGCAACCTGATTTGTCTCCTCAACTTAGGTGCAATAAAGGGAGTGGTCACCAGAGGGAGCTGGTGAATTACAATCTGCTCTGATAGCAGGAGATCAGGAGTTTAGTCCACTATGTGGCCTAGCACCTGCTGGCCTGGAATTAGGGCTTGGTCCTTCAAGGAGCTCAGCACCTACAGCTATATTTATGCCCACTGCTGTGAGCTCCGCCCAGTGGAGGCCCCTACTGCTGACTTATCTCAGGACATAAAGAATTTAATTTCTGATGCAATCTCCAAAGGAATAGCTGCAGGACTGCAACAAAAAGACCCTGCCCAATCCTTTCAACCCAGCATGCCTACTCAGATGCCTGGGAACATGCCATCATTGTATGAGCCCCATTCTCTGCATTCTTCTATGCACAGTGCAGGGTCATTGATGGGAGAGGAAGATCAGTGTAATCAGGAATTTTCTGAGGATGAAGGAATGACTCCTGATAGACCTGCCTTCTCAGGTCTTTTTCAGTCTTCTCTGTTTAAGTCCTTACTTCATAAGGCTAAGACAACCACAAACATGGGGATAGCAGTATCTACTGCAGAACATTCTCAGGATATTCCAGACCCTCACGAGGGCCTTTTTTCTGAAATGGTTCCGGAACAAGAGGTTATTCCTTCTCTGAAAATACTCTTAGACATTATTCAGCGTCAATGGAAACAACCTGGATAACGTCCCAATCCCTAGTGGGAATGACAGGAAGTTATACAGCATAGGTCAGGATCTCGAGATCCTCCAGTTGCCAGCAGTGGATGCTCCGGTGGCAACGTTAAGATCATCAGCCATTTTACCTGCCAATATAGCATAAGGATTAAAGACAGAGGACAAAAAGTCCAAAATGGCACTCCGCAAGACGCATCAAGTTGCTGACTGGGTGATTAGGTCAGCGTCAGCAGCTTCCTTTTTTAACAGGGCCTCCTTGATCTGGCTCCACCAGATGCAAGCGAGGCTCCCCCCTGAAGAGACCAGACTACATTACGATGTGAATAAATTGATGGCAGCCATGGAGTTTTCAGCAGATGCCACGCTCAATGCGGCAAAATTTGCATCCAGGGCCTTGGCATTTACTGTCACTTTACGTCACCTCCTTTGGCTCCGCAATTGACAAGCAGACATATGCTCCAAATGGAGATTGGCTTCAGCTCCATACAAGGATGCCAATCTGTTTGGGGAAGCAGTGGATCCCATTCTTATTGAGAATAGGGACAAGAGAAAGATCATGCCATATATGCATAGGCGAGCAGATCGCAGGACCATGCCTTATTATCAAAGACAGCCATTTAGAACAGTTGAATTGGGCTCTCAGGCCACACAATTTCAGTGGGCCTATGCCCAAGATCCTGAACGATTTTCAGACAGACCCTCATACTATGACAGAGGAAAAAGACAACCCCCAGCTAAATGGCCCTTTCGAGGTTCCTTCACCAGACCCTTTCATAGGGGAAAATGACTATCACATCAATTTTCCCATTGGCAGGCAGCTGCAATTGTTCGCGAACCAATGGAAAAGGTCCACCACAGATATGTGAGTACTTAAACAGTGCATCTGGGCCTCGCACTCTCCAGCCCCTCAAATTGATTTATTCATTGTCCAGTCCCAGTGAACATCGAGAAAAGGAACCTGATGGAGGCCAAAGTCCAGCACTTATTGGACATCAACACCATACAGCTGGTTCCCACAAGTCAGGAGGGACGAGGATTTTACTCAATCCTCTTGGTGAAGAAGAGTTCGGGAGGCTAGAGAGGAATATTGGATCTAAAACTGCTCAACATATACATTATATACAAGCGCTTCAAGATGCAGTCCCTACAATCCATCCTGGGCTGCATCAGGGAAGGAGACCTGTTGACATCAATAGACCCATAAGGTCTTACCATCACAAATTCCTGTGCTTCACCTATACAGGGCATCACTTTCAGTATCAGGCCCTGCCATTTGGCTGTCGTCGGCCCCCAGGACCCTGCAAAGACACAGTTTCTCGATAAACACCAAAAAGAGCCATCTGGTCCCCACTACCCACCTTCTTCATCTGGGCGCGGTGATAGATTCCACCTCATGCGAGGTGTTCCTTTTTCTGGATCGACAGGAAAGCATCAGACACCTAGTGACCAAAATCCGGTCTCTGAGATCAGTTCCCTTGGATCTTCTCTCCCAACTTCTAGGGAAAATGGTCTCTTGTATAGCGATAGTGCCTTGGGTGCAGCTGCACGCCAGGCCACTCCAATGGTTTCTGTTGCCTCATCAGAGGGCCGGAAACAGGAACTCAAAGACCAAAGTAAGACTCCTGGTGAAGGTTCTTCGCTCCCTTCACAGGTGGATCTTCCTGGCCATAGGGAAGGGGAGTACATTCAAAGAACCCCAACGCATCACCTTAACTTCGGATGCAAGCCTTTTCGGCTGGGGGGCCCACCTTCAATCCCAGGTGGTCCAGGGATGATGGCTTCCGACAGACCTTGTGAACAATATAAATTGGCTAGAGCTTTGGGCAGTACATCTGGCCCTATGCCACTTCCAGGAAGAAGTGACGGGACACCATGTTCTCGTCTTGACAAACAACATGGCCACCAAAGCTCACATAAATTGAGAAGGGGGCACTCGTTCCAAGTCCCTTATGATGGCATCAGAGAAGCTGGGGCTCTGGGTGGAGCAGTGACTCCTCTCCATCAGAGCAGAACATATATCGGGAGCAAGCAATGTGCAGGCGGATTGGTTGAGCAGGACAACCATCGACCAATTGGAGTGGCGCCTGCACCCGGATCTCTTTAATGAAATATCCCAGAGATTCAGCCACCTGATAGTAGACTTGTTCTACTAACTGAATGCCCAGTTGCCGAGATTCTTCTCTAGATTCCCGACACCAGGGGCGGAAGGGATCAGTGCCCTCCGCAGTCCCTGGCCTCAGGGTCTGCTTTACGCCTTTCCATCGATTCCCCTCATTCCAAGGGTCATCAGGAGGCTGTTAGAGGAGAGGGCAGAGATCATTCTTCTCGCCCCACATTGGCCCAGACGCCCCTGGTACAGCGATCTGGTAAGTCTCTCCATCTCCCGTCCCTGGAGAATTCCCCAGGACAGGATCCATCTCAGCCAGGGGATCATGGTACATCCGGAACCCCAGGGCTCCAGTTGACCGCCTGGCACTTGAGAGGTACATCCTGAAGAGAGACAAGCTATCTGAGAAAGTCATTCAGACCATCCAGGCGTCTAGACGCCTTTCAACAAATAGAATTTACAATGCAACTTGGGCAGCATTCTGCAGATGGTATGGCAAAGGACAAATTGATCCCTTAGTGGCATCAGTTCTGGAGATACTGGATTTTCTTCAACACGGATTGGACAGAGGACTGTCTCCCAATATGCTTTGGGGACAGGTGGCAGCCTTATCCACAGTTTTGTCCTGTGAGAATAGGCAATCCCTCACGCACCATCCCACAATTCGCTGGTTGAAAGCCTGTATTGCAAAGGCTTATGAACTAAAAGCAAGACCCGTTCCTAGACGAATTACGGCTCATTCCACTCGGAGTGCAGCTACTACAGCCACATGGGCCATGCAAGCTCCGATCGAGGACCTTTGCAGAGCGGCAACCTGGTCATCCCCATCACCATTTATCCGTCATTACAAACGACATGTTTGCCACGGCTGAAGTATGGAGAGTACTTCAGTGAGTTTATTCCACTGTGGGGGCCTGGGACCAGCTGGTCTCCAGTCCTTAGTTCCTTAAGCTTGGGTATATCCCAATGCCTGGATTCTCCAAGCAGCGCACTGGAGAAAGGATGTTGGTCTTACCTGACACGTCTCTTCTCCGTGCGCTGTGGGAGAATCCAACTTCGCCCTGCCAACTGTCCTGGTCCAGGGGTCCGGGGTGAAATTCATCATCACCAAGACCATGTGCACTTCACAGCCATGCCTTTGTCGAAAAACTGGAGCTCAGCCGAGCAGAGGAGGTGTGGCCAAGAAAGTTCTAGCAACTCAGTCTCTGGCAATAGGATCGAAGATAACCCAATGCTTGGATTCTCCTGCAGCGCACTGAGAAGAGACGTGTCAGGTAAGACCAACATCCTATTCAACCAAGAGCTCGATGTGTCTTGTTAATTATAGTTAGTAACTTTAAGAGCAAAACATTTATATAAGATAAATAAAGAAGATATTTGATCTAGGAGCAGGTACTGATTTGTGTTCTTGCCTTGATTACTTGCAGGTCTGTTTTGACTTGGCCAGATGTTTGTTTTCACTCTTACTAATGATCCAAACATCCTATATGTGAGAAACGGCAATAGGTGTTTGGCTCTTAGCTCTGCAGGCCAAGGTTTAAGATTGTGTCTTGATCACACAAAAAGAGGAACAGATTTTTAAGTCTGTTACCTTTGGTGTAACACACTTTGTCAGTTATAAATAGGGTAGATTTTCTTGGACTACTTCTCACAACCCCTCCATTTATTCCAGTGATCAGATAGTAAGCCTATTATAAAGAAGGCTTCACTGAGAAATGGCAAAAATAAGATGCTTTACGTTTCCAGTAAGATCTGGACAATCCTAGTCAGTATCTGGAAATTATCTTTTATAGCAATTTCTCATATGAACAAGTGGTGTCACATTATTCAGATTACCGGAATATTGTTCAAGTCTTGAATGGGGTAATTCAAAGGTTTTGCTTTCCAAGTTTATGCATCTTTTGTTTTGTGGTCCTGGTATCATTTGATTGATTAAATGGCTCAGGATATTTAACTGAGACTAAATATTGTTTTTTAAAATACAAAATCAGATTTCGGATAGAATGGTGAAATGATGTACACATTTATTTATTTGTTTGTTTGTTTGGTTGGTTGGTTGGTTTGTTCAACTTGTATGTAGCCTTTCTCCGAAGACTCAAGGTGGCTTACAATGCATTTAAAAGCCATATATAAAAACATTAAAAATTAAAACATTAAAAACAATTAAAACCCATTCACACCATTCATGGCCAGATCTCGCCAGAGTGCAACAGCGGGATCAACAGCCCCAGGCCTGCCGGAAAAGCCAGGTCTTCACCGCTTTTCGGAAGGCCAATAGGGTGGGGATGGTCCGGATCTCAAGAGGTAACTGGTTCCAGAGAGCTGGGGCAGCCACAGAGAAGGCCCTCCCCCACGGGCTCGCCAGCCGGCATTGTTTAGCTGACGGGACCCGGAGGAGACCAACTCTGTGGGATCTTACCGGTCGCTGGGAGCTATGCGGTAGAAGGCGGTAGAAGGTTTATACTTTTCTTATTTCAGTTTGTCTTCCTCCGCAAAGTGTCTTTAGTATAATTTCAGAGATAACTTTGAAATCTTGAAAGTTACTTTGAGGTAAAATGGGCAGCCTACACATTTTATAAATCAATCAATCAATCAATAACTTTTTGATCCCTCATAAATCCCCACAAGCTTTCTTAGAAAATAAGATTGGTTGCTGCTTATGCTTTGTTTGGAAATGTACTCATCTGCCTAGAAAATGAAAGTAAACAGGGGTAATAGGTAGCATTTTGTGAGGCAGATAACTTTGCCAGTAATCAATGAATGGAGAAACCCCTCAGTAGCTCTTTTGCTTCAACATCCACAGTATGACCTCAGAATTATAAATATGTCCACAAGATTGAAAATGGAATGTAGAACAACAGAATGAAGAAATAAAGCTACATTTTCCCCTGTTATCTCTTGGCTCTATTTTTGTTCCTTGGACTGAATTCACGTTTTGAAAGGCTGCAATAATTTTTTGGAGAGAGAGATATAAGGCCCTTAACAATCTTTCATTTTTTTGTAGGTCCTGATATAGTCTGCAGCTGGTGGTCATCAACAATCACAATGATAATCAGCTGGCTCAAGGGTGATGATACAGCTGTGAAATCTCAGTTTATCAACGTGGAACGAATTCCTAAATGCTTGGAGATGATGGAGTGTGTGGTCTTTTATATTATTTGCACAATTGTGTATCTGAAATCTAAAAGGGACATAATAAAATAGAAAGTTTCCTAATCTTTAACTTTGATCTCCCATAAACATATCACAAATCTCTCTTGGGTATCATGAAACTAAATTATAACTTGTTTTTTTCCAAATAGTTTCTAAATTAACTTTTCAGAATTGGGTATCCCAAGTTTGCCTAGAAGTAGTGGATGCAAAATATCAGTCTAGAAATCTACTATACTAGTTTGTACATCATTATCTAGTGATAATTCATTTATAGGGCTCATTTTAGCACTTTTATGGGGAGAATATATACCAAAGCAGTTATATAGCAAAGTATCTGGAAATACATTTTTAAAAAAGGGCTGCTTGAAGCCATGAAAGTCAGCTTGGTTACCTTGGACCAGTTTCTTCTCTCAGTCCCAACTCATCTCAGGGTTGTTGTTGTGTAGAATATAGGAGGAGGTAGGTATGTTGGATATTTTCCCCACCTTGTATTATTTGTAAAAATAATGAAGGCGGAATACAAACAAATCTACTGTTCATAAAACTTAAAAGACATTAATCATCTTCCTTGCTCTGTCTCTCCTCCCCCCTCTATGCCTCTAGGAATGCCCTTGTGCGAGCTATCTTCCATGTATGCAAAGCCATGAATGTGTTGTTGTCTAGCAAGGCAGATGGGCAGCACAGTTCATTTAGTCATTGTGAAAGAGCTAGCACTCATCTCTGGAATAGTCTCAACGTGAGAAGTGGGGTCTCAAGCACAAGTCTCAACAATGTAAGTCGTGCATACTCACTTGAACTAAGGTAACAAACCGTTTTCTTAATGTATATGGGTTTTGTTAAATGTCTTTGAGACTGAAAGTCTAGTTTCTTCTTACCCACCCATGAAAAAATGAAGAGTCTTCTTCCTTCTTTTGTCTTCCTCCAGTGCAGCAAATACAGCTGCATTGTACCTATTTCCAAAGGAAAGGCAGTCGGGATAACATCTGTTCACAGTTCATTAGCTCTGCCCAAATAACAGGACAAGTGCTTGCTTGACCCATTCCTTTTTCTCTTGAATTGTACATCCTAAATGAATTATTTTCACCAAAGGATAAGGATACTGATTTCCATAGCTAAGAACGGTTCTCTATTTTTGCATCATGAAATTGGTTTTCTTCCTATCTTTATATTTAATACTAAGTGCACTTTGAGTTTCGTAAGCATGGAGGTTTGTTAAACTCAGATTCTTTGTTTATACCTGTTGGGTGGCAACTGTAGTGCATTGTAGTTGCATTGCATGTTCTGGAAATACTCATGCAATGTTTCTGCAGTGCAGTTCAGAGGCCTGCCTGATCTCTGCACTACAAGTCAAGTCTCCTGAGCCTTGGTTTTCAAAGTTTTTGTTGGTATGGGAAGGAATTCTTAGGAACTTTATATAAAGTGGATCAAGAGCAGAGGTGGGTTTCACATATTTTTATCACCAATTCGCTGGCGTGCACCTTCCGTGCATGCACCCAGCCTTCTGTGCATGTGCTTTGCTCATAAGTGTGCCTTCTGCACATGCGCCGGCCACGAAAATGTGGCTAAATAGGACAGCATAGCGCTGGGTCGGGTGGGCAGGCCTACCCGTGATCTCCGCTACCTGTTCGCCTGAACCGGTCCAAACCGGCTGAATACTACCACAGATCAAGAGGCCAAGGTAACTGGTAACAGTAACAGAGTTGGAAGGGACCTTGGAGGTCATCTTGCAGGGTTGGTGAATTAAATATCAGTGAAATAAGGATTACTGTACCCCCAAAAAGAGACCAAGTGCAAGAAATAACATGTAGAGTCAATACTGTAGATTGAAAGGGCTCAGGAAAGCAACCCAAAGAATACCAGGCAAAGAAAAGGTAAACATATAACTGTTGTACTGTATTTAACACTTTGCTTATGGCTTGTATTTTGAAAGAAGAAATTAATCAAATTGTATGCTTCTTATAAAGCTTTATTTTACCATCAGATAATGTGCAACAATTTAGTTCTGTGAACACTGATGCCATTTTTATTTTGATCCAACATTATATTGCTTTCTGTTTCTGGGGAATTATTGGGTCAAGTGCACATTCTTTAGGATAAGTTTTCAATATATGCACAAATAAATCAATTTTTCAGTTGTCTCTTGTTAATGCAATTCAAGATGAACACAATGTGGTTTCACTATATTCTAATTTCACAAAGCAACAGGAAACAAAAATTTGTTAACAAATGATTAAGCAATGATATATGTATTATAAAGAAGTTTAATATTTGGTGGCAATGTCTTTGAGATATCTTCTTAGATGTAAAATGGATTAGATTTTTTTAATAATACAATTGAAGATACTGGTTTTCTGTCTTTAAATCTGAGCTTAAATCTTTTTTGACTGGGGAATAGGGTGCTCCTTTGATTGGGGATTTGGAATTTAAGGACTGGCCTTGGTGAAAGGCCTCTTCGATTTTTATGTTGCATATTGCTTAATTTTATTTGATTTAAGTAGTTATATACTGTTAATGGGTTTTATAGGGTCTATTTTATCTATTATTTTTGTAAATAGGGTTATCTAATTCCTTTAGAGTTGTCTAGGTTTTTAATATGGCTGTTTATTTTTTTATATACTAATCTAACATACTTTTTAATTCCTGTTTATTGTTTAGTTTTTATAATAAATATATTTTTACTGTAATGCAACAGTATATAGTAATGATAATGGCTATTAAAAACTGTGCATTTTGGTAACTTGGACATGGCTTTTGGGATTCCTGGGCCATATGTACTTGTTCAAAACTGACTGTGACCATCAGAAATTTTCAAGCAGAGTTACTGCAGCCCTCATCCCCCACCATTATTGTTCTTTGAATACTTTTGTATTCTTGTTGCTGAATGAGACTCTGTCTCTTTAGATGATCCAGCTGCTAGCTTGCGATCTACTGTTGTCTCTCCGTACCACTCTGTGGCAGAAACAGACAAATGCTAGTCTAGCTTTGGGAGACACGCACCATGCTTCTGCTTCTGAGCTGACTGGCTTCCAGCGTGATCTTGGCAGCCTGCGAAAACTAGCAAATAGCTTCAGGCTCGCTTACCGAAAGGTAAGAATCTGTGATATTGGAAACCCTCTGTGGACTTTTTGCTAAAAATGGATGATAAGGAACTGGTAATTTCTGGATTTATCTATTAAAAAGGACTGTATATGGGGAGGAGGGAACTGTTATATAATCTTGAAAGAAGGAAATAATATTAAGTAGATTGGAAACCGCTTCTTTTAGTCTTTTTTTTCTTGTCTTTGTGTTTGTGTTTGTAAACACTTTTTCCTTTTTTTTTTCTTATTTTTCTTTGTATTTGTCTTTTAACTTGGGAAAAAATTCAGATAGATAGGCAGGCAGGCAGGCAGGCAGACAAACATGTTTGTGTAAGAATCTGTGAATGGTATTGAGAGAACTTCAGGGTGAGAAAATGTTGGCTTTCTTCATATTTGCATATTTGTTTTCTTCTGAGTGCCTGCATGGTATTGTAAGCCAGAAGAACAAATTGCTCTGCCAGAATCTGTTTTACATAAATATTTTAACATTGTTTGCAGTATTTATTATCACATATTTTCTTCTGGATATACTTCTACTATTGTAAGCTTTGCTCATGATACTTAAGTGTGCACGAAATGATGAGGATTAGGATGCTTTGTGAAAGTTAAAACATTTCACTTTATTTTACATCCTTAAAACAATTCTATAATTATAATTGTGTGTGTGTGTCTGTGTGCGCACATGCTTTGTTCCACCCCATAAGGCTTATTTTTGTGATATAGTTGTGATATGAACTGAGAATTTCCTAGCTTTCTACTCTTTCTACATTGGTTTAAACCAGAAAGCGGCTAAGAGGATAAAGTGGCCATTAAAATACTCTTAAGAAAGGAAGATAGTGCTTTTAAAAGTTTGCTGTAGGGCTCACCATTTATTTCCCCTCACTCCCCAAGGGAATAAATTGCAACCCAGATTCTTCTGTCTTCTCAGCATGAGCTGTTTAGAGGCCAGCTAAGTCAGCCTTGCACCTGTATCAGGCCATCTGCCAAGGGAGAGTTGGACAATTCATTGGCTGTGCAATTTTAATGGCCACTAGATGTCAGCAGAGATATACAGAACATAAAGACTTTGCCACCATTTTGTGTTTGTCCAGATTTTTGCAGCTCTGCTATGGTAATTCTGCGGGAGGGAATATAAAAACAGAACAGACAAAATATACAGAGAGTAGGTGAATCTTCCAAGAGGATGAAGGTGGATAAAAGACAAACTTTAAAATCTATAAAATGTCCATCACAGTTTTGGACATCTGGCCAACATCTAAGAAATGATAGTTTGAAGTCTGCCTGCTAAAGTCAGCTCCATGGCATTTCCATTTTTTTCTAATTTTCTAGGTTTTTCTTCATGAGGCCACTGTCCGCTTGATGGCAGGAGCCAGCCCCACACGTACTCATCAGCTGCTTGAGCATAGTCTCAGACGTCGGACCCCACAGAGTACCAAGCAAGGTCAGTAGGTTCTTGTGCTATTCTCTTTCTTACCTGCTAAACAGAAGGAGATATAATGGGATCAACTGCTCATAAGATTTAGAGAAGTGGGAACTGATAATGGGAAACATATCTTCCTTCGTAGATTTTAGGAATTCACATATTTAAACATACTAGAACAACAACAACAAATATTAATGTTTCTGTGGGTTATGCCTAATTGTAAAGTGCTTATTAAAAGGACAAGGCTGCTACATTTGGAAAGTTGGCTGATCTCAGTTTGGTCTTAATTTCTAGTTGACCTATGCTTTTTTTTGAGAGATGTAGATAAGAGGCACCTAATGCTTGAAGCCTGAATTATTCTTGGATGTATAATATATAATATAGAATACTGTTTTTGTATTTTTACACTCAGAACCATGGATGGATGGATGGATGGATGGATGGATGGATGGATGGATGGATGGATGGATGGATAGATAGAAGCATATATAGCTTTGTTTTGTGATGTGTTTTTTTTTGTTCTGTGCCCAAAGAAATCTCTCTGTTCTCAAGTATTCCATTATACCACAAAAGAAGAGCTCCTATATTAGTTTCATGCAGTAGTATTTTTAGCTGGGTGAGATGCTATAATTTGACTTTTAAAATATTACCCCTTTTACCAATTTTGACATTAAAAACAAGGGACTTATGCCAAGTACCATTGTTTTTAGTAACTACAATATTCAGCCTACATTGAGTTTTGTTTCAACAAATGGAACACTTGAGCATTCAGAGTTTTGTTATCAGAATTCAACAAAACTGGAATGTTCTAGCAGAAAATTTGAGGTGGAGCCAGTGTATTTATTATTTCAGTAACTTCTACAATACATTTATTGCTTAAAAACATTAATTACATATTCATTACTAAGATTTTTATTGTTAGTTTTTTCTTTTCATATTTAGGTGAGTTGGATGTTCTTCCTGGACAAAGAGAACGAGCTACAGCAATTCTATTAGCCTGCCGCTACCTCCCGCTGTCTTTTCTGTCATCTCCGGGCCAGCGTGCTGTCCTGCTGGCAGAAGCAGCTCGAACACTGGAGAAGGTTGGCGACATGCGTTCCTGCAATGACTGTCAGCAGATGATTGTGAAACTAAGTGGTGGCACAGCTATTGCTGCTTCCTAACTCTAGAGGAATAGTTTCATCAGACATTGAATGAATTCTTGTCCCATTCTCTTCCTTTTTCTTAAAAACCCTTCCAGATTTGTGCAAGTTTCATTATACTAATAGGAGACAGTGACTTGGTGTATAGCAAGTGGCGAATTATTTGCCTCCAAGCAAAAAGATTGTTCATGCTGGTGCTAGAAAGTTCTTTTTTCCCCTGGCAGAAACTGATATCTTGGACTGGTTAACTAGGATGTCTTTGAAAGAGGAATTTGATTTTCCTTTTTACAAAACAATCTCTTTTGAAAACATCTTTGGGGGAAGGAGTTAGTAAAAAATGAAAAAATTGTTACAAAGTCTCATTTGATGGCATTTGCAATGGTTCTTGGTCCAGTAATATATAGATTCAAAGAAGATAGGATTGTGTTTATCTTCTTTTCTCCTCAGTATATGTTTGTCCTACTTACTGATACCTTCCTAGAAAATAGAAGCTTTAGGAGGTCAGGCCAGTTCTGTAGAGAAGTGCATTATGGTTTTTATGCTATTTGGGTTACAGTTATTTATATTTTATAACTTTGCAAACTATAAAAATACCAGTTTCTTTTTGTCTCATATTCTTCATCTCATTCTGTATCTCTTCTTTCTGTAGTCTTTCGTAAACTGATGATGATCAGAATGATAGAAACCGTAATTTCAATCAATCAATTAATCAATTTTTATTCAGTCATAGACCAGCAAATAAAACAAGAAAAATTGCAATTAATTAGGATAAAAAGAAAAAAAAATCTTAAGGATTAGGAAAACAAACCTGATGTACTGTTCAAACTATAAAACAGTACTTAGCTGTAAAGAAGTAAAATCAGATTGATGTGATAATAGTAAAACAAGTTAAAACAAATCAGAACAATCCAGAAGCTTAATAAAGAATAGACATAATAATTCCTGGTGAACATTTCGTAGAGGAGACAATACAAAATAACTTGTTCCATATTTCAGTTGTTCCTTCACAGCATGGACAAATCTATGTTTGAAGAGGATTTTTTAAGTGTCTCCCTTCAGTAACAACTATTGGAAGGACAGTGAATCTGGCCAAGGATAAAGCCCTTCTAAATTTTGGAATTATGTGACTAAGGTATATCACTGGTTGAAGAAGATATGAGAAACTATAACATTTAAATCAGCAGGTTGTAGAAAACTGGTATATAGCATCATTGTAAGGCCAGGAATTGAATCTTCCTTTTATATATTCTTCCTGATAGGGAAAACAAGGAAAAATAAAAACAACTAAAAGCATTAATTAAAAAATGGTTAAGTAAACATTAACATCTTTTCCAGCATTGTTTTACTGAAGGAAATCCCACCTTCAATCACTTTGGAAAGAGATTTTGAGCAAGATGAAATGTGGACAAGGATGAAATGATCCTCCTCAAGACATTGATTTAGATGCCTGCTTGTTATAAACAAAGAGGTAGCTAAACTAGCCATACTTTTAGATCATATGGATAATCATCTAGCTTGACCCTCAAAAAATACAGATCCCCCCCCCCTGAAGCTGTTTATATCCACGTAAGATTTACCACCTAGTGATAAATATTAGTTCCATATTCACCAACTGGTAGTAAGATAGCTATACTACCAACTGAAGTGACACTTACGTTCTTTCCCACAATTTTTGGGAGCATTGTAACGTATATGTATAGAATGGATGAAGTATTTTAGTGTTAAAGGAAACAAAGTACAGCTCAACGTTCTCTGGTAGAATCACACAAATTTTATATTATATGGAACTCTAAGGTCCGCAAACCATGTTTTTCTCCTTCTTTGCTTTTTTTTTTTTTTAGTCTTTCATTGCATTGATCTAAATTTCAATAGAAGCTCCTATTTAATGGCACATACAGAAGAGCAATTTGGAAATTCACCAACTTTAATTATTATTCCTTGAAATAATGAGATTGGTGATCCTTGGCTGCATAGGTAGGATTCTCAATAATTAAAAGTCTTTTAAACTTCTCAATAATGACAGGTCTTTTAAACTTTCTATTCCGATGCCCCCAAATGTGAAGCTGTGGTGGTAAAGAAATTTTAAATATTGCTATTTCATAGTTAGAGTTCAAATACATCTCGATAAGAGATGCAAATCATGCTGATGATACAGTTTTAATGCTCCATAGTTAACCAGAAACAGATTCCACACAAAGGCCTTGACTTACATCTTGAAGGTCTGTTCTCAGTCAACCTGCATTTATTGAAATGTAAAATTTTAATGCAATTTTCCTGTTTCTCCCTAACATATGTGAGTGGATGTGTTTGGTTTGTATATCCTGCCCCATTCTGGTACATGGTGAAATTTAATATTTGACCATGCTATTTGAAAAAAGTTTTGGTATTGCTGGTTTCCTTGATGGAAGTGTATTTAAGTTTGTATTTCTTACAACTGATATGCATACTGCAATTCTGCCTGCTTCTCTTGTAAACGTAGGTAGCCAGAATAAGTGTCCCAGGGTGCTGCTGATTCAGAGGTACATTTAAATTGGCAGGCTGAATAAAGTATCATTCCATTCACTAAGACAGATCTTAATGATGGCATTCTCAACGCAGGTAGCAGCTAAGTAGGAAAAATAATAAACTTATTGGGACTGAGGAGATTAGAGGTCATTGCTAATTTATGCCCCCAACTGCTGTTACATCCATGCACATTTTGCTTTATTATAAAACAAAATAATCAGCCCAGGAGTAACACAAAGACAGTGTGAATTCTTAAAGAGTCTAACTGATTGATTAAGTAGGCTTGAACTTGCAAATGCTTCCATCTGGGCGCTCTCAGGGCAAATAATTCAATATAATTAATTTGTAAAAAAATGTAAAAAATACCCATCTCTTTCTGAGCATTTCATGGTTTCTTGAATTTGAAACATTGAAAGTAGTTTATTTTTGTTAAAAGAGCAAATGGCCATTACAATATAAAAATTTCATATTAATCAGTCAATTGGATGGAGATGGGTGGCTATAAAAATAGAATAATTAAATAAATATTGCACAGCCATAAGAATGAGGTTACTGTCTTGTTTAAATTACAATTACATAGATGTGATCTCTACAAAGAAATCTACCTTCTTGCATATTTTTGGCAGTTTTATATACTTAATGTATTTATGGAACTGTTCCTCCTAATCTAGCCCTATATATGTTTTGTGTATATAATGGTAACTTTTCTGTTTTTATATGAATTGAAAAGTGTCTTTTTATCCCAATAAAATTAGAAAAATAGATGCTTTGATACATGAAGATGTAGCGGGTGGTGATGTCAGGAGATGAGAGTGTCTGTTATTCCCAGTTGTGACCTTTTGGTATGGATCATTATGTAATTTATCTAATAAAGACAAAATTTAACTCAGGGTCTGATATTATTGTCAACAAACTGTCTTTATAGTTATATAGAAAAAATGTCCAAAAAATATATCTCCCACAAAAGGTATTTGTTCATTGATTGCAATATATAAATAATAGTGATTCTAGGCAACATCAAAATGCTGTGGTGCCTATAGATGGACTTTATTGTTTATTCAACCATTCTGAAGGATTTGGAGCCAAAAACAATTGAAAGAACTATGGCCAAAATGTTTATGGCCAATAGAAATATAAAGTATTATGTGCGTTTGAGGTGAAAGGTAATTTTATATTAACTAAGATGAATAGACATCAGAGGTGCATGTGGCATTACTTTTGCAAAGAATGGATGTCTTTGATGGATGTCTTTGAAGCTTAGCTGTTAATTGTGGAGGGGCTGTTAACTTGTTGAATTTATTTCCTTGTTTAAGGAAATAAATTTCCTTAATTTATTTTAAGGATAAATAAATTTTATCCTTAAATAAGGATAAAATTTTTCCTTATTTATCCTTAGTTGTCTCTGGCTCTAATTTTCACCTAATTTCCAGCTAGCTCAGTTCCTAATTTTCCTTCCCTTCTTTTTACCTCATTTTTTTTCTATTCTTTGTTGTTTCTGCTAGGAGGAGAAAGCAGCATGAATGTGTATGTATATATATGTATATATATGTGTGTGTACATATATATGTGTGTATATATATATATATGTATATATATATATATATATACATACATTCACATACATGCTGTATATGTATATATTTATATGTTTCTCTGCATGTGTGTATGAGAGAGTGATTGGCTTGTACATATAAGAATCATTAATTTTGTAAATATGGTTCCTTATTAACAAGCAACTCAGTTCAGTTATAGGTAATTGTGAGAAAGAGGAGCGAAACTGAAGTTGCTGTCTACATTTGAGAAAAGCAGCTGGGCTCATTTCTCCCTCATACAAATTCATAGTTTGCTGTGGAAAACAATCCACTCAGAAGCACCCACGTTGGGGTTCCAGCTGGCTGGTTAATTGAGCCACACCCTGGCATTTTTAGGATCATGCTGACATCCATGGGCAACATCATCTCATCCAGACCTTCAGCCTACAAAATGTGGATGTGTAGGAGAAAATAGGATAAGGAGAAGACAGCAAGCAGATGAGGAAGAGGAAAGCCAGCTCCAGGCTTTTATAACCATTACAGGTAAGCAAGAGGGATGTCAGTCAACTTCCAGGAACACAATCTATGGTAAACAACCCGTTGTGTGATTCCTGTCTGGAGCGTGGCTTGAGACCTCGGCTGTAGTGCTCAGTAGCAACATGGCTTAGGAGCTTGGCTGCAACCAGAACAGGAACAACCATGGTGAGGCAGGACCTAATTCCACAAATGCAAGAACCTTTGGAGGGAGGGAAAGATTGTATGCTGCTTGCCATTTAAGACTTTTACCAGTTGAGGATAGAGCACCAAAGATTTAATTACATGGCTACATTGATTTATTTATTGATAGATTAAATTTCTTTGCCACCCATCTCATTTCAAAGTGACTCTTGCAAAACAGGAGGGTGGAATTAACCCAGGGCACTAGCCTATTATGGAAGGTGTTGGCTGTCATAAAGCATTGTGTCTAGTTACCTTCTAGTGCAGTTCTTAGAAAATAATCCTCACAATATGTATTTTTTCCTAATCCTGCCCTGCTTTTTGGAGGTATGGTTTTAGCAGAGAGAGAAATAGATATATACACAACGTACACATAAACGTGCACACTTATATGTGTGGCACATGGAAGCATTTATTAGGCAGGAGGAGAATTTTTAGGAGAATTTTAACATTTGGCAATGGTAATTTGACATATATGGTAAGTACACTGTAGTTGAGTTGAGCCTAGTTTTTTTTCCTGCCACTTCTACCTTTTTTGGTCTGTGTTGAGGTACTATCTTAAAATCGGTTATCTTTTTGATAAATGTGATACTTGTTTAAGAATAGTTATATAATGCAAGTGTTACTTTCTTCCTCTCCTGTAGTGTATCACTGCTTAGGAATACTGTTCGATGCAATGTTTCTCAAACTCAGCAATTTATAAGATTTGTGGACTTCAATTCAGTGTGGTGGCTGGAAAATTCTGGGAGTTGTGTATTTGTATTCCCTTTATGTATCAGGATACTATATAAAATGGGCCTTTACTGTAGCCAACTTGCTGGAATAAGAAAGATTTAACTTTACCTTTATATATGACAATTCTTAAGGATTCTGTGCTAGGAAAACTCCCAACATCCCCCCACCCCCATATTGCCTGCTGTCTATAAATACTGTAGAACAGCATACTATGAAGTGTCTGGATTTGAAATGAAATAAGTTGAAATGTGAGAGAAAACCTTTGCCTATTAAACTTCAATTTTATTATTGCTTCATCTTGGTTATTGGAATTTTATGTCAAGACTAATTTTTCAGCATATTTAGGCAACGATAGCGGAGCTGTGTTTTAGTTATAGTTTGGAAACGGAGTGAATGGCTTGTTTTATTCAGAAACATGATCAAGAGGAAATTATAAAGATGAGCCTCAGTGAATTTGGGAATTCAACGGTAATATTAATTTCCTTGTTCTCTGTATATACAGCTATCGTGTATAGAAGGGTCAATTTTTTTCTGTATTTTACTTCTCTATTGACCAGCAGAGGGCAGAAATACCACAGCAAAATATATTCAATAGAATCCACCATTCAACATTCTCAACATACTGCTAAGAATGTATGTTGGCTCTGAGAACATTTGCTAACGTATGATGGGCATATGGCATATAGAAAGTTCCTCTGTAAGAATATTCCTTACTGTAATTCTTGCCCAATGCCCATTTAGTCTATTAATAGCCTTTCATATTTAATAATAAATTTCCCACTTTGTTGCTGGGCTTATGTTCTTTTCGGATGGGTGTCAAACTCAAGGCCCGTGGGTCAGATTTGGTCCGCATGGTGCTTAGATACTGCCCGCAGGACCACCCTCGAAATAAAGAGGGACTGGCCCACGTTGCCTCTGCCAGTGAAAACAGAGCTTGGGACCTCCTGAGCTGTGTTTTCTCTGGCAGAGGGTTGCAGGAGGCCGTTGCAGCCGAAAATGGAGCTCGGGAGCCCGTTTTTGCTGGCAGAGCACTCGGGTCACCACAGGCGCCCCCAACATGAGTGATGTTGAGCTGGCCACGCCCATCCTAGCCACACCCACTCCAGTCCCCCAAGGTCAAACAGAACCTTGATGCGGCCCTCAATGAAATTGAGTTAGACACCCCTGTTTTAGGAGGATAAATACAGAAAAATAATACCTCAAATATGTCAATTTGATGGCAAGAAATGGGGCTGTGGGAAAAGGATAGAGGCTGACAAAGGATCTAAATGTCACCTTTGAAAGAATGAACATTTCTATTAGTGAGGATTGTTATATATATTACATGCCCTTTATACTGTACCTAAAATGTGCCTTAAAGTTTCAAAAATGGAATATAAACAATTGCAGTCTTTTAGTGTAATTAAGGAAGATATTTCATGGGAAATTATAATGAAGATTAGCAACAATCATATGAAAATGAAATTAAACAGGAAGGACTTCAGTTGCTTTATTAGTTATATCTGTTTGAGGGTACTTCTCTGTATAAAAAGCTACTCAAACAAACGATGGAAACTAATCAAGGAGAAAATCAACCTAGAACTAAGGAGAAATGCCCTGACAGTTAAAAGAATTAATCAGTGGAATGACTTGCCTCCAAAAATTGTGGGTTTTTAAGGAGGTTTAAGGAGGTTTTTAAGAAGAGATTGGACAACCATTTGTCTGAAATGATATAGGGCTTCCTGCCTGAGCAGGGGTTTGGACTAGAAAACCTCCAAGGTTCCTTCCAATTCTGTTATTCTGTTATAATAACTCACAGCTCTATAACTACAATTTAGAAAGTTATTTAATTTATATGAAAATATTTATTCTGAAACTTCAGGCATTTGAACACCAAGCTGCTTTAGTGTACTTTAAGAAATGGTTTGTCCAGGACTATGCAGTTGCTAAAAAAAGCAATTTATGACACTTTTATTTGCCACAAAATAAAATCTACAATTACCAACAATGATGTTCATAATTAAGGAAAAAGGGATTACAAAACCCTTTGGAAAAAGAAGAAAAGAAGTGCTCTGGCAACAGCTGATTGTAGCTGATAAAACACTTGTCATTCTTCTAATTTTGTCCCACCTGGTTTGCTGCATACCTGTGGGGCATGGAGTTATACATTACATTCAGAGGTCAAGAAACATTCATATCGTGGTCCTTTAATCACATTCCTCACTTTTTAGGCAAACAAACAGTTACCATTGACAGAGAAGTCTTCAACACCAAAGCTCAAAAGCATAAAAATACTCTTCCTAGCCTGCTTCTTAAAGTCCAACTTTCACTTCCATAGAACGTCACAAGGAATGCCATGGCTTACATGATTCTGATCTTTGTAGGTATAGAAGATAGAGCATATAGGGATACAAAATACCCTAATCCAAATTTCAAAACTATCCATTTATCCTTAACCCGCCTTAAGTATTAATGGATTTTTTAAGAACTTGAATACAATCAGGTAAGTGATTTAAAAAAATTATAGGTTCCTTACCTTGTACATTTTATTCAGACTCCTGGAGAAGGCTAACTGAGGTTTTGTGAAAAAAATTCCAAGCCACCAGATGGCTTTTGTATTTTAAAGCTACTTAATTGCAAAATTGTGACATTCTTGTAAATATTTACAAGAATTGATCAGAATCAGTCATGTAATTTTTACTTTAAAAAAGTATCAGAATACTCACTTCGATTACATATTTCTATTAACCTGTGCTTTTTTTACAACCGTGCTTTAATTTGCATTTTGGTCTGAAACCACAATGAAATGTTCCTAAATTTTTCAAATTTACTTTTTAAAAAAAATCCACATGTGTTTAGCTAATCCTTCATCTTCTTTATTTCTAAGCTTATTGCTGGGCTATCCAGAGAGGACACTAGGCCAAGAAAGGAAGAAAGTTTGGGGTGTCAATTTAATATTGGAGGACATTTGACCAAACTGAAAGGACTGAGAACAGAATTGAGAGAAAGAGGCCATAACATTGAAGATATTCAAATGATCAGCATCATTATTAACTCTTTGAATTATGAATGGAAAGATGCTGTTACAAAAATTAACCAAGTCCCAATTGCTCAACGCACAGTGGACAATGTCTGTAGGCTTTTAATTGAAGAAGAGGCATTCATGTTGGCCACGCCACATTTGAGAGGACCATTGCTGAGCACATTGTAAGCCGCCCTGAGTCTTCGGAGAAGGGCGGCATATAAATCAATTAAAAAAAAAAATTACTTTCGATGGGCATAAAATAAGACTTCCTTATAAATTAAATAATATATATTATAAATTATTTTCTATATCTAATGTAAAACCCACATCTAATGCTTGGTTCAACCATAAACTAATGTTTTCCCAGGAAACAAATTGTAATGGTTGTTAAACTGGCTGCAAACAATTACTTCATGAAGTTGGAGATCTTTTGAACCTACAAAGACTTTTATTCTCTCCCTCCTTTCAGTCTATTAAGAGGTTCTGCACAAAAACCTATGAGATAAATCAGAATGTCTTTTAACTATCCATCAAAAGCCAGAATTAAGCAGATGACTTCTCAAAGTTGTTGACTGACAACAGTAGTACATATAATTATTTTTGAAATAATGATTTGTGTATAGGACTACCTAGTCCATGAGCCAATCTGTCAGAGTGATCCTCCCCAAAAAAAGCTATTAGTTGAAGCCAGGAAATAAAGATTTTCTCCCATTGAACCTGTTCTATGGAACAGTCTCCACCTAAAACTTAGAGTGATACCCATGGTTGGGGCCTTCTGGAAGGCAGTTAATGAACTATTCTGTAGGGCCTTTGGGAATTGATTGCTTTCCACCATAATTTACATTTAGTATTTATTTTCTATTTCATTATGTTGTCATAGATTGTGGTAGAATTTACTGTGGTTTATTTCTGTTATGTTTTATTACTGTTGTAAGCTGCCAGGCCCTTGCCATTCATCCCCAAATATATTTATCCCCTTTCTGGAATTTTTGTCAGTGGATGTTACATTTAATGTTAGTTCTACCATATTGAATCAGGTGGGTGTGGGTGGGCAGGGATCAGTATATCTCTCTGCTCAACTTCTGCCCCACAATTCATTTTTCATGAATGGAACCGGTTTAGACTAGCAGGTGAATTGTGTTTCAGTGCTGGTATGACAGAACAGGGCCTTTCCCTGCTCTTAAGAAAAGCAGACTAGATTAGAAATTGTGATTAACTGACATTTGGCCACCTTTGCTTCCACCCTCCCTCCAATTGCTGATTGAGCTAATGTTGATGATGTGATCTCCATATCACTTGGTCTGCATCAGTGGTGGGATTCAAATAATTTAACAACCAGTTCTCTGCCGTAATGACCAGCTGGATACGCATGGCTCGGTGGTCATGTGACCGTGTGGGCATGGCCAACTCAACATCACTCATGTCGATAGGCGCTTCGCCTTAGCTGTTACGATGTAATAAGGGTTAACCAGAGAGGCAGTTTCTGTAAGCAGGGCAATAAAGATTAGGCTAGAAACAACACCAGAATGTTTCCTTCCTGCCTTCCTTACAGGATTAGTAAAGTGGAAGAAAACCAAAATAAGATTTTTTTTAACAACCGGTTCTCTGAACTGCTTAGAAAGTTAACAACCGGTTCTCCCGAATAGGTGCGAACTGGCTGAATCCCACCACTGGTCTGCATGGAAGTTTAATTTGTTAGAAATTTTTATCTCAGTTTGTTGATAGTTATTTGAAGGAATTGCCAATTCTGGCTTTATATTAATTGCTGAACAGGATTTTGGTACAATTGTACACATGCCTTGGAATTATTAACATACAAAACTATAAAATGGGTAATAATAATAATGATCAAAAGACATTATTGTGTCACACAGATGACACACACATATCCAGCAGTATAGTCTAAAATATAAAACTTCAATTCCAGGTATCAATCATTCTAAAATAGCAGCTATATTGTGAAAATATGAGGTGATGTTTTTGTTGTTTGGAAAGAAATTGGACATCCACAATGATTTAATCGTGAAGTAAAATTCCTAGTGACGTGTCTGTTTGCAGTCAGAGCTTGGAATACTACTCAGAAGCAGAAGTGAATGAGTAGTGGCTGAATTTAAATCACCATGCCACAACTGCACTTAGTTGGTATCTACCACAAGTACGCTTTGGCTGCATCTCAGGGGAAATCAGCATTTGTATTTTAATAGCGGGAACTCGAAAAGATTTTCTTCCATGCTAGAAGATGCATCAGAATATGACTACAATTCCAATTACACATCACCTGGTGGATCATATTGTATCTGATCTGGTGGACCAGAGATCATGAAAAAAGACTCAGTGAAAAGAGCCAGAGTGATATAAAGTGAAGTATGGTGGCTGAAATATCAATATTTTGAATTTGTTACTATACAGCTAATAAATAAATGTTTATATATGGGCAATGGGGAATGACTTACGATGTTACAAATATATGTTCACAAATATGTTTGTTTAAATGATCACACACATGTATTTTGTGATTTAACAAGATGCCATTATGATGCTATTAAATACTTTACATGAATCTCATAATTTTGTGGGAATTATACGTTATGTTCTGCCCAGATCTTTTCAACCCTCTAAAGCATTAAGGGAATGCAAACCATGTTCATTGTATAGAATATGTATATACAAAACCCCATAATGACTTATTAAAATACGATTAAAGCAAACACTATAGAGAGAAAAAGTGAAGCTAAAAATGAAAGAAATGGTATATATTTTCTAACAGTCCTTAATGCTTCCATTTCAGACTTTTTATTTATTTATTTTTATTCATTTATTATTAGATTTGTATCCTGTCTTTGTTTCTCCCAGAAATGTAACCACATAGAAATTTGAGAAGTAATATAATATAGAGTGAATGTCCAAACACAAGGTATCAATTAATTATTGCATGAGTGATTTTTGTCTTTTGTTAGAACATTATAGGAATGTGAAGGGCAAAAATATATTCCCTCTTTTGATGGAGTTCCATGCAGTAACAGAGTCCTGAAGATTTCTCTTGGTATTGATGATTCTGGCATTATATGATGAAAAAGTGAATTAGGAAACAACAGCAGTGCATCAAGCAATAGGGTAGTACAGGCATACTGATTTCACCAAGCACGCTAACCAGGTTTTGTCAAATTGGCCTAATTGAACAGATGAGTTCTGTTACAATTATAGACGATCATCAGCTCTGGCAAGCATTCTACTTTTCTCTATATCTTCTATGTTTCCTTCCAGAATTTAGGAGTGACATTTGAGTGAAGCAACTTCATTCCAAGCTGTCAGGCCCCACTTCACCAATTGCTTCAAAGAGAAGAACATGGGAATGAACAATAAATCCATTCTAGACAGTGACCTCAGTCTTGCTATTAGTGGAAAAAAGCCGTTGTTGCTGCACATAATGAGTGGGGGTTTGGCTGAAGACCTCAGGCAGCTTCTCAATACTGAACTGACGCCTGGTGGCATAAGCTTGTCGTCGAAATTCAGGATGGCTGTGATCCCAGCCCCCTTTGAAGACAGGGCTGCCTGCATTGGTTTTCATCACTTTAGTTTTCTGTCCTGGTGTCCCCAAGCCAATGAGAGCAGTGCCTTCTGGAAAAGGTGGGAGATCATTTCGATGAAGTGTTAAGGGAGAAAATGACAAGGTGCCTGATGATGGCATCTCCACCATGGGAAACCTCTTGTAGAATTCTTCTGGGGCACTTTCTATAGGGGAATATATGGGTGTGGGGAGGGGAGGGGATGAAAAGCAATTATTAAGTCGATAGAGATTCTAGTAGCTTTCCTGATGGCTACCCTCCCTAGCATCTCTATTCTGGTTTTTTTTTGTTTGCCTCTCTTGTTAGTGTCAGAAGAGGGTTAAGACTGTTATAATTAATTTAACCAATAATTAAGTCTTTCAACTTATTTCCAGAAATATGACAGCAGCTACAGCCTGAGCTATTCATGGCAGGCATGCTACAGCTTAGCCACTCATTGCTTAATATGTGTAAAACTTACCCAAAGAGGGAGGGAAAAACCCACATGTACAGGTGCATAATGTAGTGATTAATATGTGTTAAAGAGCAGCTAATAAACATTAAAGTATAATTGGGAACACCTCTTAGTCATTTCCTGGGTATTAAAAACACCCCCACTGCGGTAAGATTAAGAGGCACATACTCTTTGCCCTGTTCAAGCCTTTTTTATGTCTCTAAAATTGTTACATTTTTAGTTCTAGCTGTTGTTGTTTTTTTCTTCCCCTGTAATCAGGGGTGTCTATTTCTTCCCACCTCATCTAATCCTCTCTGACATTAGTGAAAATCAGAAGCTACAACCCAGAATGTCAACAACAATGAGGTGATGTCATCTGGTGCACAACAATGGGGGTGAGCCAGCAGGAAAACAAGGAGCTTCAGCCCAAACACTAAGGCAGTGTTCCAGTTCTCACTGCATTTGGTCCAAATATTCCAATAGCAATAGCACTTAGACTTATACACCACTTCACAGTGCTTTACAGACCTCTCTAAGTGGTTTACAGTCAGCATATTGCCCCCAACAATCTGAGTCTTTATTTTACCAACCTCGGAAGGATGGTAAAGGGTGAATCAACCTTGAGCCCATGAGAATCGAACTGCTGAACTGCTGGCAGCCGGCAGTCAGCCAAAGTAGCTTGCAGTATTGCATTCTAACCATTGCGCCACCACGATTCTTGTCAATGCTATGTCAATGAGCATGCAAACACAATGGCACCTACCTACAGCCTTGAGAGTGGCATATTTGGCATAATCTGAAGCCTGGTTAGGCAAAACACTTGTCATTTGCAGCTGATTGTTATGTGAGTGTGACAGCCCAATCTGTGAGACTGTAGAGGAGTTGATCACAGCATTGTTCAGGTGTTTCTGATCTGAAGGCAAAAAAGGATGGCAAGTGTAAATTTCAATAGCCCACCTCAAGTAAGTTTACATGACATTTGCCAGCCCCTCAAACAAGTAACATGCATTGGTACTTCTTAGATTTTGCCATAGTCAGAGGTGATGGGCAGGGGAAAGGAAATCAGAAATTGGCATTTAAATACCATGGGCAAATGAGAAAGGAAGAGACAGCTTTGCCCAACAGTGAACTGAGTAACAATAGTAAGAATGCCAAAGAAATAGTAACATACCACCCCTTTTTGTATAATGTAAATAAGAAGACACATCCCCATCCACTTATTTTCAAGATAGAAATTTTAAGCATGTATTATTTGGAAAGATTGGATCTTTTGACTAGAATCTGTTTTATACTGGCAGAAAGAGTCATCTATGGATGCATGGAGACTGACTTGGTTACCTACTCTCATGATAATAGGCTGCATGTCTCTGCAGGAAAGACCCATATTCTACTGCTCCAGAACATCAGAATGGAATGATTTAAGGGACACAACTATGGCCAAGTCTTCCCTAACAACACACCTTGATAAGTATTTCTAAAGTTTACTTAGTTACTTGTAGATATGCCAACCACAGCAAGAAGTTAAACAGTACAACTAATGTATTGTAGATGAATTATAAAAGCTTAAGCCACTTATTTTGATATGTTGAAATGGCTATTTCCAGAATTCAAAGTCAGAGTGGCTTTATTATCTGGATGTTACAATGTAAACATAACCAGAGCCTGCCAGGTTGGAAAAAATTGTCATATATCAATTAAATAAAAACAGTTAAAGTTCCACAAAGTACCATTTACCAACCTGGTATAGTGAGGTGGAAGGAAGGGAGAGCATGGTATAAGCATAGGGATGGCATTCCCCTTTCAGACCACCTATTGTCTAGAAGCGATATAGATATGGATGTGTGTATATATGACTGCATGGAGGTGAGGAGGCCGATTATCTTACCTTTGTTACTTGAGGGAGATCCCCGAGAAAGGCTATCACCAATCTGGACCTGCACACTGCTGATATGGCCATCAGGCAAGTGATCAGATGAGCTATGTCCAGGTTGCTTTAGAAGATCTGTGAGTGTTCTAGAAAAGATGCATGAAGAAGTTACTTGCCAACCGTCACATGAAAAGATTCTCATTTATTGGTATCCACTTTTTGTACCATTGTTTAATTGTATTACCAGCTGCACTTGCTGCTCATTTGCTTACTTGGGCACCCAGGAAATACTTGTTATGGATGGTATATTTTCTTAGAACTTGAAACATTGGAAGTATTCTAGGAGGCTTCTAAGCAGAACATGGACAACTACTTATCAGGGTGTTGCAAAGCAGACTCCCTACATTGACAGGCAAGCTTATTTCAATTTATGCATTGCTTTTCCTTTAGGGAGCTCAAAAAAAAGAGGGAAAAAAAACATAGAGTCTCCCATCATTTTTATCTTGACAAGATTTTAATTTTGAAATTGATTTTAATTGGGTTGTTTTAAATTGTGGGCCGAAATTATTTAATTATCTTTTAAACTGTTTTTTAAATTTTGTATGCTCTGTTTTATCTCGGCTGTTCACCGCCCTGAGTCCTGCTGGAGAAGGGCGGTATACAAATCTAAATAATAATAATAATAATAATAATAATAATAATAATAATAATAATAATGTTGTGAAATAGCCTGGGATGATAATTGCTGAGTCCTGCTGAAGGATTACCCTTATCAGAAAGGATGGGAGGAGAAAGGCTCCAAGGACAAGAAGCTGTCTCTTAGAATACTTGGCTGTTGAAAGTGGTTAACAGTAGATGGAATATATAAAGAGAACAAATTCAATTATCTTATTAAAAGAATTATAGAAAGGAATATGCCAGATTATCTTTTTTTATTCAAATGTTTGGTTTCCACTACAGCTACACATTTATTTTTCCCCCAAATGTTGTTCTTGGATGAATAAAAATCAATACAAAATAACATGCATGAACTTTGTTTGAATTTCTTATTAAAAACTAATGCATTGAGGACCATTTCACTGCCAAGGCCCAACCGTACGATTTTCCCTTTCCAAGATTTTCCATTGTGAGAACATGAAAAAATACTATAGATGGCCTGCAAAATTCCAGTTGACCACTAGGTGACTGTAAAGAGATACAGAAAATGTTTCTTGGCTTCCTGATACGGGGTAGTTGTGTGGCTTTTGAAACCTATATACTGTATGATGTGCATAATTTCCTTTTGGCTAGAGAGGAGAGATCCATTTCCCATTTTAAAAGTTAATAGTAATTTACTTTGGAACCAAGAGGCATCTCTCAGAATACCTTGTTGATAACTGGTTGGGAAAGGGGATTGGCTGCGTCAGAAAGCTAAGAGACGGGATTGGAGGATATGAACCGGAATATATGCTTCACCACAACACAATAGCCATAAATTGTGTGATAATGTGATAGTCCTAGATCTAGATCTTCCCAGTCACAACCCAATACTATTTTACACAATTTAGTCTACATTCTACTCCACAGTTAGATTCACACAATGAAGAAAGGTTTAACAGTAACAGTTGACTGGGTTCATACAATATATTGAGCTATAAAACTTGCTTTACAAACAAATATGTCTGGTTCAAATAGTGGGTTAACCCAATTCAAACCAACCATGTTAAAATGATTGCTGCTGAACAATGTTATTCTTTTGTCAGATGAAATCCAGCACAAGTGCTACATACTTTTCAGGGGCACTTAGGGAATGAGCTGCAGAACAACCTTGCAAGAAAATGATGACAATTTGCAAGAGATGATTTGAAAGCAATAAGATAAACTATGGAATACATATAGGGGCAAATTCTATATTTGAAAGATACCAAATTGTCTTAAAAGGATCTGTCCTGGATTCTCATTTTTTATTCCTTTCTATGACTTTATGTTTTTAATAGGTGCTAATTTGTATTTACAGGGAGTTGAATCTCTCATTATTTACCTAATTTTAATCAATTTTTGTAGAGTGTTAGGCTACAACTGGAAGGACAAAAGTTCAAAGCTCTCTCCTGCCCTGAAGTCACTAACTTTTGCCCTCCCTCTTTCCTCATAACATTGTTGGGAACAAACACGAGAATCTGTACATCCCGGGAACAACCAAGCAAGTGGCATAAATGTAATAAACAATATTAAATTCAATCAGTCTGTGACTCACATTCATGCTTTCAAGTGGCAAGGACCTTTGTTCCTGTGATAAATGAGAATTGTTTGTTTCACAGTGGGGGAAGATCTGACTGTTTGTATCTTGGCAACATTTCAAAATTCCTAAAATTTCCCCAAAATTCCCAAGATAAAATCTTAGGGATCATAGAGGGCATTTTCTCCATTCTTGGTTCAAGATAGGGGCTTTGCAGCTGCAGCATCCCCAATGGGTGACCACCCAGTCTCTGCAGAAATACCACATGAGACCACTTCTTATCTTCTCAAAAAAACCATCTGTAGTTCTGGCTTTTTGCTAATCTTAGCTTATCACTAACCACATGCCAGCCAAGAATTGATTGCATTTGGCTAACACATTTAATCTGACTTTTGAATTAACCCATTTTCTGCTTTCATAGAGTACTGAACTATAAACAAAGAACTATAAACAAAGTAAACGGCCTGGGTACACATGACATGTTAAGCCATATAAACCAACCAATCCCTTAAGGGTAAAACTAACCAACTTTACCCATTGTGACTGTAAACTATGCATTTAACTGTCCTAGTTCAAACATGTGCACAAAGAGATCTTGAGACAAAATTAATATATTCATACCGCATTTGCTTAATGCAAATGGATTGTTTTCATGCAGATAAAGGAGACTGATGCAACAAGCACCACTTCCTCACTCTCAAATTGATTCCTGTGAATTCCCTGCACTAAATACACAATAGGTTTTTTTATAGCAGCAGACCTCATAGTACATCTCTACTGAATTTAAAATAGCTCTCTCTTATTTACTGCAGGAGTGTGTTATGAAGTACACTGTGACTCCCCTAACAGCAGATTTGTTTTTTAGAAGTCTTTATGGTATTATTTTTTTTCCTAAGAAATAGCTGAAGTTATCATACAAAGGTACATTAAAGAATTCATAAAAAGGTGGCAGAGACATAGAAGCGGTATTAGATTTGCAGACCTGCTTAGGAATCATAAGCAATTTCATGCATGTAGGTGTTTGGCTTACTGTAGAGCTGATTGTAATGAGAGGTTGTGTACTGACTAAACAACTTATCTCCAAAAATGACCCACTACAGAGGGCCAAACTATCACGAACAATCCTTCCAACCAGAAAGTAATAATGTTGCTCAGGGATGAAATGAAGGGTCCTTAGTGGTCTCTGAGCTTGGTTGTTTTCTTGCGGACATTTTGTTACCCAAAGTAGGCAATATCATCTGTGCCAGTGATGATGGCACTGGTGTTGGCATCCTAGGGTTGCTAATAGGTTTGTGAAAACAGTACATGAATTAAAAAAAAAAAACCCAATTGCAAAAATTTGTTACAAACTATGTAAATCAATAAACCTCCTTGATGCAGGCAAAAGAAGGGACCAGGGTGTTAAGGTGCAAAGCAAAATAGCTAAGGGAAACCAAGGAATCACTCAATTAATCCCTCAGAGTGTGTAATCCTCCCGTTTCAGGGGAAATAGCTTCCATACCAGCCATTCCTGCTTAGTACATTTTCTTGATAGTCAGGCAGTGGTTTTCTTTTTTGGGTGTGTACACACACATTGCCTCTAGTCTTATTTATTTAAATATATTTTTCCTGCACAGCCACATAGATGTGATGCATCTATGCACATATTGAAAGAGGAAATCTCTCTCTTCCGGAGGGTTGAGGAAAATAAAGCTCTCTGGGTCGCATGGCAAATTTCTCAGGTGGGAGATCTTAGACCTCATTTCAAAAGCTTTTATACCTGGAGCATGGAGATAAAAGCCGGTCTCAAAGAGGAACAGCAATGGCAGCACTCAAGGGCTGTCTCTGGGTGGAAAAGAGGTGCTGGCAGAACTGTCACTTTTGTGGTCAGCAGTTTGAGACACCAAGAATCTAGATGACCACCAGACAGCAACAAAGAGTTTTCTACAGATCTTTACTATTCTAGTGGTTGCTTTTCACAGTATATGTTGAGGCTGCTACACTTGCCTGCAGCCAGTGGTGGGATTCAAGTAATTTAACAACCGGTTCTCTGCCTTAATGATTTCTTCCAACAACCAGTTCACCAAACTGCTCAGAAAGTTAACAACCGGTTCTCCCGAAGTGGTGCGAACTGGCTGAATCCCATCACTGCCTGCAGCCCTCTTTCACTGGCCAGCCCCCACCCACCCATCCCATCATGTTGTCCTAGGCAAGAGCCTTAGTTCCTGTAGGGTCACACTGATCCATAATGAGCAGAAGATGACCATACAGGTAGTCCTCGACTTATAACAGTTCATTTAGTGACTATTCACAGTTACAATGACGCTGAAAAAAGTGATGTGTTTCTCATGTCTTATATTTTTCATACTTATGACCATTGCAACATTCCCATGATCTTCTTCTTCTTCCTAGCATGTTCCCGCTAGTGAAGAGTCCGCTTTTTGGATCATTAAATACCACTTTGCACAGTCAGCTGCATCTCCAGGGCGCAGGCCCGCAGCTTGCATAACTTTATTGATGGTGTCTTGCCATCTCTGTTTTGGACGCCCGCGAGGTCACTGGCCATTAACTTTTAGTTGGTAGGCAGTCTTAGCAATGGTGGAAGGTGCTGCTCTCAGGACATCTATACCAGCGGAGCCAGACTTCTCTCATCTTCTTTGGTGCCACACCAAAATGTTGTTGAATGGTATCATTTGTGATGTGGTCAAGACGGGAGATGCCCGATATCCAATGGAGCATTCGCATTTCCATGGCATTGAGATAGCTTTTGGTCCCTGTTGTTGCTGTCTAGCATTCAGTGCAACAGGGCGGATGGTTGTCTTGTTGGTTGTCTCAATATCCCCATGAACAAGTGATCAAAATTCAGACACTTGGCAACTGACTCATATTGATGACAGTTAAAGTGTGCCAAGGTCATGTGATCACCTTTTCTGATCTTCTAACAAGGAAAGT